AAGAACAGAGAGCGCAGAGAAAGGGCGTCTGGGCCTGCGCTAGGCCTTATCTAGGGAATGGGTGGAGAAAGGTGCGGTCACATCAAATTCACGTGTGACCTCAGAGAATGCAGATGTGACCTCTTCCAGGTGTGCCAGTTGCCTAGGTAACGCAGGTCCCTGGGTGGAGACTTTGCTGCGAGGAGGGTGGAGTCTGCTAGCCATCCAGGAGCGGACCTTACAGTTTTCACTAGAGCTGAGCAGAGATGCCAGTACCTCATGTTTCGTCTGCTACATAAAACCTCTTTTCTTTGCGGATTACCTAGCATCACGTATTTTGTGATAACACAAAATGGATTAAGAAGCTTCACACCGCAATCCGATGCTTACTAAGGCTTTTGAGCGTTGAGATGTCTCTGTCCTCACTGACTCTGTATTGAAATGATGTGAGCAGAGAATGGAGCCACTTCAGAGATGCAAACCCAAAAAGACAGAGCCTGGCGACGCTTGCTTCACCTCAGGCCCAAATTTGGTTCTATTCACAGATTCAGATTATAACTCAATAAGTTCTCTTTTTCATTAAGCCAAACTGGAATGAATATTGTATCATTTGTTTTTTGTTTTTGTTTTTTTTTTTTTGGGTCCGGTCGTGGGGCCTGAACTCTGGGCCTGGGCATTGTCCCTCAGCTCTTCAGCTCAAGGCTAGCACTCTACCACTTGAGCCACAGAGCCACTTCCGGCTTTTTGCTTTTTGCTTATGTGGTGCTGAGGAATTGAACCCAGGGCCTCAGGCATGCAAGGCAAGCGTTCTACCACTGAGCCACCTTCCCAGCCCTATTGTATCATTTGTATTAGAGTAATTCTTTTTTTCTTTTCATTTGTCAGTCGTGGGGCCCGAACTCTGGGCCTGGGCACTGTCCCTCAGCCCTTCAGCTCAAGGCTAGCGCTCTACCACTTGAGCCACAGCGCCACTTCCAGCATTTTCTGCTATGTGGTACTGAGGAATCGAACTCAGGACCTCATGCATGCAAGGCAAGTACTCTACCACTGAGCCACCTTCCCAGCCCCTTAGAGTAATTTTTTTTTTTTTTTTGCCGGTCATGAGGCCTGAACTCTGGGCCTGGGCCCTGTCCCTCAGCTCTTCAGCTCAAGGCTAGCACTCTACCACTGGAGCCACAGCGCCACTTCCGGCTTTTTCTGTTTATGTGGTGCTGAGGAATCGAACCCAGGGCCTTATGCTTGCAAGGCATGCACTCTACCACTGAGCTACCTTCCCAGCCCCCCTTAGAGTAATTCTTTAACTAGGATTTTTACACAGACACACACAGGTTCCATGAGAGCAACAGTTTTAACTTTTTTCTTCTTTTTTTGTCAGTTGTGGGGCTTGAACTCTGGGCCTTGGCACTGTCCCTGAGCTCTTTAGTTCAAGGTGAGCACTCCACTACTTGAACCAGAGAGCTACTTCCGGTTTTCTGGTGGTTAATTGGAGATAACAGTCTCAAGGATGGACTTTCCTGCCCAGGCTGGCTTTGAGCTGTGATCCTCAGATCTCTTCTCCTGAGTAGCTAGGATTATAGGCATGAGACACCAGCACCTGACAAACTTTTTTTTTCCTTTTGGTTCCAGTGGTGGGGCTTGAATCCAGGGCCTGGGTGCTGTCCCTGACCTTTTGTGCTCAAGTGTGATGATCTACTACTTGAGCCACAGCTCCACTTCCAGATTTTTTGGTGGTTAGAGATAAGAGTCTGACTCTTGGAAGTGGCGCTGTGGCTCAAGCGGAAGAGCCCTCGCCTTGAGCTGAAGAGCGCAAGGACAGTGCCCAAGCCCAGAGTTCAGGTCCCACAACCAACAAAAACAAAAACAAACAAACGAAAAAAGAGTGACTCTCCTGCTCAAGCCGACTTTGAATTATAATCCTCAGATCTCAGCCTCCTGAGTAGCTAGGATTACAGAGTAGCTAGGATTACAGGCGTGAGCCACCAATGATTCTCTGCTGTAGTCACTTTACAATCACCTTGGGATCAGAGGAAAAAAGATTCAACAATAAGTATCTTGTGTGGAAGGCGAACTTCCCTTCAAACCAGCCATACTTGCTTCTTCAAGCAGCTAATAGCCAGGCGCTGGTGGCTCACGCCTGTAATCCTAGCTACTCAGGAAGCTGAGATCTGAGGATTCCAGTTCAAAGCCAGCCCAGACAGGAAAGACCGTGAGACTCCGATCTCCAATAAACCACCAGAAAACCCGAAATGGCGCTGTAGCTCAAGTGGTAGAGTGCTCGCTGGCCTTGAGCTGAAGAGCTGAGGGACAGCGCCCAGGCCCAGAGTTGAAGCCCCATGATCAACAAAAAAAAAAAGAAAGCAGCTAAGGGCTGGGCATGTAGCTTAGTTCATGAAGCCCTCAGTTCCATTCCTTAGTACCCCATAAACAGAAAAACCTTGAAGTGGTGCTGTGGCTCAAGTGGTAGAGTGCTAGCCTTGTGCCCAGGCCCTGAGTTCAAACCCCAGGATTGGAAAAAAAAATGCAGGCACCCTAAAGCAAACACCAGGATACACATTTATATAACAAAGACTATTCTATTACTGCTCAAGAGACCTACAGCTATTCTCAGGTTAACCGGTGTGTGTGTGTGCATGTGTTTGGTTTTTGTAGTAAGTACCTGGAGTTGAACCCAAGACCTCACATGTGCTACTCATTGTCTGACAGCCTATGTTTTTGCATTGTCGGTGGAGGGAGCGGTACTGAGGCTGTATAGAATAGAGGGACGGTCCCTGCAGGGTGGGCCTTTTTGAGGGTGTGTGTGCCAATCCTGGGTGCTGTCCTTGGGCTTTCAAGCTCAGGCTCAGGGCTAGTGCTCTACCACTTGAGCCACGCTCCACTTCTGACTGCTTTGGTAGTTCATTAGAGATAAGGATCTCTCAGCCTTCTCCTGCCTGGGCTGGCTTCCAACTGAGGTCCTTAGATCGCAGCCTCCTGAGTAGCTGGGATTACAGGTGTGACAGGAGTGCCCAGCAGGATACAGCCCTAAATCTACACGTTTTGATAGACTTTTATCTAAAAGGACAGGTGGACTGAGGTGAGTTTTACACTGATTCTCAAACATGGAAAACCAGTTTGGCTGGCTGCTTGGCGCACTGGCATTAACCACTTCTGCTCTCCGGTAGATGTTTCCTCTGCTCTTTCAACAGCAGTTCCTGAGTCTCTGGTGGCAACCAGTGCTCTCTCAAACCAGCTCTGAGGATTAGGTGAAACCGGCCCCACACTTTCCTTTTCGAAGGGAGGTGGACTACCCAAGGAGGAGGATCTTCCCCTGGGTCTCAGCCATTGTTTGTGCAAGGTCTGCATCACAATATGGATGAATAGGAAGAATCAGAAGAGGTTTAGTGACTCATGCCTGTCGTCCTAGCTACTTAGGAGCCTGAGATTTGAGAATTGTGGTTCAAAGGCAGCCTGGATAGGAAACTCTGTGAGACCAGAAGTAGCAATGTGGATCGAGTGGTAGAGCACTAGCCTTGAGCTGAAGAGCCGAGAGACAGCGCTCAGGCCCAGAGTTCAAGCCCCAAAACTGAACAACAACAACAACAAAAAACAAAGTAATAATGTGTCAAAGTCAGTTTGCCAATTATCACAAATGTATCACACTAATGTAACCTTAATACTAGGAAAAACCAGTCTACTTTTCACTCAATTTTTCTGATAAACTAACATTGCTAAAAAATCAAGTCTAGCCAGGCACCAGTGGCTCACACCTGTCATGGTAGCTACTCAGCAGGCTGAGATCTTGAGCGTGGCAGTTTGAAGCCAGCTCTGAGCAAGAAGGTCTTCGAGACTGACCTCTAATTAACCGGTCAAAAAGCCTTTAGTGGAGCTGTGGCTCCACAGCACCACTTCCAGCTTTTTTCTTTTTGCTTATGTGGTGCTGAGGAATCGAACCCAGGGCCTCATGCATGCAAGGCAAGCGCTCTACCACTGAGCCACCTTCCCAGCCCCAATCCGTGTAACGATTATCTCCAATAAACCACTCGAAAACCAGAAGTGGCGCTGTGGCTCAAGTGGTAGAGCGCTCGCCTTGAGCTGAAGAGCTGAGGGACAGCGCCCAGGCCCAGAGTTCAGGGCCCACGACCGACAAAACACAACACCCACGAACTTCATTCATTATCACCCACTTAGATCAGGAAAACGTTTCTCTGAAAGCTACCAAGCGCCGGATGCACTGTTGTGCTGAAAGCTCAACCCATTTCAATAGCAACAAACGGTGTCAGTCCCTGCCTTGTTTTCCTTTTGGCTGCCCTCAGCCCTCCAGCTCAGGGCTGGCGCTCCACCACCTGGGCCACGGCGCCACCTCGGGCGCTTCCTGTGGAATCGAACCCAGGGCCTCAGGCACGCGAGCCGCCTTCCCGGCGCCGTTTTTCAATTCGGTCATTTTCTGGAGCGTATCTGCAAAGATGCCCACGGGCTAAGCAATCGGGGTTGGGAGGGGGGGGGGGGTAAACGGAGGCAGCTGCTGGCGGCGGGAGGAAGGGAGGCCTGGGTTCTGCGGACCCCGGAACCTGCCGGCAGCGCCACCACGCCGGGGCGCTCGTTTATGTTTGTGAGGGAAAAGCAGGAACCTTCTAGTTCATACCAGCCCAAGGCACTGAGGAAGATCCCGTAGTGGACGGTCCCTTAGTAGACAATCCCTTGGTGTTCCGTCTCTTGGTGGACGGTCCCTTAGTAGACAATCTCTTGGTGTTCCGTCTCTTGGTGGACGGTCCCTTAGTAGACAATCTCTTGGTGTTCCGTCTCTTGGTGGACGGTCCCTTAGTAGACAATCCCTTGGTGTTCCGTCTCTTGGTGGACGGTCCCTTAGTAGACAATCTCTTGGTGTTCCGTCTCTTGGTGGACGGTCCCTTAGTAGACAATCCCTTGGTGTTCCGTCTCTTGGTGGACGGTCCCTTAGTAGACAATCTCTTGGTGTTCCGTCTCTTGGTGGACGGTCCCTTAGTAGATGCTCCCTCGGTGTCCGGTCCCCGATAGCGTGAAAAATGGACCCGCCAAGAAAACTGTTTACAGTTCCCCAGCGGAGCCGAAACCGCAGCAAACGTGGAGAATCTTCTAAGGAAAAAGCAAACACAAACCCAGCGGAAGGAGACTGCCGGCCCACGCGGCACCGCGGCCGCGGCGGCGGCGGCGGCTCGGAAGGGCGCATGCGCATTTTGCCGCTGTCGCCCACCACCCAACGCGAGACTACAGAACGCAGGGGCGGAGGCATCACGTAAGGAGCGGGTGTGAGAAGGCGGATTCCGTGGTGACCCAGTGGCCTAATGGATAAGGCATCAGCCTCCGGAGCTGGGGATTGTGGGTTCGAGTCCCATCTGGGTCGTACCAGGTTGCTTTTCTTTTTCTTTCTGAGAGGAAGTAGTAGATTTTGGAACAGAGTCTCACCTGTCTTCACATCCATTGTTTTACACATTTACAAATTAAGAGACGGGCCTGTCTTCAAAACATTGCAGTACAGGGGACAATGATTGTACTGAAAGTTACTTTTATTCTTCAAAGAGAATTGCATCTTAGCTCTACTGAGGAGCAACAGACAGCACTGCATCTATCTAGGGAAAATTCATTTGAATTTACAGTGATTTTTTTAAATCCTCTCTCTCTCTCTCTCTTTCTCTCTCTCTCTCCCCCCACCACCCTCTCCCTGTTTTTGCCAGTCCTGGGCTTGAACTCAGGGCCTGGGCACTGCTCCTGAGCTTTGTGTTCAAGGCTGACATCCTGCCATTGAGTCACAGCTGCACTTGGGCTTTTTCGTATTTAACTGGAGATAAGAATCTCAGGAACTTTCCTGCCCAAGCTGGCTCTGAACCTCAATCCTCAGATCTCAGCCTCCTGAGTAGCAAGAATAACAGGCATGAGCCTGAGATCTGAGGATTTGTGGTTCAAAGCCAGACCAGGCAAGAAAGTCAGTGAGACTCATCTCCAATTAACCACCAGAAAATCAGAAATTAACCTGTGGCTCAAAATTGTAGAGCACTGACCTTGAACAAAATTGCTCAGGGACAGGGCCCAGGTTCTGAGTTCAAGCTCCACAACTGACAAAAAAAAAAAAAGGAAAAAGAAACACAAAATCCTAGGAATCATAAATGGCACCCAGATTAAAGAAAAAAAAGAAAGCAAAAGAGCAGTACTTTCTTTTCCACCTTTCAGGCTGAGCTCTACCACAGGTAGCTATACTTGGGAAAACTTGTGCCGATGTGTACATCCAGATTGCAATGCTGCCTCTGGAATCTCCAGGACTAAGGAGAATTTATAGAAAAGCTATGCTATTATAACACAAATAAACATAATTTATGGTTTCTATGCTGTTACAACACAAATCTAATTTATAGTTTCTGGCTTCAAAGCATTATGAGGAACAAAGTTTACGTAATGAGAATATCAGGTTTTGTTTGGTATGTGTGGATGATCTACAAATTAGTGAAATAAAAGAAATAAAGAATTAAGTCCGGTCCAGTTGTCTAGCATGAAAAGTTGAAAGTCTTCTTGCAAATTTGCACAAAAGGAATGTCAGCAAGTTAATGCCTGAAAACAACTGAAGGCAATTTGGATCTGAGTCTGCAACAGAAAAAGGTCATTAGAGGAAATGGGAAGTTCAGTTACCATTGGACAGTGTTGATTTCCTGGTGTTGATGGTTGCCATGGTCAGGAAAGATGTTAGAGCTAGGGGAAACTCGTAGGTTATGTTTGCAACTTGTGGTGAATCTGATATTGTTCCAAACTTAAACTTGCCTGCCTGAGAATTGCAAATCACAATTTAAAAAACATTTTATTTTGCCAGTCCTGGGGCTTGAACTCAGGGCCTGGGCGCTGTCCCTGAGCTTCTTTTGCTCAAAGCTAGCACTCTATCACTTGAGCCACAGCGCCACTTCTATGTTTTTTTCGGTATATGTGGTACTGAGGAGTCGAACCCATGACTTCATGCGGGCTAGGCAAGCACTCTCCCGCTGAGCCACATTCCCAGCCCCTGCAGCATTTTTTGGTGGCTCCTACTTGCCCCTCTCCTCTCTCTTTCTGGGAGGCTTTTTCTTGGCATTGTTTCCATGCCAACTTCTCCCCAACAAGATGTCTCCATTGGCAAATCGAAGACACCCCATTCTGTCTTTCTCTAATTTCAGGTCCTGAAGATTTAAAAAAACAATTTTTGGGGGAGGGGGAGGATAATTCAGTACTGGAATTTCAACTCATGACCTGTTTACCTACTAGCCAAGTGCTCTACCACTTGAGTCATACATCTGACCCAGCCTTTTGCTGGCTAATTAGAGATGGAGTCTTGTGGAATTTTCGCACCTGTAAACTACTTAGGAGTCAGACCTGGAAGATTATGGCCCCAAATCAGTTCAGTCTCCAATTAGCCAGTAGGATGCCAGGCTGGCAGTATGGCTTTCATGGAACAATCCAATAGAAAAATGCCATTTTTCCACTCGTCTTGGAATCCCATAAAAGCAACAAGGAAGATGAGAACCAGACCATGAACATCCCCTCCCAGGGAGCCGGGAGACACCCGGGAAAGCCAAGGATGGAAGAAGCCAGCCATAAAGGGCAGAATTCCCAGGAAGGTTGACTGAAGGAGGCTGTGGCTGCAGATCCCAGGACAGGCCCACAGAGGGCGCTCTCCAAGGTTAGGGTCACACCTAAGGAGGCCAAATAGTACTCCTTGTTTCTAATGGGTCTGGATTTGCCTCCCTGCCCCACAGGGCAGCCAGAATGCCTTGGGTCCAGGAGCCCAGGAGGTGCTTATAGCTCCTTCCTAAGCCCAGATTTCTGCCCCACAGAAAATAAGAAATAGCAAAGGCTTATTGTTTCAAGCTATTAAACGCAAGCATACTTTAGGGATCTAATGAATAATGAAATAACAAGCTACTAGATGAAAAGTTTGCCTTCCTTGTCACGGAAGAAGAGCTGAGGGCAGGAAACACTACCATGGTTCCATCCGATTGGAAGTTGAGGCTGTCAGGCCAACAGGACTTTCCACGCTGCTCAACAGTCAAAGGAGCGGATCTGAATGTGTTCTCTGATGGGTAGGGTGAATCTCTGACCCTCAAGATTGACTATTTTTAGATGAAGATAGACCTCTCATGAAAGATTAGTGTTTTTTTTAGTTTATTGTTATTATAAAGGTGATGTACAGAGGGATTACAGTTGCATAAGCCAGGCAATGAGTACATTTCTACGTAAGCCAGGTAACGAGTACATTTCTTTTTGGACAATGTCTCCCCTTCCCTTGCTCTCTCCCAGTTTTCCCCTCTCTCCTGTGATTAGTGTTTTGTTTTTGTTTTTTGGTTCTGGGGCCTGAACTCTGGGCGTGGGTGCTGTCCCTCAGCTCTTCAGCTCAAGGCTAGCACTCTACCACTAGAGCCACAGTGCCACTTCCACTTTGGGTTTTCTGGTGGTTTATTGGAGATTAGAGTCACATTGTCTTTCCTGCCTGGGCTGGCTTTGAACTGCGATTCTCAGATCTCAGCCCCCTGAGTAGCTTCTTGTAGAATTCTTAGTTGGGGTTCCACTGAGTAGGCCATTGGTTAAATCACTGCCAGTGAGTGCCCGCCATCTGCAGTGTCCTTTCCCTCCCTGGGGAAGGCAGGGCTGACCGCAAGCCCCATCCTCAGATGCTATCTGGTGCTTTCTGGTGACTCAATGACATCCTTATCTGCCAAGCCCTCAGGTGGCCCTTCAAAAGTCACCCGGAAGCTCAGGAAACACAATGACATTCCTGTCACCTGAGAAATTCCAACACATAATTCGTGCTCAATAAATATTTGCTCAGCAGCCATGTACACCCCAAAGACCAGAACGTGCGGGGGGTGGGGGAGGGGGGGCAAGGAGGGGGAGAGGAGACCATCAGTCTCCTGGAGTTTTCCAGTTGACAGGGACATACAGCTATTGTGTGTGAGAGACAGAGATGAGGAGCCCTGAGCAGCGAAACATCCCAACCCTGGGAGCAACTTCCCTGCGCCCTGGCTTCTTCCCAAGCACCTTGCTTGGTCTTCTTGGGTGACTCGTTTATTGAAAGAGAACACCGGCCAGGCCCTAAGTATGCATGAGTCATTTTCCTATAAATCCATCTGGTGGCATTCTGGCGTTGGACACCAGTCCCCCAGAATCCTTTGTGTTTTCCCCCATTGCTGGGGTTCTGTGCTTGCACACCAGACACTGTTCAAGGCTGGCCTTGGCCTCTGCTTGCATTCTTTCTAGCTGGTGTTACAGGAGCCCACTGGGCACCTCTCTATTTCTATATTTCAGGGTGTGGGATTTAGGGCATTTAAACATTCCTACCGCAGGAAGATTTCCAGAACATCCCAAAGTAGATGTGGGTGACTTGAATGCCAACTCAGGAAGGTCTGTCTGAGGTGTGGTTGCAACTGAGAATGCTTTAGGCTCCTTCATTTTATTTCCACTTGGCTGAAAGGAGCCAAGATTCCTGCCAAGTTTCTACTCAGCTCTAGAGGATTTCAGTTCAAAGCCAGCCCAGGAAGAAAGATCTGTGAAACCCCATTTCCGACCAGCAAAAAGCATGGCGCAAGTTGGTGAGCAAAAAAACAGAGGAAGCTTGTGGCTCTGAGTTCAAACCCTAGTAGTGGAACAGAAGGAAAGGGAAGAGTGTATGGAAGAATGGCTAATCTGGGCACAAAGCTAATGAATGGTGTCTTGAGTCTACAGACACGGGCTTTGTGTGTGCATGGCTGGTGATGACCGGAGAGGCTAGTCCTCAGTAGGAAGTAGAGAATTTGCTTCATTGGTTCTGAGTGAGGGAAGGTTAGCTTGCTCACTTCAATTGCAATCTGTAAAAAGAAAAAAAAAGTGCTGCTCTTGAGGCTTGAACTCAGGTCCTGATACCATTCCTGAACTTTTCCCCTCTAAACTGAGCTACAGCTCCACTTCCAGCTTTTTTGGTGGTTAGTTGGAGATAAGAATCCTCCAGAAGGGCTGGGAAGGTGGTTCAGTGGTAGAGTGCTTGTCTTGCTTGCATGAGGCCCTGGGTTCGATTCCTCAGTACCACATAAGCAGAAAAAGCTGGAAGTGTGCTGTGGCTCAAGTAGTAGAGCACTAGCCTTGAGCTGAAGAGCTGAGGGACAGCGCCCAGGCCCAGAGTTCAAGCCCCCTGACTGACAAAAAGAAAAAAGACTCTCACAGACTTTCTTGTTCAGGCTGACACTGAACTGGGCTTCTCAGCTGTCTGCCTTCTGAGTAGCCAGGATGACAGGCATTGAGCCACTGGCGTCCAGCTTTTCAGCTGTCATTTGATCTCATGGTCTCCAAGCCACTTTCACATGAACAGTGACACCTCTCACTCACCACACTGCAGCCTCGCTGGCCAAGTCAACAGTCAGGTTTATACATCTGGGTTTTTGTTTTTATGAGTTGGGCCTATGATCAGTTCAACGATGAAACTGACTTGAGCCACGGAAATATGACATCCTACTTCCTTGTGCTGTCAGCCTTCCATTTTTAATTAATGCGTTAGTTTATGCTGTCAGTTGTGGAGCTGGCTTGGAACTGTTGATTCACAGATCTCAGCCTCCTAAGTAGCTGGGATCTCAGGTGTGAGTGCCACAGTGCCCAGATTATTCCTCCTCTTCTTCCTCCTTTTCTCGCTGGGAATCAAACCCCAGGGCCTTGTGCATGCTAGGCAAATGCTCTGCCTAGCTGAGCTGCGTCTCTCCAGATGAGTAAATTCGCTTCACTGTAGCCCACAAACCACAACACACAGGTCAGGAACCTGTTCTTCAGAATCCCTGCAGTTCTTCTCCTTGGGATGCTCCCTCCCTGAGGGCTGGGAGCTCCTCGGAACACGTCCTCAAGGCCCTGCATTCTGGAGGAAACTGCTTGTAAGGATACTTTCTGAAGCTGCAATTGGACCCATCATTTCCTAACTCCTACCAATCGGTACTTTCATGGTGAAGAAGAGATGTTCTGGTGTGTGGGCCGCCTGCCTGGCAAGGCCTCCAGTAGAAAGAACTTGACCATCCTGCCATGGGCTTCCCCACTTGCCCCAGAGGGGGGGGAGGAAGGGGAGGGCCTCAGAATGGGCTCAGCCCCTGGCCTTCCTATTTTCCAGCCACCACAGTGCAGGGGCTGGGTGTGGAGGCAGGTGCCTGGACGGAGCGTTCCAGGCCAGCCTAGGCTACCCCATATCTAAAAGAAGAAAAGAAAAAAGCCAACCTCACCCCCACCCCTCAGAAACAAATCTACCAAATCATGAGCAGGGAAGCCACGTTACTTCCCGAGTCTCCTTTGGCTCAGATGCTCCAAACAAGCCAGCCTCCTCCGGGCCTCCCTAGGCCCTGGGGTGGGGGGTGGGGTGCTCCCCGTGAATCCAGTCCCCTTGGGGAATGGTCCCTGTGCTCCCTCTGGGTGGGCGACAAGGCCCAGGTGCGGGACGCAGGGCACCTCTTCACAGAGTTCGCCTCCTTCAGAGTCAGGGCCGCTCCCCGGCTTCCCGCCCGGCTCACCTAGCCGGGAAAGACCCCGGTCCCCAGGAAGACACAGAAACAGGCCAACACAAAACCAACTCCAGAGAATGGGGCAGAGGAGGGAGAGGGAGAGAGGAGGGAAGAGGTAGAGGAGGAGGAGGAGAGGAAGAAGTAGGGGGAAAAGAGGAAGAGGAAAAGGAGGAGGGGGAGATAGAAGAGAAAGGGAAGGAGGGGGAGGGAGGAGGAGGGAGAGGAAGAGGAGAGGGGAAGATAAGATGAGGAGGGAGGGGAGAAGGAGGAGGGGGAGGAGGAGAGGGAGAAGTAGGGGAAAGGAGGATGGAGGAAGAGGAGGAGAGAAGAAATAGGAAGCAGGGGAAAGGAGGGAGGGAGGAGGAAGAAGGGCAGAGGGGGAGGAAGAGGAAGAGGGGAAGGAGAAGGAACAGAAGAGGGAGGGAGGAGAGGAGAGGAAGAGGAGGGAGGGGAAGAGAGGAGGGAAGAGGTAGGGGAGGAGGGAGTGGAGGAGAGGGAGAAGAAAGAAGTAGGGGAAAGGAGGAGGAAGTGGAGGAGGGGGAGGAAGAAGTAGGAAGTAGGGGAAAGGAGGGAGGGGGAGGAGGGGGAGATAGAAGGGGAGGGGGAGGGGCGGTGTTCGCCGCGCCACCCCCCTTCCCCCCCCCATCCAGTTCTGCAGGCCCCGGCGGCCGGGCCGGGCCGGGAGGGAATCCGGGCGTTCGGCCTGGGCCGCGCCGCGCTTCCCGTGCCGGTGGCCGCAGCCCGGGGCCCGCCCGGGGCGGGGGCGCAGGGCCCGGGGCCGGCGGTGCCCGCGCCCCCGAGGCCGCCCCTCATTAGCATGGACGGTGCGGGTGTGGGGCAGGGCTGGGGGTGGAGAAGGCGAGCCCGCGCCGCGGCCGGGGCTTCGAGCCCGGGAGCCCCGCGTCCCAGCATGACAGCTCGCGCGCTCTGGCTGCTCTGCCTGGCGGCGGGGTGGACGGCCGGAGCCCTGGCGGCCCAGGGCAGAGGTGAGGTCGGGAGCCGGGGCGGAGGGCGGGAGGGCGGGGAGGGCAGAGTTTGCGGGGTGCCTGCGAGCAAAGGACCGGAATCTTGGGGTCCCCCAATGTTGTGTGTCTGTGGCAGCTCAGGCTCCGTGATGCCCGGCCGGCGGGAGCAAACTTGGCATGCTGAGTAGTTGCAGAAAGTGTCAAAGGGGGCTCGGCGCGCCTTCGGGGGGCGCGGCGGGCAGCAGGCGTCCTCCCTCCCCCCTCCCCGGAGCGTGGGCCCCGCGGGCTGGGGGCTGCGGGCCCAGGACGGGGAGGGGCCGGGGGGTGACACGGCCAGCGGGGGGGGGGGGGGACCCGGGCGCCTCCCCGGCCGGATCTGCCTTTGACACGGCCGCGCGTGGACGGCAGGCGGGAGACGCAGTCCAGGGCTTGGATCTCGGCGGGGCGAGGTGGGGGGCTGGCTGGTCTTGGGGTGTCCCGCGTGCTCCCCCCACCGCGCCCCGCGGTGCACTTCGGGTGAACGACCCGGGCGGCTTCTCCCCGCGGATCGCAGCCTTTCGCGGCTCTGACCGCCCAGGGTCCCGCCCGTGGGAAGCGGGGCAGAGGCGCACGGCGGCCGGGCAGGCGCGGAGACCCGGCGGCGGCTCGTGCCGGGGGACACCCCTTCACCACGGGGAATCAGAACCAGGTGTTGGCGGGGGAGAGAAGGGGGAAAACAGGACTGGACGGGGCATTCTGGCCGGGAGAAAGCGGACTTCATTTTGCTGGAGGAGGTTCGCAGTCTGGCGAGAAGCGCCGTAGATGGAGGGCAGCGGGTCTGCGAGCGCCGGGCTCGGGCCCGCGGGGAGGCCACGCCCACCGCGCAGCCCCGCTCTCGCGCCTGATTGGACGGCGCGGGGACCCCGGGGACCCAGGCGACCCCCACCCCGCACCCCGGGGGCCGGGGTTGTGTAACCGGCCGTGGAAAGCTGCCCGGTTCCCAGCCGGCCGCAGTCTCTTCACCGACCTGTCGGTCTGCCGAGCGGGAGCAAAGCCACGGGTCGTGTTGTGTTTCCCGTGTCCTCACGGCAGGCTAGTTAGAGTTTGCGCCCACCGTCTCGTGCGTGCGTGAGAGTGTGCGGGTGTGTAATGGCAGCGATGCGTGCTTTCACACTTCACCGGGGAGCCCCTGCCTCCCAGCCGGGCTGACGGAGCGGCGTCCCCGGGGCCAGTCCGCTCGCGATCGCCGGCCTCCGCGGAGCCCCGGAGGGCTGCGTCCCCGCGGACGGGAACCCACGCGCGCGGCGGCCGAAGCGGGCGGGGAGCTGCGCTCAGCCGAGCCTCCGCCCCGGGGCCGGCGCTCGGGACCTTCCCCAGCGGCAGCCGGGGGGGGGGGGGGTCCCCGGAAGGGCCGGAGGCTCGGCTCACCCCACGTGACCAGCAGCAAACCGGCGGCTGTCATCCGAAATGCCGTCGATCGGGGGAAAAAGGCTCCAAAACAAAATAAAGCGTGCCCGCGAGGCCACCGGCGGCGAGCCCCGTTTCTAGGGGGGCGACCCCGGCCCGCCCCCTGCCCCCGGGGGGTGGGGAACCCAGCTGCTCCGCCCCCCACTTCCGGCCCCCCTTCTCTCCTCCTGCAGGTGTGCCTGCGCTGGATCTCCCCGTCCTCCGTCCCGCCCTTCCTTCTTCACCCCCCGGGCCTCCACTGACGGCCTCCCCTTCTCCCACAGCCTCGGGGCCGCACGGCAGGAAGCCCGACCTCGGCGGCGGCGGCGCCAAGACCCCGGAGCCGCGGGAGCCCGCGATCCCTGACCCCAGCGCCTGGCCCGACTCGGGGCGCCGGAAGCCCACGCCGCCCTCCGAGAACCGCGCCGGCTTCCGGGAGGCCACGCGCGCGCCCGCCGCCACGCCGGGCCCGCGCTTCGCTCAAGCCGAGAACCGCGCGTCGCCGCGCCGCGCGCCCGAGTCGGAGGTTCCCCCGCGCCGCGCGCGCCCCGGTGCCCAGCGTTCCCCCGCGCCGCGCGCGCCCCCGCGCGCCGCCGCCGCCCGCGCTCCGCACCCCAACCGGCCGCGCGCCGCCGCGCCGCCGCCCTGGCCCGCCGAGCCCTGCGCGCGCCCGTGCGGGGCCGACGCGGACGAGCACGAGGCGTTCTGCGCCAGCGAGTTCGGTGAGGGAGGGGTGGGTGCGGGCCGGGGAGGGCAGGGGGCGCCCGGACAGACGGACAGAACCGCTCTCTCTCCCCCTCTCGCCCCGGAAGCAGCAGCGAACGGCGTGGTGCGCGGCGTGGACGCGCTGGGCGCGGGCGCGCGCCTGGTGACGCTGCTGCTGGACGGCGACGGGCTGTACCGCCGCGACCGCCTGTACCTGGCGCCCGACGGCTTCCTCTTCCAGGTCCACATCCTCGCCCTGGACTCCGCCCGCTGCAGCCGGCCGTGTCCGGAGTTTAAGCTCGGTAGGAAGGCCGCCGGCCGCGGGGCACCCGCAGCCCCGCACCTCGGTAGAACCTAGACGACAGGCACCCCGGGCCCGGCCCACGACACTCAGCAAACGTGTTACGTACGGAAGTGGGGTGGAGCCGGGCGCCCGTGGCTCCCGCCTGTCATCCTAGCTGAGACCCGAGGATCGCGGTTCAAAGCCAGCCTGGGCAGGGACGGCCGTGAGACTAAACCACCCGAAAGCCGGAAGTGGCGCCGGGGCTCACGTGGTAGAGTGAGGAGCTGAGGGACAGCGCCCAGGTCCAGAGTTCAAGCCCCACGGCCGACCCCCCAAAAAAGTGGGGCGGATGAGGAAACCTGATTGTGCGGAGAAAAGCTTCCAGTTGCTGGGGCGGGTGGGTTAGACACACGGTGAGGACTGCACGGGTGAGGAGCACAGCCCGGGTCTCCTTCCCGCAGCCCTGCCCTCCCTCCTTCCCGCAGCCCTGCCCTCCCTCCTTCCCGCAGCCCTGCCCTCCCTCCTTCCCGCAGCCCTGCCCTCCCTCCTTCCCGCCCGTGAGGCCTGTGTGCGCGCGCGCGCGCTCATGCGCCGGCGCCGGGCCTTCCCCGCCCGCAGGCCCTGGGTGCTGCCTCCCAGCTTTTCCCCTCATGGGTGACGCTCTTCCCACCTGAGCCACCAGCTCCACTGCTAGCTTGTCGGGTGGTTAGGTGGAGGTCAGAGACTCACGCACTGCCCGGCCCCGGGGCTGGCTTCGAACCGGGGCGCTCAGATCTCCGCCTCCCGAGGCGCGCACGCCGCTAACGTCTCTCTTCTCGGTTGTTCGGACCAGGCACCAGGTACATCGTGATGGGCCACGTCTACCACAAGCGCCGGCAGCTGCCCCGGGACCTGCTCCCGAGGCTGAAGGGGCGCGTGCGCCCCGGGGACGGGCTGCTGCCCGTGGGCAGCTACGTGAAGAGGTTCAACCGGAGGCGGGACCGGCAGGTGCGCGCGGCCATGCGCCTCCAGTGCAGCTGAAACGCAGCGCGGCCGAGCCCGGGAGACTCGAACTCAGCCCCAACGACGATGTCTGCATGGAATGGGGAGAGGGAGGGGTCTTTAAAAAACGGGGCCCACAGCTGTGTTACGGACAACTTGGGGATCATCCCAACTCTTAGAGTTGCCACAGGCTCATGTACCAGACGATTTCCACACGGACAGGACCCGCTTCTCGGGTCAGTAGCCAGTTCCTCAAATGGAACCCGGGTTTACTGACACCCCTCCAGGACCTGACCTGTGCGGTGAACAGATCACGGCTTCATGTGAAGTTTTTAAATTATTTTAATTTAATACATTCTCCGGTAGAAATAGTTCACAAAAAAGATCTGAATTTAAATATACAACTTTGAACCGTTTATATCATGTACCAAGCCAAATGTTATCCTTAAAACCATCACATTTCAAATTCTGTACAAAAGAGGAAAGCACACTCATCTGAAGACATTTACGGGTGAAATGTCCTTTAGATCAAACCCTAGAGTTAGAGCAGGACAAGTATTAACATTTTACATTTAAGGAGTACAAAAGGGCTTAATTCAAGCACAGTATTATAGAAGGCAAGAGTTCCTGATGTACCAAAACGTAAAATATAGTCTAGATTCTAGCCTCCTGCTCCTAATAGCTTGTTTTGTGCCAAACCGGCAGCAACTGCAGTATTGCGATGCTAAGCATACTCTGGTGGAGCTGATGTCATTTTTCTATGAAGACCAAATAGCACATTTGTGTATGGGAAGCAGTAAATCTTGCCTTGAAATCACATCTTGGATGCACCTGGTTTTTGTTTTTAGTCTCACTGAGCCTGAAGGTTTGAGGAAAAAAAAAAAAAAAACCCTCCCAAACCAACTCCTCAAATGCAATTCATTAATGGACAGCTCACCAGCAAGCAAGTTGTAAATGTTTTCCAGTTGGGTTTGAAAGAAAGTTTAATCACTAGCTAAATCTGCTAACGACTCCATACTTGACATTACAGCGGTTTTCAGATCAAGCTATGTTTTGGTTAAAGCACTACGAATACAGATACCAATAATGTGCAAAGATTATTTCTCAAACACAGACTTCCCATGAAGGGCTTGAAGCAGGTTCTTTGGACTCAAGGTGACAGGCTCAACTCAGGCCTGTCTGGGATGAGACACTGCAGGGTTGATGGCTTCAGGCATGACTTCTCACCTCTGATCTGGGACAGAGGTAAAATGAAGCTGAGAGGTTTTGGCTACTCTGATAATGCAATACTGGGGACTTGTAGTGGATTTTACAAAAATCAGTCTTGTCAGATACTTATTAAAAGTTTCACTACAGTTGCTCAGAAATTGAGTCCATTACAGCATAAGGAATTGACAATAGAGCATGCAGCTAGTGAAGTTTTTTTTTTTTTTTTGTGTACTAGTGTGGGGGCTTGAACTCAAGCTTACTTGGCTTTATCGCTCAAGACTAGTGCTCTATCATTTGAAATCACATCTCTGCTTCCAGCTTTTTGCTGGTTAATTGGAGATGAGCCTTACCAACTTTTTTTTTTTTTGCCTAGGCTGGCTTCACAGCTTAATCCTCAAATCTCTGCTTCCCCGGTAGCTAGCTTTACAGGTGCAAACCATCCGAGCCTGGCTGAATGAAGGGATTCAGACTAATGTTTTATTCAGGATTAACTCAGGCTTAATAGGGTCAGTAAAAAAAAAAAAAATCAAGGATGTCTTTTTTTTTTTTTTTGAAAGTACTTGGATTTGAACTCAGGGCCTAAGTGCTCACTAAGCAGGGAGTCAACTCCTGAGCCACAGCTCCAGCCTTCAAAACAAAGCTTGTAAAATGGCAAAAGGCTTAGTTGTGTTTTCATGGAGTCAACTCCTGAGCCACAGCTCCAGCCTTCAAAACAAAGCTTGTAAAATGGCAAAAGGCTTAGTTGTGTTTTGAGGAACAAGATGGGAAAAAAATTACAGTAAGACTACACCCATTCTGAAGCCTAAAGAGAAGTGCCAGAAATGCATGTGGTTAGATTTAAGAGAGAAAACAATTTTACATAAACGTGAGAGTTAAGGTCAAAAGTACTCATGTAACTAAGATAATGTATGGGAAAAAAATGAAGACACACACAAATGCCAGGCCTCTGATGCTCATGGATACTTGCAAGTCACGAGGTGAATTTGCTGGCCCCATAAACATATGCAGGCGGCTTTTAGTGAAGCCTGCAGAAGATGTAAGGCCACCCATCTTTCCGGCCAGGTCTGAGAAGGCTCACTGCGGATGTAGACGGAGAACCTCAAGAGCAGACTAACTCCAGGTTAGGCACAAAAGATCTGCAGCTTTGTCAATATGCAGTCAGGAACATTTGAATGAGCAAGTTCGTTGTTTCTAATCCCTTTTGTCCTATTGATGGGTTTTTCTCAGTACATGCTTTTGGGCCAAAGACTAAAGGGCCCTTTGTGCCTATGGGCATATAACAGCGCCTCACGGAGAAAATACTGGGCAGCCCGCTGGAGGAGCTCACTAGCAGCTGTTCTTCAAATTAAGCTGTCACTTTAAAATTCAAGGGGAAGTACTATTTTTTTTTTTTGGTATGGGAAGGTCTCTAAGATCAACTTTTTCCTTTCTTTGTGGCTTTTAAAAATGTCTCAAAGACGCCATTTGGCACAGTTCCTCTTGCTCCTGAAATAATCTTTTAAGGTTACCTAAAGCACACACACGCACATGCAAACACTTCTCAAAAAACGGACTCGTCACCTACTACTGTGTCTAACCTCAACTGCAGGATCTGTTTAACAATGGAACCAAGTTAAAGCAGGACTTTATCATTTTAAAAAATATAGCTTATTTCTTTAGTTGAATTTGGTCCAAAGTGCCTCAGACTATTTCACATTATTAGAGATACTTGGAAGTGGCGTTGTAGCTCAAGCGGTAGAGCGCTAGCCTTGAGCTGAAGATCGCAGGGACAGCGCCCAGGCCCAGAGTTCAAGCCCCAGGACAAAAAAAAAAAAAGATACTTTTCAGCTTGCCCTTTCCCTGCCCCCACCCCCTCTTTTTTTTTTTTTGTGCCAGTTCTGGGGCCTCAACTCAGGGTCTGGATGCTGTCTCTGAGCTTCATTTTGCTCAAGGCAAGCGTTCTACCACTTGAGCCATAGCCCCACTTCTGGCTTTTTCTGAGTAGTTTATTGGAGGTAAGAGTCTCACAGTCTGTTTTGCCCAGGCTAGCTTTGAACCGTGAACCTCAGATCTCAGCCTCCTGAGTTGCTAGGATTACAGGCCTGAGCCACCAGTGCCCGGCCCCCATTACTTTTATTTAAGGGCTGGAAATCTGAGACTGCTCGGTCATGAACTCCATCTGGAGAAGAGCGGCCCTGCCCAGCTCAGTCTGTAAGAGCTGTAGGTTTTCAAAGGCCACTAGGTTGGCTAATGTGAGAAATATAAAGAAACAGGGAGTTGGCCTGACAGATCAACAGAAATAGGGAGAGATCTTTTATTGGTAGATTTTTTGGAAGGCAGGTTACAAACAGCACTCCAGGCCACTTGGATATAAAAGGTCATTGTTTTGCTTTAGAAAATATCTTCCCAAAATTTACAATAAAAAAAAAAAACCCCACAACAACAACCCACTGCAGGACATGAAGTACAAACTTTGCAGAATTTGGAGAAAAAAGCTTTACCTTTATGAAAATAATTTTTATGAAATGGTTTCAAGGATTGTGAATTGGGAGATGAAGCATAGCAAACATTGAAAATATATTTTAGCCAAAAGAATCCATTGATGTAAGTGAAATCTATTTACAGGCCCCAAGGCTGGGGCAGAAACATTCTAGTAGTATTAACAGATGTGCATTATTCTACTTGGATTATTGAAAGCCAAACAGCTTAATATCTTAACTGAATAGTAGACTTTTGTTAAAGATACTCATAGAAAAGTAGCTTTTGAAGAATGTAAGTTATTCAAAATCACTTTTGAAAGACTAGAACTCTAGTTGATAAAACTATATAAAATGTCTTCACGTACTTATACGATGACAGAAATGGTTATTAAAGTCTTGATGCTATTAAAAACATGAAATGAACATCATCTTTGTCTTTTCGTTTTCCTTTTCTGTGCAGGTCCTTGGGCTTGATCTCAGTCAGGGCCATGAGCTTGTATGTGGCTTTTTCCGTTCAAGGCTAGTGCTCTTTCACTTGAGCCGTGCCTCCAATTCTGGCTTTTTGCTGGTTAACTGGAGGTAAGTCTCTGGGACTTGTCTGCCTGGGTTGGCTTGGAACCTTGATCCTCAGATTTCAACCTCTTGAGTAGCTAGGATTACAGGCGTGAGACTACCCGTGCCTGGCTTCCTGGACGTCTTTTTTTGGATACAATTTGGCAATGTCAACAGCTTCAGAAAATATAGCAACCAATCTGCCAACCAACCAGCTATTGTTTCATTAGAAACTGCACCAAATCCAATGTCAGAACCAGTACTTTATTCTCCTAAGATGAAATGTCCTATTACGTACAAAAAGAATTGCTGTTTCGTTTTGCCACAATTTGTTAAACACATAGCAACCTAATTTTAAGTGAATAAATAGTACAGAAATACTGTGATGTGATGACTTGCCGAATAATTGTGTAATTCATTCAAACGTAGAATTCTTGCATCGGCCCAGTGCATACAACATGTAACATTAAAAAAAAAAACAAAACAAAACACACACACACACACACAAAAACTAAAAGGACCAAATAACCTGTATTTAACTACTTTCATCTTAATATTTTAGGCAAAAACTTTGCTTCCAGGTTTCTACACTGAGTTGATGTGACATCTTCGTGTACAGGGGGAATAAAATGACTGCAGAAAAACCTGTGCACCTGAGCCTGGAGGAGGGAGGGATGAACTGCAGCAGCAGCTTACTCTGAAGAAGCTACTGGCTGGGAAAGGTTTTGCATAGCAAGACAACACTGAACAGAAGGAAACTTGAAAAAGCAAAAAGTAGGCAACTTCCAGGACATGGTAAGGACAAAGCTAGTTGTGCAAAACGCTAGAAAAATCCTTGCAAAGCTGCCTAATTCAACTGTGGCAGATGTGAGAAGCGGTTCTCAGCGCACAGGAAGAATGGTGTAGAAGGATCACACACTGACAGGAAACACAAGCAGAATAATACACCTTCCTCCCCTGCTTTCCCGTTTTCCCAAAGCTTATGCTACTTTTCCTGATGTGGAGCAGACAGACAAGAAACAAAGGAACAAACCCCCAACCAACCAACAACCAATGACAGAGGGTAAGGGTACGTAAAGATGCCCTTCCTGCACTCTAAGTATTAGCTGTCTGGAACCAGCCATCGCCTGGAATCTCAGAGAACAGACAAAGGCCTTTCTCATGGGTATGGTCAACTGAGGAAAGGGATTAGCACCCTGCAGACTTTCCGTCACATGCCCACAGTGGACTGGGAATCCTAACGGGGGTCACCCCTGTCCCGGAGACACCCAGGTCTCACTGGAACCTCTGCCTCTCATGATATGGCCCCCTCCCCGCAAAGGCTCACAGATCCTCATGAGCGCACAAAGACACCTCCATCTGTGGGAGAAAAAGTATCTCCATTTATTTCCATTCATATACATCCATAGTTGAATTTTAATACAAAAAGAAAAAAATTAGAATCTGACAAATGTTTACAAACAAGATACCTTCAAATAGATTTTGCTCCTTTTAGCCTGGTGCGGAGTAAATGGCGGACTGTAATGGTGTGCTCAAGGAGTCAGTCTGTAGTCCAGGACTACTCAGCCCAACCTCTCATCGAGCTTAATTTGTGTCTACCATGAACAGTAACTCATTGTTGATTCCCAGGTGTGTGTGCACATGTGTACATAGCAGCTCCTTTCATAGAAAGAAAAGACATCTAGAGGTCGTTGGAACTTCACCTACAGGAGTCATGATAAGATACAGAATGGGTCGCGTGGAACCAGGGCTGGATTTTATAAGAAAAAATAATTAGCTGACAAATGAGGGCAGCAATAAAAAAGCGTCTTTTTTGCAACAATAAATAAATACAGTCAAAAGTTTTCTGTGGGACTGACTAAACCAGCTTCTTCACTGAAGAGCGGCCGCAGCATCCGTGGACTTTCACGGGACCCCATAGTCTTTTATTTATTTTTTCTTGCTTTTTCTTTTTCTTTTTTTTTTTTTTTCAATAAACAAAGTTTTCCCGCTTCTGCCACAATAGTAAAACCATTTGATCTTGACAAGATAATGGTGTCGTTGACTTTGTTTTTCCCTTGTCCGTTGGACAAAATTGGCCAAGAATATAATTGGACTGTTAGGACCAATAAAAACGAAGTGTAGCTCATGTCTCATCAGGATAACCTGACTAAAAACATCTGGCTTCTTAATTTCAAATAGTTCAGACAACCAGATTCTTGCTGAGTTTTACGTTAGGTTAACGTGCTGAACTTTAAGAAGCTGAAGACTGCAGTTTGTTGTTATGAGACCTACAGAATACAGAAAACAGGGAATCATTAAGCACTCTTCTGACTGAGAAACAACGATGCTTTTGTGGGCGATGCGGGGAGCGGGCCTTGTGCTCACCATTGGCACACAGTAGAGAACAATTCAGAAATTTTCAACTGTAATAGCAGAACAATAAGCATGATAGCTCATTGGAAAAAAGTCATTAAAAATACATAAATTATAGCCAGGAGCTGGCTCACGCCTGTAAGCCTTGATGACTCTTGACACTGTAATTCACTTAAGCAGAACTGAGTATAATTCTCAACTTGGCTTCTAGGTTCCCTAAAGAAAATTATATAAATCTTAGCATACTAAAAGCTATGTAAAAGCCAGGGGCTGGTGGCTCACGCCTGTTTTAATCCTAGCTACTCAATACGCTACTCAAGATCTGAGGATCATGATTCCAAGTTAGCCTGGGCGGGAAAGTCCATGGGATTTTTTCTGCCAATCCTGGAGCTTGAACTCAGCACCTGGGCACTGTCTCTGGGCTTCTTTTGCTCAAGGCTAGCACTCTACCACAGCACCACATCTGACTTGTTCTGTGTATGTGGCACTGAGGAATGGAGCCCAGGGCTTCATGCATGCTAGGTAAGCACTCTACCACTGACACACACGCCCAGCCCTGTGAGATTCTTATCTCCAATAAGCACCCCAAAAAAGCCCCAAGTGAAGCTATGGCTTAAGTGATAGAATGTAAAGCATGAGTAAAAAAAAGCTCAGGAACAATGCCGAGGCCCTGAGTTAAAGCCCACAGGATTGGCACCAAAACAAATAAATTAATTAAATAAAATAAAGCTAGGGGCTGGGAAGGTGGCTCAGTGGTAGAGTGCTTGCCTAGCATGCATGAAGCCTTGGGTTCCTCAGTGCCACATACACAGAAAAAGCCGGAAGTGGTGCTGTGGCTCAAGTGGTAGAGGGCTAGCCTTGAGCGGGCTACCCCAGGCCCGGTAAAAAAAAAAACAACCAGCTACCTATGAATAACCAGGTGGAAATGTGTCCTAGGTGGGCCCTTTTGGATGGGGAATATCAGCACAAAGCCCTAGTGTCCATGCCTATGAAGAGAGGAAGAGGGAGAGGAGAGAGAGGGAGGAGGAGAGGGAGAGGAGGGAGGGAGAGAGAGAGAAAGGGAGGAGAGGAAGCAGGAGAGCGGGCGGGGAGAGTGTGAGAGCAGTGAGTTAATGTGTAGGGGTTGATAGTTTTATACACTTGGCAAAGTTTACTACTGTGTTCTTTTATCCTGTTTGCCTACTTGGCTTCCTTCCTTCCTTCTAGTCTGAAATTCCTTTAACAGAAGGTGACTAGATACTTACCCTTCACTTTAAGTAAGCTGACGCTAAAACTACAGTTCTTGTAATTACTTGCTTCAGGACAAGGAAGATAACACCCTGAAGATTTTCTTTTATTTTTTTTTTTCCCAGTCCTGGGGTTTGAACTCAGGGCCTGGGTGCTGTCCCTGAGTTTCTTTTGCTAAAGGCTAGCACTCTACCACTGGAGCCAGAGCACCACTTGTGGCTTTTTCTGTGTATGTGGTACTGAGGAATGGAACCCAGGGCTTCATGCATGCTAAGCAAGCACTCTACCACGAAGCCACCTTCCCAGCCCCAAAATGAAGATTTTCTCTGGAGAGAAAGCACGGATCCTACACTTCTAGCCTGGACTTTCTCCTAGTTGTGTGGTGTCCCGTAGGAATTCACCAGACAATATGGAGACATCCAGGCACCAACCCAGTCCCAGTCTACCCAATCCAAGCACCTAGGAATGGTCCAACTGGGGCTGGTGGATGGGGCACAGTGAGAATCTCCAGGCTGCAGAATGGCTGCAGTTATCCCAGAAAAGGAAAGCAGGTGTCCAAAGGAAGGAAGGAAGTCACAGGCTTGAGATGGGGGATGCACATGGGACTCAGAAACCTAAGAACGATGAAGGCCTCAGTAACCGGCTCAAGCAAGTTGCTCCGTGCTCTTCCAGCAGAGTTAAAGCAGCCTGAGGGGACATTTTATACTTCTGTAATTCTCTACTGTATGGAAACTCAAGAGGAACGAGCTCTCAAGGGATCCTGAAGGCAGCATCTTCTGTTCTGGGCGTGCTTGATAAATGCTTGTTCAATTTGGAAAAAAAAGAAAAAGAAAAAAACTTGTCCTGGTAGTATGTCATAATACAAGAGTATTGATTTTTCAAAACTTTTTTTATTTGAAGGTTCACACTGGCTACATATGCTGCGCAGACTCCTTAGATAGCACCGTGTACAGACAGAGTTCCTGGGCTGAATCCCTGCAGAATGTGAAGCCCATTTGCTTACCTGCTGGCCTTGAATCCTTTCAACTTCTGCACAAAGAATGATTCCAGAACTTCTGCACATTGGTAAAAAGGGGAGTCACTAGGATTGTAGTAACGGCAATTATCAAAAATTTTGGTCATGTCTGCCACAAATTCGGTCAGCTTTTCATAATACCGTCTCTGTACTCTTTCTTCCATGGTGGCAAGGTCTTAAAAACAGAAAAGGAAAAAAGATTCCCCAAGTTTTAAGATTTTCCCACTGTAAATGAACGTATTCTGTAGTTCTGATTAGAGAATAGATTTTTTGCTAAAACAATAATAGAACTGAGCTGATTTATCCCACAAGCCACTAAAATGCCAGAAGTGGAGGTGTGGGTCAAGTGGTAGAACACTAGCCTTGAGAAAAAGCTTAGGAATAGTGCCTGAGCCCTGAGTTCAAGGCTCAAGACCAGTACACACACACACACACACACACATACACATATACACACTAATAATTGATGCAAAAAAGGACTAGACGGATGGTTTATCAGTGGCTTGCTGGTATTATAATGTATACACATGAAGCCAGATGAAAAAATGCAGAGAACAAAGGCTAGGAGGAGGGTTGTACCATCTTCCTAGAACTTCCACACCTTTAGCTACCCATAAGTTCCTGGAACCAAGACTCTTGAGGGTTTTTTGTGTTGTTGTTGTTTTCCCTAGAGACTGGAACTTGAACCTAAGTATCTGACTCTTCCTCATTGGCTGGCAATCTATCGCCAGAGCTGAGCCTCCAGCCCCACCTTTGAGGCTTCATTCTAGAGGCTTCATTACACATCAGTCATAGTGATGAGCTTCACCTCCCCTTTCTCCTTCCCAGAGGTTGGAAGGTGGAACTGAAAGTTCCAGTCCTCTAGTCAGGACTTGGCCTTCCTGGTAACCTGTCCCCTTCCTGAAACTGCTAGGAGCCCCCAGCCACCAGGCATCTCAAGCCTTCAGCACACACATCACCTGCTGTGTGCCAGGAAATGGATGCTGGCCAGCTTCCTCATATTATGGGCGGGGGGCACCCAATGATAGCGGCTTTGCCTGCCTCTCATCTGTACGTAATATTACTACCATTGTGTTTATTCCTATCATCTACTGTCATTACCACCATGAATGGGTACGTTAGTATGTCCCAAACGGAAGATAACTATCTAAATGAATGAAAAGACAAGACCATGTAAAGTCTGGGACAAGGATTTTTTTTTTTAATTGTGAAAATACTGTACAGAGGGGTTACAATTACATGGGCAAGATAATGAGTACATTTCTTATCAAGCATTGTAGCCTCCTCCTTTGTTTCCCCTTCGCATCCTCCCCCTGCCCCCCTGGGACAAGGATTTTTTAAAAAGAGGTTTGTTCACATTCTAGATTACCACTTTCTCTTCAGACGTACACTGCACTTACAAGCTCTTCCCTGTAATTAAAAGCAAAAGCATCTTCACAGCACCCAGGAGTTTTTTTTAAAAACCCGATCAAAGGCAAAATTGGGAAAGTGCTAGAATGTACTTTATAAATTGCAAACTAGAATGTACTTTATAAATTGCTGGCTTCAAACAGTGATTCTCAGATCTTAGCCTTCCTTAGTAGCTAGAATTACAGGTATGAGCCACTGGTGACCAGCCTGCACTGATTTTAGGGTCTTGCTTCTTGCCTGAGTCCATACTAGACCCTGACCCTCCTATCTTCATATCGTAGCTGGACTGACAGGTGCAGGCCACACCTTTCTTCTTCCTTTGAGATGGGAGTCTGGCCTATTTTGCCTGAGTTGGTCTGGAACCTCGATCATGTCAGTCTGTCAAGTAATTGGGATAACAGGCTTGCACCATCATAGCACCCAGCTATTGGTGAACGTTTTGCCCAGGCTGGCCTTGAACCATGATCCTCCCAATCTCAGCCTCCTATGCAGCTAGGAATATTATAGGCATAAGCCATCATGCGCAGATTTGTAATACCACCCGTTTTTTTTTTCTTCTTTTGTACTGGTCCTGGGGCTTGAACTCAGGTGCTTTCCTTGAGCTTTTTGTGTTCAAGGCTAGCACTCTACTGCTTGAGCCACAGTTCCACTTCTGCCTTTTTGGTGGTTAACTAGAGATAAGAAACTGAGGGGCTGGGAAGGTGGCTCAGTGGTAGAGCGCTTGCCTTGCATGCTTGAGGCCCTGGGTTCGATTCCTCAGCACCACATAAGCAAAAAGAAAAAAGCCGGAAGTGGCACTGTGGCTCAAGTGGTAGAGCGCTAGCCTTGAGCTGAAGAGAATAGGGACAGCGCCCAGGCCCAGAGTTTAGGCCCCATGACCGGACCCCCCCCCCCCCCCAAAAAAAAAAAAGAATCTGATGGATTTTCCTGTCTGGGCTGGTTTTGAACCGTGATCTTCAGTTCTCGGCCTCTGGAGTACCTAGGATTACAGGCGTGCACGACCAGTGCCCAACTGTAATATCCTTTTTAACAAACTCATAAATTTAAGCATTTCCTGAGTTCAGTGAGCTAATGAAGGGGAGTCTAAAGAAGGGTTGTGGGAGCAATGATTTGCAGCCTGACAGAATAGCCTGAGAATAGCTGTTAGTAGGCTTATGTTAAAATTTTATCTTTTAACAACCTAGACAAGGAAAGTGTTTGACTTTTCATGTCTTAAAAAACTAGCCTGTATTTTTTCTGAGTTTAATATGTGCTTTGCCCATTCTTCTCTTGGGATATCCACACTGTTGTCGTTATTATTATTATTTTGTTATGTGGTAGATAGTGGTGGTCAATCTCACATTTTATTCCATCTCTGTGACAGCTACATTTGTACACCAACACCAATAGTATGTAAGACAGTGTGCTAATTTCTAGTGCTTTTCAAGAGTACAGAGAAAAGACTACAGACATATTTACTGAAATTGGCTCAATTTCTTGAAGTATTGTTTTTCTTTATACTTTTTTTTTTTGGGTCCGGTCACGGGGCCTGACTCTGGGCCTGGGCGCTGTCCCTCAGCTCTTCAGCTCAAAGCGAGTGCTCTACCGCTTGAGCCACAGTGCCACTTCCAGCTTTTTTCTTTTTGCTTATGTGGTGCTAAGGAATCGAACCCAGGGCCTCATGCATGCAAGGCAAGCGCTCTAGCACTGAGCCACCTTCCTAGCTAGCACTGAGCCACCTTCCTAGCCCCTTTCTTTATACTTTCTGAGACAGTTCAGCATATTTAGCTAAGGTTGTCTTGGAACTTGTTATGGAAACTAGGTTTGACTCAAACTCATGATTTTCCTGACTTAGCCTCTCAAGTATTGAGATTACAGGTGTGAACCATCTTGCCTAGCTTGAAAGTGTAAAAGTGTGTGTGTGTGTGTTTATTGGGTGTGCGTCTTGAACTCTGGGCCTGGGCGCTGTCCCTGAGCTCTTCAGCTCAAGGCTAGTGCTCTATTACTGGAGCCATAGCACCACTTGTGGCTTTTTCTGTTGATGTGGTGCTGAGGAATCGAACCCAGGGCCTCAGGCATGCGAGGCAAGCACTCTACCACTGAGCCACCTTCCCAGCCCAGAAAGTGTATGTTCTTATTTAAAGTTTTACCAAGAATATATTTTAGTGTAACAGGGTTAAGATAGAGAAATAGAAAAGCGAGAGAAACATTTTGCACTTCTCATGAAGGCAACAGTAGTTAAAGATTCCTAAAGTATTTTACTTAAGCATATGAAGTATCGATACCCTATGACCAAGAAATAAATACAGGCAGATGTATGAACAAAGACAATACTGTGTTGATTATATAAGCAAAAGCTACATACAAATAATAGCAAAACAAATTAATGGGAGAGGGAAATAAATTATTTTAATTTTATTTGATTAAAAACAATGTTGGAGCCAGGTGATTGTGGCTCACACCTGTAATCCTAGCTACTCAGGAGGCTGAGATCTGAGGATCATGATTCAAAGCCAGCCCAGGCAAGAAAGTCTATGAGACTCTTATCTTCAATGAACCACCAGAAAATCCGAAGTGGTTGAGCTATGGCTCAAGTGGTAGAGCACTTGCCTTGAGCTGAAGAGCTCAGGGACAGTGCTCAGGCCCAGAGTTCAAGCCCCATTACAAAAAAAAAAGGTTGGTCAGGTACCAATAGCTCATACCTGTAATTCTAGTTATTTAGGAGGCTGAGATCTAGGAGTCCAATTTGATGCCACTCTGGGTAGATTTGTCTGTGAGACTATATTCTCCAAATAACTAACAAAAAGCCTGTCTAGAGGTGTGGTTTCATTAGCTGAGCAAGCAAATTGAGTGAACGTGAAGCTCCTAGCTGTATTTTATTTATTTATTTATTTTTTGCTGGTTCTGGGGCTTGAACTTAGGGCATGGACACCGTCCCTGAGCATCTTGTGTTCAGGGCTAGCATTCTACCACTTGAGCCACAGCACCAATTCCAGCTTTCTCTCACTCTTTCTTGTTGGTCATGGGGCTTGAACTCTGGACCTGGGCACTGACCTTCAGCTCTTCAACTCAAGGCAAGAACTCTAACCTTTGAGTCACAGGGCCATTTCCAGTTTTCTGAGTGCTTTATTGGAGATAAGAGTTTCACAGAGGCTGGGAAGGTCTTGGCTCAGTGGTAGAGCGCTTGTCTTGCATGCATGAGGCCCTGGGTTCGATTCCTCAGCACCACATAAGCAAAAAGAAAAAAAGCTGGAAGTGGTGCTGTGGCTCAAGTGGTAGAGCGCTAGCCTTGAGCTGAAGAGCTGAGGGACAGTGCCCAGGCCCAGAGTTCAGGCCCCAGGACTGGACACACACACACACATACACAAAAAGAGTTTCACAGCTAGGCTGGGTTCAAAGACAGCCTGGGCAGGAAAAGCTGTGAAACTCTTTTATTTATTTATTTTTTTTGTCATGAAGCTTGAACTCTGGGCTTGAGTGCTGTCCCTCAGCTCTTCAGCTCAAGGCTAGCACTCTACCACTTGAGCTACAGCGCCACTTCTGGTTTTCTGGTGGCTTATTGGAGATAAGAGTTTCACGGACTTTCTTGCCTGGGCTGGCTTTGAACAGTGATCTTCAGATCTCAGCCTCCTGAGTAGCTGAGATTACAGGCTAGAGCCGTTAGCACATGGCTAGCCTTTTCTCCTTATGTGGTACTGAGAAATCGAACCCAGGGGTTCATGCATGCTACGCAAGCACTCTACCACTAAGCCACATTCCCAACCCCTATAATTTAACTAATTAATTAAGTCAGTTGTGGGGCCTGAACTCTGGGCCTGGGCGCTGTCCCTCAGCTCTTCAGCTCAAGGCTAGCACTCTACCACTTGAGCCACAGTGCCACTTCCGGCTTTTTCTGCTTATGTAGTGCTGAGAAATTGAACCCAGGTCTCATGCATGCAAGGCAAGCACTCTACCACTAAGTCATCCCAACCCTCCCTGTAATTTATTTATTTTTTATTATTTATTTATTTTTTTTGTCGGTCGTGGGGCTTGAACTCTGGGCTTGGGCACTGTGCCTGAACTCTTCAGCTCAAGCTGAACGCTCTACCTCTTGAGCCACAGCACCACTTCCGGTTTTCGAGTGGTTTGTTGGAGACAAGAGTCTCACAGACTTTCCTGCCCAGGCTGGCTTTGAACCGTGATCCTCAGATCTCAGCCTCCTGAGTAGCTAGGATTACAGGCGTGAGCCACCAGCGCCCGGTACCTGTATTTATTGTTAATTAGAAGAACTTATTACTTTTAATAAACAGTAGTTGTCAAAAAGGGAACTACACAAATCTAAAATATGTGAATGCTGTACTTGTTTAGTCTTTAAAACCAGGAGTACAGAAGAAAGTATTCAGTCACTTGACTGAAAAGATGTTTCAGTCAAGGACGGCCCTGTGTAAGAGTGTGCTACTGTAAGAGAACATCCCCTGGGGATGTCACAGCCATCTTAATTGTACCAATATGTCTGTACAGTTAATATGGGAATGATACTCATATAACAACAAAGTTACCTAATGGCACAGTGTTTAGAAATGTACCTTATTGCTGGGCGCCAGTGGCTCACGCCTGTAATCCTAGCTACTCAGGAGGCTGAGATCTGAGGATCATGATTCAAAGCCAGCCCAGGCAGGAAAGTCCATGAGACTCTTATCTCCAATGAACCACCAGAAAACCCAAAGTAGCGCTGTGGCTCAAGTGTTAGAGTACTTGCCTTGAGCTGAGGAGCTAAGGAACAGTGCCCAGGCCCAGAGTTCAATACCCACAACCAACAAAAAAAGAAAAAAAAGGAAAAAAAAAAAGAAATGTACCTTGTCATTAAGCTCCTCATGACTGTGTTTTTTTTTGTCGGTCGTGGAGCTTGAACTCTGGGCCTGGGCGCTGTCCTTGCACTCTTCAGCTCAAGGCAAGAGTTCTACTGCTTGAGCTACAGCACTACTTCTGGTTTTCTAATGTTTATTGGAGATAAGAGTCTCATGGACTTTCCTGCCCGGGTTGGCTTTGAACCGTGATCCTCAGATCTCAGTCTTCTGAGTAGCTAGGATTACAGGCATGAGCCACTGGTGCCCAGCTGACTGTGTTTTTTGAAGACCATTTCAACTGTGCCCTTTTTTTTTTCTGGTCCTAAGGCTTGAAGAACTCTGGGCCTGGCACCATCCCTGAGTTTCTTTTGCTACTACTTGAGCCACCGCTCTAATCTTGGCTTTTCTGAGTAATTTATGTGAGATAAAGAGTTTCATAGACTTTCCTGCCTGGGCTGGCTTTGAACAGCTGGTCTCAGCTTCCCAAGTAGCTAGGATTACAGGCACCTGGCTAATTTTTCTTCTTTCTCTCCTCTTCAAAGTTGCCATCAAACACAAACCTCCTCATTGGGTACCGGTGGCTCACGCCTATAATCCTAGCTTCTCAGGAAATCTGAGATGTGAGGGTCATGGTTCAAAGCCAGCTTGGGTGGACAAATCTATGAGACTCTTATTTCCAATTAACTAGTAAAAAAACCAGACTTGGAAGTATGGATCATGTAGCAAGCAGGGTGCCAGACTTGATGCAAAAGCTAAGGGAGATGATGAACATGTTCCTTAAGTTCAAGTCCAGCCCTAGTCCCACCATTCCCTCCCACCAAAAACAAACACAAAAACAACCTACACAAGCACTGATAGGTATTCATCTTAACATGATCAGTTATATCATTTCCCCTCTGGGAAATGAATCTATAGTCTTAGGTCTGTATTGAGGAAGAGATGATAGGGAGGAGGAGATTCACTGGCTTCATTCTTTCACAGCTGCATAATACGTCATTCATATACCACTGTCTTAGCTACTCTTCTACTTATGGCTATTTAATTCATTCCCGCTGTTTTGGAATTATGAACATTGTTGCCTTGAATATATACCATGGCGGCCCGAACTCAGGGCCTGGGCGCTGTCCCTCAGTTCTTCAGCTCAAGGCTAGCGCTCTACCACTTGAGCCACAGCGCCACTTCCGGCTTTTTTCTTTTTGCTTATGTAGTGCTGAGGAATCAAACCCAGGGCCTCATGCATGCAAGGCAAGCGCTCTACCACTGAGCCACCTTCCCAGCCCTAGGCCCTGTGAATCTTAAGGAATGAAACCTTGACTTAGAGCAAGTACATGTACTCTTGAGTTACTTTCCACAACGACCATACTAACATGTACTTCCACCAGCCTGGTCAAAATATCCTCATGCTCAAGGCTAGTGCTCTACCTACCACTTGAGCCACAGCACCATTTCTGCCTTTTTCTGTGTACGTGGTACTGAGGAATCAAACCCAGGGCTTTATGCATGCAAGGCAAGCACTCTACCACTAAGCCACCTTCCCAGCCCATTCATGGTGTATCAATTTTATGGGTGGTAAAATAGCTCTCGAGACTTCTCAATGAAGTTCACTTTCAACTCAAAATACTTACCCATCGGCTCCTTAATCACACGATAATAATCTGGTGCATCATTAGGGTCTACTGGTTCAAGGAAAGGCCAAGCCATCTTATGGGCCTATAATAAAACAGACATCACTGTCAGAAATACAGACTGGAGGGCGAGACCAAGTAGGGGTGGGTGAGGGTGGGAGTGTTGTATGTATGTACAGAAATCACCAACATGGAGGTGTCCTCACCAGCCTGACCGTGTATAATTAATGTACGTCCCCCAAATCTTTTACTCTGGGCCTGGGCGCTGTCCCTCAGCTCTTCAGCTCAAGGCTAGCGCTCTACCACTGAGCCACCTTCCCAGCCCGTCCCCCAAATCTTTAAAAGAACTCAATGTTACTTCAATTTTTCACGTTCGTTACCAAATAAATACACCGTTTAGCTCCAAGAGTGAGTTTTACATGCGCGGATGGACTATTTGCACTGAGGTGAGGGAGGCAACTCTAGGCTGCTGGGGGGAGGGGGGGTGGTGGAGGGGGGCGGGACACGTGCTCAGGACGCTGGCTGGGCCGCCAGCTGAGTGCAGCCGCCAGCTAAGCGCTGTTGGCACTGCCTCATCTTTGTAAAGCCGGGGTGGATGGGCTCACAGTGCGTCACAGTGACCACTTTCGGCTAATGAGGTGGCAGAGACGAGAAGTTAAACAACACTCAGCCACAGTGAATTCCCCTTCTCCTTCCAGTTCTTCTAGTTCTCATGTTTCAAATTATAGCAGGAGGAAAGTTCCACTCTAGTGCTCTGGGTATAGCTGGTGAACACTCCTGAATGATGCCAACAATGCCTAGCCCCTTTAGTTTTTAACAAAGGGGTGAATAAGCAAACTTGAATCCAACTGTTTTCTAATCTGTGCCGTGAGATTAATTTTCTTTTTCTCTTTTCGTCGGTTGTGGGGCTTGAACTCAGGGCCTGGGTGCTGTCCCTAAGCTTTTTGCTCAAGCTAGTATTCCTACCACTTTGAGCCACAGTGCCACTTCCAGTTTTCTGGGGGTTCACTGGAGATAGAGTTTCATGGGCTTTCCTGTCTGGGCTGACTTTCAACCGCAACGCTCAGCTCTGAGCCTCCTGAGTAGCTAGGATCACAGGTGTGAGCCACGTGAAAAGTTAGCAAAAATCAGTGAGGCACTTCAAGTGATAGATCAGGTAAACAACCATGGAGGTGGCATGTGGATATGGTAAGCCTCCCAGAACTGGGGTGTGTGTGTTGGGGGGGGGGGGGAAGACTGCGGTGTGTCAAGCCCTTCGCCCTAAGAGCTGAGAGCCAGCCACTAACCACATTCTCCATGACGGGAAGTTCAAACGTGACCCACGTGGCATTTTCAGTGCGTCCCAGGAGGCGCCTCACCTGCAGGGAGCGGAGCACCCGCTTCAAGCCCTCATAATCTTTCTCTGTCAGCGGCGTGAGCACGGTCATGGCATCTTCCGTGGACTGGCACTGCGGACAGACATACTCATCAATGAGCTCTGCCTCACTCTGCAAGATGCCAACGCAACGCCCATGGTACCAGTTCTGACACCGATCACAGCCAATGTAAAATCTGGAAGATCCAAAACAAAAGTGAGCTCCGAGTGGACAGGATAACTTTGCATCTCATCATTGACTTTTACAAATAACAAAACATGCAACTGAAAACTTAGTAAGCCCCAGGATATAAAAGTTGTATTAGGATCGTTTTACTAGTCTTGAGGTTGAAATCCAATGGGTCAATTTAGTACTTTTGAAGTTAAGAATAAGCAAAGTTTATTATGAACATTGTATAATATTGGAGAACCAATTTGAAGAAAAATGTAAGACATTTAATTGATTTTTTTAAAGCCCCAAACAAAATAAAACCAAAAATCTTTCAACTAATACCATTTCAAGTGGGAGTTCAGAATCCTGTAAGCTAATAGCAATGTTTCAGAGTTTATACATAATTAGTGTTTTTCTCTCCTACAATTTAAGTGCCATTTCAAACACTAAGTCCAAATAAGTCAGGCTGTTTTAATCTCATTAATTTCTACGTTACACATTGAAGAATCAATTCTACTACTAAACCACATTTCCCCCAATGTGTCACAAGCATTCAGTATGAGGCAACATAAATTTTGAAGGGGAGGTAAAGAGGAGAAAAGAGAAAAAAAAAATTGGAAAAGAATTTGTAATGTAAGTGTATAATATATGCAGAAAAAGATCTTGCTTTTTATTTTTAAAATAAATAAGTAAACCAGTCAGAGCAATGTGGCTTCCTACATTATTAAATATGATGCTCTTATCAGAACTCACTGTGACTCATCATAAGGTGTTCTGCAGATACAGTACAATTCCTCACTGCTGCCCTCTTGTGCCCGTTTACAATCATTACAGATGTACACATCCATTTTCTTAGCCTCCTTTTCTGTGATGCCAACACATTCTCCATGATACCAGTTAGTACAAAGATCACAGCCAATATAGAACCTAAAAGTATTCACAATGAAAATGACAATGTAATTGTCATTTTTGAGCTGCATAGTACTTAAATCTGTCTTCCCTACCCGGATTCTCTTTCTTACAGGATAATTTCTGCCATGAGTCGCCTAAACACCCTGACTCCAACCATTCTACCAGTGGCAAACTCAGCATCTGATGCTGGATCAGTGTGGAAAAAGAAGTCACTCACATTGATTTCAACAAACATATTGTTGCGTGAAATATGGGTGTTCTAAAACACACTGGAGTTAAAAAAAAAAAAGATGACACACTGATGGTAATGGCTTCCTCTTAATGAATGTGTGCGAAAGTGTAACAGGCACAGAAACCAGAGCCAAAGAACCACGACTTACATCTGTCAAACCTATGCCACAGAAGCCACTCCAATAGCAGGGCTGCTTCTCAGATAGGTTTGAAAATGTATCTCACAATTTAAATTTGAGGCAAAAAAAAAAAGAAAATCAAAAACAAAGCGAAGCGCAAACACCAAGTGAAAGTTACACCACGAGGAACATGCGTGTCATCCAGGTGTGAAGTGGTCAGACGTGACGTGAAGCAGGAAAAGGAAAAGGGTACATGTAGTAATTCAATTCTACCAAGTTTTCTACGTTTATAAGCATCAAGCTATGACCTAATTCAAATCACCTCATAGTGGATGATGACAGACATGGGCGATTGGGTTAACGTGTGCGGCTGGCTAAAGGGGAGAGGGGCCAGGTTAATCAACTGCTTAGGAGATGGGAAGGTCTGTTGAGTCAAAAGCAAGGGCCCACCATGGGAAGAATGATGGAGGCATGCTTCTCCTGCAGGAGTGTACAGGAGCAGACCTCAAGGCTTCTGGGATGCTATCCCCTCAGTGGGCGTGTCCATGAGTGTTGGCTCCTGCTGTGCAGGATCACCACGCCAGTGACTCTTAAGTGTTCCCCCGCACAGCCCCTGGCCTGCCCCTGGCATCCTTCACTCTGCCCGGGCATCTCTGGATTCACCTGGAGGAATGCAAGCCGCCTCCTGCCTCAGGGAGCAGTACAGGCCTAGGGGTTTATTCTATTCTTTCCCTTTGGGATTCCGACTCTTATGCGCTAATCTCTGCTGGGGTGGGGAGGGGGGGGTCTTCTGGGGGTATTTTTGCTGTGTTCTCTTCAGGGTGGTTGGTGAGCTATGTATGCAAGGGCAGGACTTGAATTTCCATTTTTTAGCTACTCTTCCTAGATTCTTCCACCTAGGCTGGCTTGGTATGATAGACTATGAACTACTACTGAAAACACAACAAGTTATTTCAACTAGTACAGGGAGTGGATGAAGCTGGGAGGCTGGAATGGCGAACTGAAAAAAGTATGATATATCCACAAAGTAATGAGGCACCTCAACATGAGCACGTGTACAGGTGTGCCTCATTTTACACAACTCAGGCTTCCCAAAAAAGTTTGTGCAAAATGAATTTCTGTGATTTGAACACTTGACAGAATTGAGGCCAAAGAAACCCCCAAAGCATCTCTTTCATAGAAAGGATCGCATGCTCTTTTATCCCAGGAATCACTTCAGTGCGTGTTGCGGAAGTGAGGCACACGGCAGCAGACCACCGCAGTGGACAGGCTCCACTTTCACACTAGGGACAATGTCTACTGTGGCAAAACGATGGAAGGGGAAGAGATCTGAACGGATGCGTGTTTAACACAGCGAACCAACCAGCAAAGGTTTCATCAGGCATTTGCAAACAGGCGATAATTTAGACAGTGCCACCAGAGTAATTTCCTACGAGATTACAAACGCAATTAGACCCCCCAATTAGACATTAAACATTCCTATTCCCAAATTTCTTTCTTTTTGGAGACAGGGTGTCATTATGTAGCCCAGGCTGGCTTTGAACTCTTGATCCTCCTGCTCCAGCTTCCTAACTGTTAGGAATAGTTGTGCACCACTGTTTGGCTCTACATTATTTTTTTCTTTGTGCCAGTATTGGGGTTTGAACTCAGAGGCTTGCACTCTCACTTGGCTTTTTTGCTCAAGGCTGGTATTCTAGCACTTGCGCCACACCTCCACATTTGGCTTGTTGCTGGTTAAATGGAAGAGCTTCAGGGACTTTCCTGCCTGGAATGGTTTCAGACCATGATCCTCCAATCTCAGCTTCCTGAGTAGCTAGGATGACAGGTATGAACCACCAACATCTGGCTAAAAGATTTTTTGTGTGTGTGTGCTGGTACTAGAGCTTGAACTCAGGGCCTGGGTACTGTCCCTTAGCTTTTCTGCTTGAGGCTAGAGCTCTACCACTTGAGGCACAGCTCCACTTCTGACGTGTGTGTGTGGGGGGGGAGGGGGGGAGCCTGTCCTAGAGCATTTTTGCTCAAGGTTAGCACCCTACTAGAGCAGTTCTACTTTTGGCTTCTTGATAGTTAACTGGAATTATAAACTTTCCTAGTAGGGCTGGCCTTGAACCATGATCCTCAAATTTCAGTCTCCTGAATAGCTTACAGGTGTGAGTCATCAGCACCCAGCTCACATCTAGTTGTTTTTGGTGGTTAACTGAAAAGTTTCATGGACTTTCCTGCCTGGGACAACTTTGAACTTTGATCCTTAGATCTCAGCCTCTTGAATAGACAGGATTATAGGTGTGAACAAATGGTGCTGGCTAAATGCTTTTTCTTTCTTTCTGGCCTGGGGCTTGAATTTAGGGACTGGGCACTATCTCTGAGCTTTGGCACTGAGGCTACCATTCTACCACTTGAGCCACACCTCTACTTCCAGCTTTTGGGTGATTAATTGGAGATGAATCTCATGGACTTTCCTGTCTAGGGCTGGCTTCAAACTTTGATCCTCAGATCTCAGCCTCCTGAATAGCTAGGATTACAGGTTCAAGTGAGTTACAGCACCCAGCGACTAGTATTGTATGTTTATTATTATTTATTATACAATTATATATATATATGTCCCCCATCCCACCCGCCTCATGCTGATCTTTGCAGTTGCACTCACGGCTTGGGTGCTGTCCCTGAGCGTTTTTGCTTATTGCAAACACTTTACTACTAGAGCTGCAGCTCTACTTCTGCCTTTTTTTTGGTGATGAATTGGCGGTTAGTCTCATGGGCTTTCCTGTGCAGCTGATTTCAAATCAAGATCCTCAGGTTTCAGCCTCCTGAGTAGTTAGGATTATAGGCATGAGCCACTGGTGCCCAGCAGTAATATTTAAAAGCAAAGTTTAATATTCTTTTTAGTACAGTAAAAAATATGTACCATGGTTACTTGTTGCTTGGAAAACTGGGCTTACAAGTAGTATAGTGGTGCATAATCCCAGCACTTGGGAAGCTGAGGCAGGATTATAAGTTCAAGATAGCCTGGTTACATAGCAAGTCCCTGCCTCAAGGGGAAAAAAAGTAGTGTACATTTTAATGTCTCTGAATACTTAGCTGAATGATAGTAATGACCAAAATGTAAAACAATATAAAGACTATCTCTAAAATCTCATTTACTGAAGACACAACTGTCAAAAACAGCTTCCAGCTGCTATAGTTATCAATTTTTTATTTTTTGTTTTTGTTGGTTGTGGGGCTTGAACTCAGGGCTGGGCACTATCTCTGAGCTCATTTGCTCAAGGCTAGCGCTCTACCACTTTGAGCCACAGCTCCACTTCCGGTTTTCTGGTGGTTAAAGTCTCATGGGGACGTTTCTTCCCGGGCTGGCTTCGAACCGCAATCCTCAGATCTCAGCCTCCTGAGTAGCTAGGATGATAGGCGTGAGCCACTGGCACCCGGTCACTTATCAAATTTTGAGTCTTATACTTGAAGAAGGGTAGAAGGAACATTTTTTTTTTGTATTTTTTTGGCTTTTGTTCCAACCAAGTAGGTAGAAACTTTTAACAAAAACATTTTTTTATCCCAATATAAAAAAGGAGAATTGCTTATAATAAAACCCAGAACGATTCAAATTTGAAGCTGCTTGCGCCATTCACATGTGGGTGGGATGGAGTTCTGGGCTCTGGGCTCTCGCGAAGGCAGAGACCAGGCTTGTGTATGGGAATGGAGGCCCAGCAGGGCTGGAGTGGCCCAGAAAGAACCGGAGAAAGCAGAGGAGCAACAGAAAGCTGGTTTTTGACAGGAAAGAATACGCCAAAGGACAAAGAACTGCGAACCTGTGAAATAGCACTTTACTTCTGGTGCAAGACTGAGAATAAGCACCTGCCCCAGAGACGGAACTTTATTACCCTCACAGTGGTTGTCGTGTACACTGTCACCAGTACATGCCTTTCCTACACCTGCCAATTTAACAGCTAAACTTAAAATAAACTAGAGCTCAAAAAACTCTACTCACTTAGATTCATCATAAGGCGTTTTACAGATACAATAAAGCTTTGTGTCCTTCTTAGTTTCCTTTGAGGTAGTAGAGATCACTTTCTTTTTCTTGGACTTTGAGTTTGAGTCTTTGTCCTCCTCCCGCTTCCTCTTCTGGGAAGCCGCGGGCGGGGGCACCGGGAGGCGCGGGGGCTGCAGACCGGGGACAGCAGGAGGCGAGGGCGGAGGGGCTGTGGGGGGTGGCGCGGCCGCCGCCACAGGGGGTGAGGGGGCCGCTACTGCACTGGCCTGCGCCACCTGCGCCATGTCCTTCTCCTTCTTCATTTTCAGGTCTCTCCTCAGCTCTTCCTGTCGTAGAGACACAAGGCAAGAAAATCATTAGAATTATTTCCATGCATGACCTGGACAAGGCCATCAAGTAGCTCCATGGTCATTCTGATGTGAGAGGGGTTTTGTTTCCTGCCTGGGCTGGCTCCGAACCTTGATCCTCAGAACTTAGCCTCCTGAGTAGCTAGGATTCCATGTGTGCACTGCCGGCACCCCCACTTCTGATGTGAGAGTTTTAGGAATGCCCAACAAGAGTTTTCTTACTCTATGCCTTAAGTCCAATCTCAACCAGCAGAAATAGAAAAGGGTCAAGCACGGAGAGACTGCTAGATCTACTCGAAGGAGCCTCAAGTGTGAAAGCCCACCCCTTCCGGCTGGAGCCTGGCTGTGTCAGTGGAGGCTTGGGTGGGATTTCAAGTGTCCTCCTCATTGACTGCCTCCCCCCCCCCCCCATTTTGTCCTTATTGTAAGGAACTGAATAGGAGTTTCAAAAGGTGGCGTGACCAGCACAAAGTAAACCTAGAGGCAGATTTGCCTTGTTAATGGCACTCCTATGTCTGCTGGGAGAGGTGAGGACAAAACACACTAGTTTCTCAATAGGGGTTTTGCCACCAATTTAACTGTAAACTAACTGAGGCAGAAAGAGCTGCAGGTGTGCCTTCTGTGGCGCTTAGCAGGCAGAAGCCTCTGAGTTCAAGTCCCAATACAGCCTGCCCTGCCCCCCCTCAAGAAAAAAAAAAAAAGGTCAGGCACAATGAATGGCTCATACCTGTAATCCTAGCTACTAGGGAGGCAGAGATTAGGGGGGAGCTTGTAGTAGAAGTTCAAGGCCCATCAATGCAAAAAGTTTGAGACCCCAATCTCAACTAGTAATAGTTGGGTCTATCTTACACATTGGAAATGTAAGGAGGATCAAGGTCCAGGCTGGCCTGGGCATAAAGGTAACTGAAATACAATACTGGCAAATTTGCTGAAAACACTGTAAATAGCTTTTTGGTGTTGGTCCTGGGGCTTGAAATTAGGGCCTAGGCACTGTCCCTGAGGTTTGGTTTTTTTCTCCAGGCTAGCGCTCTATCACTTGAGACTCAGTTCTACTTTGGGTTTTTTTTGGGGGGTATATAATCGGAGATAGGTATCTCATGGACTTTCCAGCTGAGCTTTTTTTTTTTTTTTTAAAGTTTTAAAATTTTTGTTGGTTCTGGGGCTTATACTCAGGACCTGGGTGCTGTCCTTGAGCTTTTGGCTCAAGGTTAGTGGTGCTCTACCACTTCGAGCCACAGCTTCACTTCCAGCTTTTTGGGTAGTTTATTGGAGATGAGCATGTCATGGACTTTTCTGTTCTGGAAGGCTCTGAACCACAATCCTTAGACCTCAACCTCCTGAGTAGCTTGGATTATAGGTGTGAGCCACTGGCACCTGGCTATAACCTGTTTTGATTGAGCAGCTATCAATGCGACGTTCTCTCTAACACCAAACATCAAATAACATTCCTTACTATTTTATTAAAACTGATAGCGAGCCAATGGCTCACACCTGAAATCCTAGCTACTTGGGAGGCTGAGATCTGAGGATCCTGGTTCAAAGCCAGTCAGGGCAGACAAATCTGAGGGGTTTTGTTTTTGATAAATCATCAAAAAAGTTGTAAATGGAGGCATGGCTCAAGTAGTAGTAGAGTACCAGCTATGAGTGAAAAAGCTGAAAGCTCAAGGCCTAAGTTCCCACTACTGGCACAAAACAAAAAAGAAAATGGAGTTCATTTTGCAGAGTCCACAATGCTTCTAATGGCACCAAAGCCTAGCAGACAGCATCGAGAGTCTATGTGGACAGGGCCAGGGCATTTTCCTGTTTTAGTCAAAATAAAAACGAAAAAGAACCGTGGGTCCAAGATGTTAAGTCTCTTACACTATTAAAAACTGGCCTGGCTGGGCACCACTGGCTCACACTAGTAATCCTAGCTATTTAGGAAGTTGAGATCAAAGAATCAAGGTTTGAAGGCACACAAGTCTCTAAGGCTCTTATTTCCAATTAACCAGCAAAAAACTGAGCTAGAGGACTGGATCAAGAGGTAGAGTACCAGCTCTGAGTAGAAAAACCCAAGAAAGTGAGGCCTTGATTTTCAGCCGTGGTATGGGGGGAAACAAAAATAAACAAAGCAAAACCCCACCCTGGCAAAGTGTTCCTGTTTGGAAACACTGATTACCAATCTGTGCACTGTGTACTTGAGGCTGATAGCAAAACTAGACAAGTTTCTAAAAGCAAAATTATGGATCTGATCATATCCATAGTTCTGTTTTTTTTGATACATACTGATGAAATGTTTTCCATAGCATATGGGTATATGGCATTGTTTCTTAAATATGCTGTTTCAGTTTCCTCAATTAGATTAAAGATAATTTAATTGTAAAGTCCTCCCCTGGATGGCTAGCAGACTCCACCTTCCTCGCAGCAAAGACTCCAACCAGTACCTGCGTAACTAGGCAATTGGGACACCTGGAAGAGGTCACATCTGCATCCGCTGAGGTCACATCTGAATTTGATGTGGCCACACCTTCCTCCGCCCATACCCTAGATAAGGCCTAGGGCAGGCCCAGATGCTCTCTCTCTGCTCTTTTCTAGCTCTCTGCTCTTGTCTAGCTCTTCTCAAACTCTTTTCTCTCTCTTTCCCAGCTCTCTCTCTTTCCTAGGCCTTTTGCCAGCCGCGTGGAGTGCCAATCTTGCCTGGTCCCAGCAGGTCTACTGAATAAACCTACCCCTTACCTGAATACCATGTGCGTGGTACAGTTCTTACTCGGCTACCTCTTTTTAAAAACCTAACATTAATATGTTTATTGGGAACCTTTTTTTTTTTTTTTGGGTCTAGTCGTGGGGCCTGAACTCTAGGCCTAGGCACTGTCCCTCAGCTCTTCAGCTCAAGGCTAGCGCTCTACCACTTGAGCCATAGCGCCACTTCCGGCTTTTTTTCTTTTTGCTTATGTGGTGCTGGGGAATCGAACCCAGGGCCTCATGCATGCAAGGCAAGCGCTCTACCACTGAGCCACTTCCCAGCCTAAAAGTTCTTTTTTGTTTGTTTGTTTTGGCTGGTCATGGGGCCTGAACTCTGGGCCTGGGTGCTGTCCCTCAGCTCTTCAGCTCAAGGCTAGTGCTCTACCACTCCAGCCATAGCGCCATTTCTGGCGCTTATGTGGTATTGAGGAATCAAACCCAGGGCCTCATGCATGCAAGGCAAGCACTCTACCACTGAGCCCCCTTCCCAGCCCTTTTTTTTTTGGGGTCTGGTCGTGGGGCCTGAACTCTGGGCCTGGGCGCTGTCCTTCAGCTCTTCAGCTCAAGGCTAGCGCTCTACCACTTGAGCCACAGCGCCACTTCCAGCTTTTTTTTCTTTTTGCTTATGTGGTGCTGAGGAATCGAACCCAGGGCTTCACGCATACAAAGCAAGCACTCTACCACTGAGCCACCTTCCCAGCCCTCCCAGCCCTTTTTTTAAAAAACTGGTCCTAGAGCTTGAATCAGGGCCTGAGTCCTGTCCCTGAGCTCAAGGCAAGTGCTCTACAACTTGAGCCACAGTGCCACTTCCGGTTTTCTGGTGGTTAATTGAAGATAAGTCTCAATGACTTTCCTGCCTGGGCTGGCTTTGAACTGTGATCCTCATGACTCCGCCTCCTGAGTAGCTAGGATTACAGACATGAGCCACGAGTGCCCAACTTAAACTAAGCCTTGCGCATGTATGGGTTGTCCCTGGAGCCTCTTTCTCTTTTTTCTGGTCTAAAGAGTTTGACTTCAGGGGCTTGCACTTTACCACTTGATGACCTCAAACTGCCATCGTGTATGCCTGTGTGTGTGACCTCAAACTGCCATCGTGTGTGCGTGTGACCTCAAACTGCCATCGTGTGTGTGTGTGTGTGTGTGTGTGTGTGTGTGTGTTTGTGTGTGTGTGTGTGTGTGTGTGTGTGTGTGTTTGTGTGTGTGTGTGTCCTGGATGCTATCACTGGGTTGCTTTTGCTTGAGTGCTTTTTGTTCTCTATCACTTGAGCCATTTCCACTTCTGGCTTTTTCGGAAGGTGAGTGGAGATAAGAGTCTCATAGACTTTCTTACCCCAGCTGGCTTTGAACCACAATTCTCAGACCTCAGTTTTCTTAGTGGCTAGGATTACAGGCTTGAGTCACCAGTGTTTGGCAACCTCAACCTCTTGAATATCTAGGATTATAGGTATGAACCACTAGTGCCCAGATGCATTTTTTCCCCTAAGATCTCTAACTTTGCCCAGACTGGCTACTAATTCAATACCCTCCTGCATCTTCTTCCTCAGAAGCTGGGCTTGCAAGCATATGCAACCAAGCTTAACTCAAGTTTGTTTATTGTTATTATTATTTTTTTGTTTTTTGGTTGGTCGTAGGGCTTGAACTCTGGGCCTGAGCACTGTCCCTCAGCTCTTCAACTCAAGGTGAGCCCTCTACTGTTTGAGCCACGGCACCGCTTCTGGTTTTCGAGTGGTTTATTGGAAATAAGAGTCTCACGGACTTTCCTGCCCAGTCTGGCTTTGAACCATGATCCTCAGATCTCAGCCTCCTGGGTACGTAGGATTACAGCCACCTGCGCCCAGCTGTTTAATTGTTATTTTTTTGCCATCAAAATTATCTTTTGTTTGTGCAGCCCTTGAATTATATAATGCTTAGCAGTGGTTTACCCACTCCAAGACTACAAAAATGACAATCATGTCTTCTTTTTTATTTCCTATTTTACATTTAAATTAAATTAGATGTATCTGAACTGTAATTAAGGTGAAAGGAGGTATTTTTCTGTTGCTACTATAAATTGATTCTTTGGTGGATTAAAAACTGACAACAGGGGCTGGGAAGGTGGCTCAGTGCTCGAGTGCTTGCCTTGCATGCATGAGGCCCTGGGTTCGATTCCTTAGCACCATATAAGCAGAAAAAAGCCAGAAGTAGCGCTGTGGCTCAAGTGGTAGAGTGCTTGCCTTGCGCCAAAGAACTGAGGGACAGCGCTCAGGGCCAGAGTTCAAGCCCCATGACTGACAAAAAAAACAAAAAACAGCTTGATAAGAAATGTACTCATGGGGCTGGGAAGGTGGCTCAGTGGTAGAGTGCTTGCCTTGCATTCATGAGGCCCTGGGTTCGATTCCTCAGCACCACATAAACAGAAAAAGCTGGAAGTGGTGCTGTGGCTCAAATGATAGAGCACTAGCCTTGAGCTGAAGAGCTGAGGGACAGTGCCCAGGCCCAGAGTTCAGGCACCATGACTGGCAAAAAAAAAAAAAAAAGAAATGTACTCATTATCTTGCCAATGTAATTATAACCCTTCTGTACAGTATTTTCACAATAAAAAATAAAAATTAAAAAACCCAAAAAAACAAAAAACCCCTAAAAAACAAAATGACAACGGGTACAGTCTTGATGTTTATATTGTAGCTGACCACCGTAGTAAAATCTTTCATATATTTGATCTTAGGGTGTCAATATAACAATTACACCACACATAGGTAGTTTCTCTTATTTCTTCTGCTTTTTTTTTTTTTTTTTTGGGTCCGGTTGTGGGGCCTGAACTCTGGGTCTGGGCGCTGTCCCTCAGCTCTTCAGCTCAAGGCTAGCGCTCTACCACTTGAGCCACAGCGCCACTTCCAGCTTTTTTCTTTTTGCTTATGTGGTGCTGAGGAATTGAACCCAGGGCCTCATGCATGCAAGGCAAGCACTCTACCATTGAGCTACCTTCCTGGCCCCATTTCTTCTGCTTTTTGTCTCTGATCTTTCTTGGACTGTCACATTGGAGAGGAGCTGGTACTGACTATCAGCTCTGCTGTCCTGTCTCTGCCCTATTGTGATGATCTCTAGGGTCTGAGTTAGGTCATGTTGACTGCTGTTCTGATTGATATTTTCTTTTTTTTTTTGTTGGTCATGGGCCTGAACTCTGGTCCTGGGCGCTGTCCCTCAGCTCTTTAGCTGAAGGCTAGCGCTCTACCACTTGAGCCACAGCGCCACTTCTGACTTTTTTCTTTTTGCTTATGTGGTGCTGAGGAATCAAACCCAGGCCTCATGAATGCAAGGCAAGCGCTCTACCACTGAGCCACCTTCCTAGCCCCAGTATTTTCTTTATCATGCAAAGGAGAGAGAGAGAGAGAGAGAGAGAGAGAGAGAGAGAGAGAGAGAGAGAGAGAGAGAGAGAGAGAGAGTCTGTTCTTTAGCTAGAAAAGCTTCCCCTTGATGCAAAGTACCTGCATACTTGTTACTTTCCTGTTCCTTTAGGCTAAAGCAAATGACTGAAAACAGGCTGACATTTTAGGCCTGATCAGAAATTTAAGACAAAGCTCAACACCAATAAATGCTATAAAGAACAAGTGTCCTTCTTACCTGCACCTCGATTTGCAGGTCTTTGTCCAGGAGTGCTCGCTTTTTGAGGATTTCTGCTTTGAGCTGCTCTTTGTGTTTGAAGAGCAGAGCAGACAGCTTGCTAGCATTCTGCTTGCTCCGCTTCTGTTCCACACTCTCCTCCCGTTTCCGTTTTTTCGCAGCCTGTTTTTCTTCTTTATCTATCTTATCCAAAATATACTTCATCACCTGGTTACAGACAATCATTCTAGAGAAAAATACACAAACTGTGAAATGCTGGGGATTTCATTTGGAAAGATTCAAGACAAGATTCTTCGGGGTTTCCCTACAGCGGGGTGTGCAGAGTTTCTAGGAGTGCCTCAAACCTGTTGTGATCAACTATCAGCACCAAGTTACCAAACTTCAGTCAAGACTCAACCAACAGCAACTTACAAGCCTTGCTGCATGTACAGGCTAAGGGAAGAGGCCCTGGATTCCCCCTACCTTTGGTTCTCTTCTCTTTCAGCGGGAGTCATGGGCTTTTTCTGTTTTAAGTGTTCTATTACAGCATTATGCTTCATCACCACCTTTAGGAAAGAGCAAACCCAAAAGTGCTTGTTTTATAATGACCAGAGTTAGGACACAGGGCACAGTAGAAATCAGCACACATCTGCTTTTTGGGAGAAATGGCTAGGGATTTTATGTTGATACAAATAAAATTAGCAGCTGCTGGGTGGGCCTGGGTGCTTACCACGTGCAGGGTACCATGTTAAGCTAGGCACTTGGTAGGACCTTCTCCAGTCTTTATCAAAACAGAGTCAGAGGGGATACGGTCATAAATTCTGAGATACACAGAATTAACTAGCTTAAGATTAAAAAACAAAACAACCACAAATTTCACACAATTACCATGCACCACAGGCCATTATCACTATACTCTCTTTCCAGGCTTACAGAGCTGTCATCACTCCTCTTATGCAAAGGACTAAGAAGATGGACAGCTTTTGGAATCACTCTCATCTTACAGACTACATTGCACTGAGGACTGGGTGAGAATGTATTTGAACATATTACACAGAAATTCATTTTACTGAAATATTCGCTCCCACCATTAAGAATCCCATGTGACCTTTATGATCATTATAATAATCCTGTGTGGCTGCAAAGAGAGGAGTTTTAATGAAGATACAGCTCAGGGGAGATGAAGGAGTTTCTTGACTTGGTAATACCCCAAACCTACACTCCAATCATTGCCCGGTGTTAAATAAACACACTGTAGATGGATGCTGCATGTGTGATTTCATCTTAACAGTATTCCTCACTCCTCTAAACTGCCTTACTTCACCACGGTGCCACTCCAGGATGCACCTGCACAAGGCCACCTTTAATGTAAGCTATGGAAAAATAGTACTTAAAACATTTTTGTAAGGTATGGCAGGAAATGCAAATGAAGTCAATCTGGCTAACATCTGCTTCATCTCAACGCAAATTAAGGAAAGAAAATAGCAAATAACTCCAAATGAATTTCCATCCTGTTGGAACTAGTTTTTAACTTTTGTATTAACGATATTTAAACTCAGAGCGGCATTCTTCCCCCACCCGAACAGGCCGTTTCTAATAAACTCTGATCATGTAACCAACAGAGAGAGTTCCAAACCATCACAGTCAACATTTCCGGTCCACCTAGTGCTTCTCCTGAATGAATTTCAACACCAGTGATGTCTCATTTAGGAAACCGAACACTAAGTCTACTGCACAGCACAATAATTCAAGCTGCTGAACATGCTGCTTTGACTTAATAACTTTACCTGTTTCTGAATGACTTCACTTTGGTTAGAAGCTTGGAGGGTGTGTTCGCGCTTAATCTCTATCTGTTGCTGCTTCTTCTTTTGCTGCTGATCCCTGAGTTGCTGAGCCCTCTGCAACTGCTCTTGTACACTGGCTGCCTGCACTGTAACCACATTCTGAATCTGGTGAGGCTGCACAGCACTGCTTTGCTGAATTTGAATGGGTAACTGGAGTTTGATCTGCTGGGGCACACCACCTTGCTGGGCCTGTATCTGAGCCACAACCTGCGGCTGGATCTGAGAGAGAACCTGGACTTGTTGTTGCAGCTGAGGTACAGCAATGACTTGGGGCTGTGGCTGCGGAATTTGTAGCTGAGGACAGGAGGGGGATGAAACAGTAACTTGACTTAACGTTTGTCCTGCTGAAAGAGTTTGAGTTGAAGACTGTACCTGGGGTTGTGACTGTGGCTGGCCTTGGGAAGGTATCGGAAGAGATGTGTGTGGCTGAATTGGAATCGGTTGTGAGGCTGAAGTCTGAACTTGGGACTGCTGTCCAGGAGACACCTGGGATGGAGTTGATGGACGTATTCGAGTCTGTGGTGGACTCTGGACACGAACAGGAGACTGTCCTTGAACATTAGTCTGAGGCTGACACTGTGCTGCAACTTGGGGTCTGGATGACTGTGCTTGGGCGGGTTGTGCTTCAGAAGGGACATGGGATGAAACAGCTGTCTGGGGCTGGACTTCAGGCTGGTCCTGAACTTCAGGCTGTGTTGGGGACTGGGGCTGGGGGTAGGACTGGGGCTGGGGCTGTGCTGAAGGCTGAGCAGTCTGTGGCTGGGCCTCTGCAGGACTCACACTTGAAGACGGAGCTGGTGGCAGTGTTTTGGCTGGCTGCACCTGGGCCTGGGGTGACAATTTACCCTGTTTTTGTTCACCCGAGCCTGTGAAGAGGAAAGAGAAATGGTTCCTATTACTTTAGAATGTAAGATGACAGCTGAAGATTTCTAAAGTTGTGCATTTGAAATGGCTCCCTTCGTTCTGTTGCTTTCCAGCTGTATTCTGTACGCGGCTCTACCCTCCAAGGCACTGGCTCTCAAGGTAAGGCCCAGCCTCTGAAGTTACATGGCTGCTGGGGGCCATAGGCTATAAGGCTCCCTTTCGCCAAGGGTGTGGTGGCAGGTAGAGGCACTGACTGGGAGGAGGAGCCTGGTAAAGTGGAGAGGACCTCTAGCGCTGGGCTGTAGGTTGACCTGGACAGATTTACCCTCCAAACTGGCTCCAAGACTCTATCAAAGCTTGGCAAGGAGTGGGCACAGCTGCCATGCTGTCCATTATTTTGGGCGCCTCTTTTTCTTTTTGTGGTTGGTCCTGGGGCTTGAACTCTGGGCCTGGGAACTGTCCCTGAGCTCTTCAGCTCAAGGCAAGCATTCTACCACTTGAGCTAAGCACCACTTCTGCTTTTCTGGTGGTTTATTGGAGACACGGACATTCTGATCCTCAGATCTCAGCCTCCTGCATAGCTAGAATACCTGGCTGCTTTTTAATTTTTTAAGCTGGTTAGGAGGTAGTGGTGACAGTGAGTCTACAAGAACAAGACACAGGAGCAGGGAGATGTTCTGAGAGTGATTGTGTCAATTGCTAAGCTCTGGTCTTCCTGTTCTGTTCTGCTGACCCCAGTGACAGTGCCACTAGCATTCAGCATTGTCAAAAAGCCCAAAGCTCTACCTGCTGTAGTGGAAACAGTGGTGGTGCTGGTGCTGGCTGTGGTGGTTGTTGTTGCCAAGGGGGTAAAGAGGAATCGCTGCACAGTACCATTTGGCATAGCAGCCTGCATGAGCTGCTGCCCTGGGCCTGGCAGTATAGTCACCCCTTGAGGTATCAACTGCAACTGTCCAGTAGTCTGACCTTGTCCTTGAATTACCACGGTCAAACCTTGGTTGCCACCCTGTGGGAAAAGAGCACAACATATAAGAATGTTCAAAGAACCAATCTGTAAAGCTTTTTGTTTTTTGGGGGAGATACTAGGGTTGAACTTAGGGGGCTGGTACTCGACCCATGGTGCTCTACTATTTCAGCCTTACCTCCTGAAAGCCCTGCTTTTTTGCTAGTTATTTTAGACACTGAATCTAATGGACTTTTCTGCTTGAGCTAGCTTTGAACTGTGATCCTCTGAGTCTCAGCCTCCTGAGTAGCTAAGGATTATAGGTATAAACCACCGGTGCCTGGCATATATATATATATATATATTTTTTTTTTTTTTTAACCAGTCCTGGGGCTTGAACTCTGGGCCTGGGCTCTGTCCATGAACTTCTTTTGCTCAAAGATAGTGCTCTATCAGTTGAGTTATAGCTCCACTTCAGGTCTCTTCTAAGTAGTTTATTGGAGATAGAGAATCTCATGGATTTTCCTGCCTAGGCTGGCTTGGAACCTCAATCCTCAGATGTCAGCCTCCTGAGTAGCTAGGATCACAGGTGTGTACCACTGGTGGCCAGCTATAAAGTATTATTAAATCATTTATTTATTTTAAAATACCGTACAGAGAGGTTACAATTACATAGGCAAGGTAACGAGTACATTTTTTAATCAAGCATTGTTGCTTCCTCCTTTGTTTCCCCTTCCCATCTTCCTCCCCCTCCCCAGGCCCCCCTTCCTTATTAAATCATTTATATATTGTAAAGAACCTTTACCATAAGGAATACATACATATCCATACATATGTGTGTGTGTGTGTGTGTGTCTATAGAATGACAAAAGCATTTAGATAAGCTAAAACGAGGGTACTTGTGATGTCTAGAAGAAAACACATGAATGATGAAGAGTGTGGTCCTAGCTCTCCAAATAGCAGCCAGGTATTCACCTACCAGAAGCATCATTCCTCCAGCCCATGGTCCCCCATCCATGAAGCAAAGCACTAAGTCTTTGTAAAATTTTTTTAAAAAATTTATTCATGTGGTACCAAGGAATGGAACCCAGGGCCTCATGCAAGCTAGGCAAGCACTCTACCACTAAACCACATTCCCAGCCCTCTGTAAAATTCTTATTTTAAACATTATATTCCTATTGTTTTCTTCTTCTTTTGTTTTTTCCTCCTTCCAGGAACTCAGGGGCTGGGAACTGTCCTTGAGCTTCTGTGCACAAGGATAGGGCTTTATCACTTGAGCCACAGTGCCAATTTTTTGCTTTTTAGTAGTTGGAGATAAGAGTCTTGTAGACTTTCCTGCCCAAGCTAGGTTTAAATCTTAATGTTCAGATCAGGCTTCTGAGTAGCTAGGATTACAGGCATGAGCCAGCCGGCACCAGCTTGTTGTTTTTGAACTATGTGAAAAGCATTCTGACTGGGGTGTGTTTATACATGAAGTATGAAAAAGTGTTTTGTTTTGTTTTGGTGCTGCTAGGTACTAAACTTCTCACATGCTAAGAAAGCATTCCACCAGTGAGCTATAACCCTGGCCCCTTACGAGTTTTAGATACAGGATGTAAGCCCCAAGTCAAGAGAGCCACTTAAGGTCCAAGTAATTTCCACATGGGAACCAGGAGCCCAAAATGCTGTATGTACTGACTCTCTGTCGAGCATCTAGGAATACAACCACCTTGACTGCCAGGAATATGGGAGAGAACTAGAAAGCCAAAGTAAAAAGAATTCACAAACACTTAACAACAAGCCAATTCCAGACATCTGAAGTTGGTGTACAGAGTTTCATATATTCATGATTTCTTCATAGCACACTTAATCTTGTTTATCTAGAATGTATTTTTTGTTGCTGTTGTTTTTTAAAGCCAGTCCTGGCTTGAACTCAGGGTCCAGGCACTGTCCCTAAGCTTCTTTGACTCAAGGCTAACACCCTACCACTTGAGCCTCAGCACCACTTCTGGCCATTTCTGTTTATGTGGAACTGAGGAATCGAGACCAGGGATTCATGCATGCTAGGCCACATTCCCAGACTAATATGTATTTATTTTATGTAGATTCAAAGATACACATACCAAATGTCACTTAAGCAATTATAGAGGTCACCCTGCCCTTGCTTTCACATCACTGCTTCTCTCACAAGTGATTTTACTGAGGCCTGTGTGATGCTAAGGCCAAAGAGGCTCCCAGCACGTGAGCACCATTCACAAGAATATCTTAGGAAGGGGCTGGGAAGGTGGCTCAGTGGTAGAATGCTTGTCTTGCATGCATGAGGCCCTGGGTTTGGTTCCTCAGCACCACATAAGCAGAAAAAGCCAGAAGTGGCACCGTGGCTCAAGTGGTAGAGCACTCGTCTTGAGCTGAAGAGCTAAGGAACAATGCCCAGGCCCAGAGTTCAGGCCCTATGACTGGCCAAAAAAAAAAAAAAAAAAAAAAGAATATCGCAGGAAGTATCCTCTCCAAATATAAAGAGGTATTTTAGCCCTACACAGTATAGCATAGTTTTGCCTGTTTCTGAATTTTATACAAATAGAGTCATAATGTTTTTTGTTTTTTTTTTTTTGTTACAAGCATTTTTTATCCCACATTGTGTTTGTGAGAGTCATCTCTGTAGTTTTCTATGCAGTTTGTTTCAGTGCTCTAGGAAATTATAACTTATTGTCTAACATTGTAGACAGACATTTGAGTTATTCTTACATTTTACTCACATTCATGGTTTCCCATGTCTGTTCAGTTGACCACAGACCATTTATTACAAACCTTGTCCTTTCAATAGTTCGCAATGGCACATCTGTTAATTTAACAAGCACCCACACACATAGGTCACATTCTACTCTCTGTGCTATTTTGCTGCTCTGTCTGTTCCTGCTCCTGAACCTTACTGTATTAATTAGTGAAGCATTATTGTAAGTTTTAATATACCACTTAGGGCATGTCCTCTTGGTCTTTATTAGTATTGTAGCTAGTTCTGATTCTTTGTATTTCCAAACACCTTTGCAAAAGTCAGCATGTGAAGTTCTACCAAGAAAAAAATACCCATTGCTGTTTAAACGGGAACAGCATTGAATATACTGATCAACAGCGGAAGCAATATTATGTCTTGTGAGGAAGCAACTTAACGTACCCTGTTGTTTCCTGTGGAAATGACCAGCTAATAACAATTTGGTAGTTAGAAGAGCTATCTACTATGTTTGCATGCTCACATGTAAAGAGTCTAGACAGTTGTGATTGATTAAATTGTCTTCCCTGTACAAAGTATGTTTGTCTGAACCCAGGAAGCACACTTGTCTTAAATATTTTGTAAAACTTAGCAGAATATGCACATGTTCTTAAACTTACAGCAAGACTCAACAAGATCACCTCTCAAGCGGAAGTGACATTACTTACGTGGCCCTGCGTTAACTGGGTCAGCTGAGCCATGGTAAGCTTCACCTGCCCTTGCTGGGGGCGGGGGGCCGGGGACGCGGAAGACTGTAGACTGGTGCTGGCTGCTCCTGAAGTTATGCTTTTCTGCCCAGGGGTCGAGGATGCTGTACTTGGGGCAGAGATGGCAGTGGAAACTGGCTGCCCTCGGATGATCTGAGTCACCACTTGCTGAGGAGCACCTGTACAAACAGCAGAAGGACTCGGATGCTTTCATGCCTGCTGCAGCAAGCAATATTCTAGGCTGAAATAACTCAACACTGCACATGACATATTCATTTCACCTTTCACGTACTAAAACACAGGCCTACAGCCAAAGGAGCTGCCTGAGTGGTAGTGGGTCACTGACACCCACTAGCCAGCTCGGGCCATTGACAGCAGAGTGAAGAGACAACATACCCACCAGAACCTCAAAGCTGAAGTGACAACAGGGGAGACAAAAGACGTGTAAACCATACCACAAGTTTGTTTTTTTTTTTTAATTAATGCATAAAAATAACAGTAATTTCACAATCGGAAAGTCTTAGAACTGCAAATATCCAGGGCCAATTGTGAGGAGCATAAAGGGAAGCACATCATGTCCCTGACATGAGGGCAGGGCCCAAAGAATTGCACACATTAGTCTCCAAAATAAAGGCACTCAGCTGAAACACCTTAGTGTTTCACTTTTGTTTCTTGAAAACGAGATGGGCAAATGCACTGTCTCTGCCCCCGCCAATGCCGAAGTAATTATTTAGTATTTGTTATTTACTGGTTCATTTCCAATTTGTGCATGATACCACATTTCTCAGGTTTTTGCATTTATTTCCTGTCATTTTTCTTTCTGTGAATGAACACACACACACACATTTGTTTTTGTGATGGTACCAGACTTCAACTTAGGGCTTGAAGCTCTTACTGTGAATGTTACTTCTACTTGCAGTGTTTTGCTGTTAAGTGAAGTAAGAGAATTTCATGGATTTGTCTGCCCGGCTGGTTCCAAACTTAGATTCTCAAATCTCAGCCTCCTGAGTAGCTAGGATTACAGGCGTGAGCCACCAGCGCCCGGCTAAACCTATGAATTTTAATGTGGTCCGTGTTAATAATAATAATAAAAAAATAATAATGAGGCTCTTTTGGCTTGAATTATTGCTTACACAGTTCTCCTGCTCCCTTGCATTCTCATGAGCTTATACTTACAGGTGAGCGTAGTAGTCATGGTACATGCTGTGAGACCTGTCTTCTCTCCCTCTCCCTCTCTCTCACTCACTCTTATTCTCTCTTCTCTCTTTCTCTCTGATGTGGTACTGGAGCTTGAACTCAGCATCTTAGTCTCTCATTCAGCTTGATGGCTCAGGCTGGTGCTCTACCACTTGAGCCATGCTGCTAGTACAGCATTTTGCCAGTTGGTTAAATGGAGAGTCTTGTGTCTTTGAACAATGATCCTCCAGGTCTCAGGCTCCTGAATAGCTGGGATTACAGGAGGGAGCTGTGGATACCCAGCTAGAATAGTCTCTATTAATATTTGTTTTATATGTTTTTCTAATTACGAATTAAAATTCAAGAATATGGTCTGGGCACCAGTGGCTCCCTTAAAAGGCTAAGATCTGAGGGTTGCAGTTTGAAGCTAGGTGGGCAGGAAAGTCTGTGAGACTTATCTCCACTACTAAAATGCAAGAAGTAGAGCGGTGGCTCAAATGTCAGAGTACTTCCCTTGAGCAAAAAGGCTCCAGGGCAGCACCCAAGGTCTGAGATTAATCCTCAGGACATGCACACGCACTTGCATGCGCATAGTCACATATACTTATACCACACATGCCAAAAAAAACAAGAAGATGGCATTTTTAGTCAAAACATCATCAATGTGTTTCAACTGCCTAGAGTAGGCAATCAAGTACTTTTTGGATGAACTGAATCTGCCTGAGTTCAGCATTGGTGTCATGGTTTAAAGTTACTATGGGAAAACTTACGTATACAGATATATATATATATACATATATATATATACATATTATACATTAAAAAAAAATCCAAAACAGGTAAAAGTTATTTATGCCTTTGTGTTAGGTTTTAGCTTTATCACCAAAAAATGAGGCATAATCGTATCCTACTTTTTGGAAATTATCAAGCTCTTATCTGACTCAAGGACCATTTTCCCACCAAGTAACACATAAATGTGCTGTACGTTTGCAGGCACACAAGTTGACACACAGTGATCTACTTATGTTCTCGTTCTTACCAAATGCCTCCTTGGTTTTAACTAGCTCTGAAAATGCACTATTACACCTTACCCAAATCACAGAATTCAAGATTTCATATCACTGCAGTCTTAATCTTCAAAACCTATTATATAAAATAATTTTTCTCATAACTGTTTAGGGATCTTGTTTCCTTTTTGTTGTTGTTAAAGCTCAGTCTTTAATTTTAACATTCTTGTTGTTGTACTGCTAGGGAATAACTCAGGGCCTTTGTGTATGCTAGATAAATAAAAGCTCTTCCCCCGAGCTTCAGTCAATCATCTTTAACTTTTTTTTTTTTTGCTAGTCTTGGGGCTTGATCTTTGGGACTGGATGCTGTCCCTGAGATTCTTTTGCTCAAGGTGAGCACTCTACCACATGATTACAGGGCTACTTCTGGCTTTTTAAAGTATTTAATTGGAGATAAGAGTCTCAAGGATGGGCTTGGGAAGGTGGCTCATTGGTAGAGTGCTTGTCTTGCATGCATGAGGTCCTGGGTACGATTCCTCAGCACCACATAAGCAGAAAAAGCTGGTGCTGTTGGTCAAGTGGTAGAGTCTTGAGCCTTTAGCTGAGGGACAGCGCCCAGGTCGAGTTCAGGCCCCATAACCAACCAAAAAAAAAAAAAAAGGTCTCATGGAGTTTCTTGCATGGGCTGGCTTTGAACTACGATCCTCAGATCTCAGCCTCCTAAGGATTTTGGCGTGAGCCACCAGTCCCTGGCTCACAGTCTTTAACTTTTAACCGAATCTCATTCATTATAGTAAATGGAGGTCTGGCATTACTTTTGTAATTTTGCTTTATGTTGTGTTGTATGTTTCTTTGCTGTTTCCATGATTTTATACATTTTGCCATGCAAATTTTTTCATTTTCTTTAGGACAATGATTAGAATCTATATATTTCATTTATTAGAGGCTTCTTTTACATTTTGGTAAGTATACCTAACCTATTTTTGATCTTGGTAGCAAGAATGAATAATATCTATGGGTGCATAACATAATGGATTAGAAATTTGGTATGCTTTTAAATGCAAATTTAAATCAGTATTTTCTAACATGAATATTGCCAAATATAAACTATTACTGATTTCCTAGAGCAGATGTTCAGATGCAGATGATAATAGTGGGTGGATGAATACCTGGCTGTACCATCACTGGTGTTCGAATAATTGCCTTTCCAAGTGTTGATTGTTGGAGTGGTGTTCTAATCACAGTCATACCAGGTCGAATCTGAGGTCCTGTGATTACCTATAAATGATACAAAGAACAATACATTAAAATACTATGAAATACTATAAAAATACTAAAGGAATCTGGGCACTGGTAGCTCATGCCTGTAATCGTAGCTACTCAGGAGGCTGAGAACTGAGGATCACGGCTCAAAGCCAGCCCAGGCAGGAAAGTCCGTGAGACTCTTATCTCCAATAAACCACTAGAAAACCGTAAGTGGCACCGACCGAAAACAAACAAACAAACAAAAAAAAACTAAAGGACAATAGACTTAGAATGAGATTTTATTTTTTTGGGTCCGGTCATGGCGCCTGAACTCTGGGCCTGGGTGCTGTCCCTCAGCTCTTCAGCTCAAGGCTAGCGCTCTACCACTTGAGCCACAGCGCCACTTCCGGCTTTTTTTTTTTTTTTGCTTATGTGGTGCTGAGGAATCGAATCCAGGGCCTCATGCATGCAAGGCAAGCGCTCTACCACTGAGCCACCTTCCCAGCCCTAGAATGAGATCTTTTAACCTTCTATACTGACAAAAAATGTCTACCCAAATGACAGAGGCTCTTGGATTGTACATTTTAAATAATAGTAAGCACTGGAATAAAGATGAGATTTTTGAGAAGATAAAATTTAATTCAAATGAGCTCACATGAGTATTATGTATTCTTGCCGTGTAGACTAGAAACAACCTCCAGACTTTTAGAAAAGCAAGAAGCTGAGCCAGGGAAGGTTCTGCTCTACACCCATTCCTGACAGCACAATTTACTTATGCTTCAATCCATCCCTGAAGCCTACTTATAACGAGAATCTACATTGTTCTTCCATAGTTTTAATAGATATAATTATATATATGCTATTTCAGTTTTATATAGAGTAAGAAAATATTAAAGACTGAGAAAGTTAATACCAGCACCAAAGAAATGAAGTATCTAACATGGACTTTTAGGTGATATCTATACCATCTCTATCAGGGGGTAGACAAGATATTTTCAGGCTACTCCTTTTTGTCTGGTTGGTTGTGGGGCTTGAACTCTGGGCCTGGGCGCTGTCCCTGAGCTCGAGGCTAGCGCTCCAGCACATGAGCACAGTGCCACTTCCTCATGCTACTTCTTATTCATTCATTCATTCATTTAATGCCAATCCTGGGGCTTGAACTCTGGGCCTGGGTGCTGTCCCTGAGTTTTTTTTTTTTTTTAAATTGTGAAAATACCATACAGAGGAGTTACAATTACTTGGGCAAGATAATGAGTACATTTCTTATCAAGCATTGTTGCCTCTTCCTTTGTTTCCCCTTCCTATCCCTTCCCATCTCTCGGCACCTCCCCCATCAGCCCCCATCATGCTATGTCTTATGTAGGCAGTATAATGCTTTCTTTGGTGGGTTGGTGCTATTCACTGATTTTATGTAAAGTTTCCTTTGCAGAAATTTTTTCTAAACTATACTAATGTGCTATTAACTAAATGTTAAAAACTAATACTTCATGTATCAACTTTATTACAAAAATAAAATAAGCCAGGAGCTGTGACTCATGCTTGTAATCCTAGCTAGTCAGGAGACTAAGATCTGCGGATTGCAGTTCAAAGCCAGCCTGGGTAGTAAAGTCTGAAACTTTTATGTCCAACATTTATGTCAACAAAAGCCAGAAGTGGAGCTGTATTTCAAGTGATAGAACACTAGCCATGAGCAAAAAGATGAAGGATAATACCCAGGCTCTGAGTTTAGACTCAGGACTGTCGGGTACACGCATACACAGGCATACACGGGAGGGAGGGAGGAAGGGGGGGGCTTGGGAGGAAGAAGGGAGGGAGGGAGGAAGGAAGGGAGGAGGGAGGGAGGGAGGGAGGAAGGAAGGGAGGGAGGGTAGGAGGAAGGGAGGGAAGAAAACAGATTTTTTTCCAAAATTAGTAATTTGTTCAAAATTAAGAAAAAGCAGAGCTGGGTGCTGCTGATGGCTCACACCTACGATCCTAGTTACTCAGGAGGCTGAGATTTGAAGATCATGGTTCGAAGCCAACCCAGGCAGGAAAGGCCATAACATTTATCTCCAATTAATGACCAAAAAGCTCAAAGTAGAGCTGTGGCTCAAGTGCTAGACTACTAGCCTTGAGCACAAAACCTCAGAGATATCACCCTAGTCCCGAATTCAAACAGAAGGACCAATATCAAAACAAACAAACAAACAAACAAATAAATTAGCTGGACTGATCCTAAACAAGGTCCTCCTAAGTTCCTCATCATCCTGAAATGTCTATCACTCCATAACAAAAGGAGCCTGGGAAGAACTCTTACTTGTGATGGGCTGGTGGTTCCTCCTGAGCCTGAGGTATTAGGTCTAATTGTGACGGTTGCAGTCCTTGGCTGGAATGAAGTAAACGTCTGCTGACTTGTACCTGTACTCGATGGAATGATACCCAGGACTTTCTGCTGCACCTGAACAACACCTTAAAAAAAGATGAAGAGGTCATTAACAAGTATCTCTTTAAGGAGAAGCATTGGTGCTGCTTGGTTTCTAGAAGAAACTATGTGTGGAAGGTTGCATAGTGGGCCACACAGAATGTGAGATCTGAGGACTGGAATCAGTGAGGAGGAAATGGAATAATGGCAACAGTATGATCTGGCAAATGTGAATTAAAACTCTTTGCATCTCCCTTACCTCCTTGTGTGGCTGGCACATTTACAGCGACAATCTTGCTGTTTGCAGGAAGTGGCAGTTTGGTAATTACTTTTCCTGCCATAGTGACTGGATTGCCTGTAATTTGGAACGTCTGACCTGTGCTGGCAATGGTGGTAGCAGATGTGGCAGCTGTGCTGGTGGCTAATGGGGTATAAGACATTTAATAAGCTTTAGATTTAAAATAACCAGCAATGGAGTGATTTCTAGGAAGGGCACCAATGCATGAAATGTGGCTCATCCTCTATCACATTCCTCTCCACTCACAGTGAATTATGTAGATGTTGAACGTTAAATAATGTAGGAAAGCTTTGCTAATGTCATATAATGAATATTTAGCTGGAAATAAACCAATGGTTACAGTTTGCTTGATCAATCAGCTGCAGAAGAAAAATAACTTTCTAGACAGGTCTCATTTCAGTAGGGGAAGGATTGAAAGTGCTTTGTCCTGGAGGCAAACTGTGTGACTTCAGCATGTCTGTACCTGAATTTGACTGGCCTTGTTTAACCCAGGTGGCGAAGGTCTGGTGGAAGTTCTTGTTTTGCTGGAATGTGACTGTCGCTGGAGAGCCCACTTTGGTAGTTAGTACCATCTTTGTACCAGGGGTAACTGAACCACTTATGGGGGCCACCATAACTTTCTGGGCTGGAGAGACGGTGCTGGTTGTACTGTTTGGTGAGGATGTAGTAGAAGCGGCAATGACTGTAGGCTTCTGTTGTTCCAGTCGTTTCTACAAAAGTCAGTGAGAGAAAATGTGAATCCACATAGTTCCACATTAAAACAACCTGTTCTACAAGAAATCCCACCATAATTTTGTTCACCCCAAGAAAACAGACTAAATTTTATTTATTTATTTAATTTTATTTTTTTGGATCCGGTTGTGGGGCCCGAACTCTGGGCCTGGGTGCTGTCCCACAGCTCTTCAGCTCAAGGCTAGCGCTCTACCACTTGAGTCACAGCGCCACTTCTGGCTTTTTTCTTTTTGCTTATGTGGGGCTGAGGAATCAAACCCAGGGCCTCATGCATGCAAGGCATACGCTCTACCACTGAGCCACCTTCCCAGCCCCTAAATTTTATTTTTTGGTGCCAGCCTTGGGACTTGATCTCAGGACCTGGGTGCTGTCTCTGAGCTTCTTTTTACTCAAGGCTAGGGCTCTACAGTCTGAGCCACAGTTCCATTTCTGGCTTTTGAGGGGTTGGGGGGGGAGGGGGTTTTGGTAGTTTTTAGCAGCGATTAGAGTCTCAGACTTTGATGGCTAGGCTGGCTTCAAATCACAATCCTCCTATCTCAGCCTCCTAGGTACCTGGGATTACAGACATGAGCCATTGGTGACTAGAGCTTTTAAACTTCTAATATATTTCACTTCTAAAGAGACTAAAATACATTTAATCTATAATTTAAAATTTTAATGTAGGCAATATCTACATGTCTCTGTATCACACATATTTCATTATCATTGTCCAAAACAAAAGAAAATGATCCAAATTTTGTGACCTGTACAAACATCCAAGCTTTCAGAATGAAAAGAAGATGTGACTAGTTTACTGGAAAGAGGAACACCTTGCTGCTCAGGGGTGACATTCAGAGCTGAGAACAAATCATAGGTTTCTGTTTCACTATAATAATCCAATCAGAGTCAACAAGCTAAAAATTATAAAAACAACTTCTCTAGACTTCTGAAAGGTTTTTTTTTGTTGTTGTTTTTGTGCTGGTCCCAGGGCTTGAACTCAGGGCCTGGGTGCTATCCCTGAGCTTATTTTTTTTCTTAAGGCCATCGCTCTACAACTTTGTTGTCCTCGTCATCTCCTCCTTCCCCTACCCCTCCCCCTCTTCTTTTTTTGGTAGTAGGGGTTGAACTCTAGTCCTGGATGCCCTCCCTCACTCTTCAGCTCAAGGCCACTTGAGCCACAGCGCCACTTCTGGTTTTCTGGTGGTTCATTGGAGATAAGAGTCTCATGGACTTTCCTGACTGGGCTGGCTTTGAACTGCAATCCTCAGATCTCAGCCTCCTGAGTAGCGAGGATTACAGGTGTGAGCCACCAACTCCTGGTTTCTTTTTTTTTGAATAGCTCATTGGAAATAAGTCTCATGAACTTTTCTGCATGGCTTCAATCTATAATCCTCAGCTCTCAGCCTTGTGAGCAGTTAGGATTACAGCCATGGGTAGCTAGCATCTGGTTCTCATAGTATTTTGTTAAAATATTTTTACTAAAGATATTTTAGGGCCGGGGGCCAGTAGCTCACACCTGAACCTAGCTACTCAGGAGGCTGAGATCTGAGGATCATGGTTTAATGCCAGCTTGGGCAGGAAAGTCCGTGTGACTCTTACCTCCATTAACCGTCAGAAAATCGGAAGTGGTGCTGTGGCTCAAGTGGTAGAGCACTCATCTTGATTTGAAGAGCTCAGGGACAGTGCCCAGGCTCAGACTTCAAGCCCCATGACCAACAACAACAACAAAAATGTTATTTTACAGAGAATGGTATAATAAGATCTTCAAAAAAACCCCAAACCAAACCAAACAGAAACACAGGAACTCTAGTCTATAATCTTTGCTATTTGTGGGGTAGAGGGTAGGGGATTACAGTTTGAGGGCAAACCAGGTATGAAAGGTGAAAAAATTGGTGAGACTCCATCTTATCCAATGGAAGGGTGTGATGTGGTTAAAAAGTACCAGTCATCCAACAACTTAAGAACCACAAATAAGAGAACCACAGTCCAGGCATGGGCAGAAAAGTGAGATCTAAGTTCAAAAATAACCATCACACAAAAAAGGAGTTGGCTCAAGTGGTAGGGCATCTGCATAGCAATCATGAAGCAACCCCTAGAACACCACAAAACAAAACTAACTCAGGGTTAAGCCAGTTATGGTGCCATACAATTATAATCCCAACACTCAAGAGGTAGAGACAGGATGATCTTTAGTTTAAGGTCAACCTGGGCTACATAGTAAGACCCTTCCTGCCATAAACAATTAAAAAAAATAGGCAAGGCCAGATACCAGCTGCTCAAGTGTATAATCCTTGCTACTCAAGAGGAGACTCTTATCTCCAATTAACCATCAAAAAGCCAGAAGTAAGCCAGGCACACACCTGTAATCCTAGCTACTCAGGAAGTTGAGATCTGAGGATCCCAGTTCAATCCCAGCCCAGTCAGGAAAGTCTATGATTCTTATCTACAACCACAAAAAGCCAGAAGTAGAGCCTGGCTAAAGTGGTTGAGTGATAGCCCTGATCAAAAGAGATTAGGGATAGAGCTTAGGTCTGCTTAGGTCCTGAGTTCAAACCATAGGACCTGCCTGAGCGCGCGCACACACACACACACACACACACACACACACACACACACACACACACACACACACACACACACACACACACACACACACACACACACACACACACACACACACACACACACACACACACACACACACACACACACACACACACAGCCAGAAGTAGAAGTGTGGCTCTAGTGGTAGATTCTACTTGTCTTGACCAAAAAAGCTAACAGTGGGCCCAGAGTTCAAGCCCCACTTCTGACACAACATAGTAACAACAACAACAAAACTATTTTATCTACATTCTATTTTATTTGTGTCTCCAGAGTTTAAAACTTCTCACTGGGTGAAAGCACCTCATGTCTCCTTGATAGAAACAAGCATCTTCTCTTTGTGCAGCAAGTACTCAGGCACATGTACAGTTCATCACAGAACTATCACTGGCTTTAGCATTAGCAATTACAACAGATTCTTTGAATGGAGTTGTTAGTACAATTTACTTGTGCATAGATTACAGAGACTTTCCAGATTGGAATTTTTCAGGATAATTTATTTCTAGAATTCTAATTTCTGGAATTAGAAAGATAATGAACAACAGAACTTTCCTATGTTCTCCACTATGTAGCTTCCTGCACCACAAAGTTGGGTTCAAGTAATAAACTAAAAATGTGGGTGAGGGGCATTTGAAATATCCTGTGTATATACAGTTACTGTGCTTGCAGGATGTATAAATTTGGCAAGAACTGGAAATAGGTTTCCAGGCAGGACTCCTTGTTAGGTAGATGATCACTATTGTCTTAGGAGAGCCTCCCTATGGGCCCTGAAATCATCCCCCACCTTTGGTCACTAACCTTAGCCTGTTGTTCAACTGCTTGGGCCTTTTCTTTCTCCACTCTGCAGAAAAAAAAAAAGCAACTTATCAGAAACTATCCTATCAGACATCTGGCCACTAATGTAAGAATATTTCTATTTATTTTTTTGCCAATCTGTTAAAAAATAACGTGTTAGGATAATTAGAGACTAACAAATGGATAATAACATATAAAATAGGACCTTAATGAACAAAAAGTAACTCAAAAAGTGCAATAAAATTAACATGACTTATATAGATTATACACACATAAACTATCTATAAACATAGACATATCTATATAGAAATATACTATATATAAATTATATACTGAATAATAGCCTGGTATTTTTAAATTCTGAATTGATAGAATCTATGACCAGATATTAAGGATTTCCTTACCTCTCAGCAAAGGCCCTGATTTCCCAGAGTTCTAATTCTTCCTCTGCTACCCAGGTTTCAATAATAACAGGGCCAGTTTGCTTAGGTGTTTCTGGTCTCTTTGGCCGCAGTGCACTTGATCGAAGGCCTTTCCTCTGAGGTGTAGGTGTTTCTTTGGGAAAAAAAGCAGAGTATTTTAAATAATATAGCTTTTTAGAAATGACTCTACTGCCAGGTGCTGGTGGCTCACACCTGTAATCCTAGCTGCTCAGGAGGCTGAGATGTGAGGATTGTGGTTTGAAGCCAGCCTGGTCAGGAATGTCTGTGAAAGACATCTCCAATTAACCACCAGAAAACCAGAAATGGCACTGTGGCTCAAGGTGGTAGAGTGCTAGCCTTGACTAAAAGAGCTCTTAGGCCCTGAGATGAAGCCCCTGACTGATGCCTCCCCCACGCCAACTCCCCAAAAGAGAGTACTGCGGGAGTTTTCTCATATATATATATTTCATTCCCCCTCCCTCCCCTTGGTTGTGGGGCCTGAACTCTGGGCCTGGGCACTGTCCCTCAGCTTTTCACCTCAAGCTTTTCACCCTCAACCTTTTTCTTTTTACTTCATTTTTGGACACAGATTGTATGCAGCCCAGGTTGGCCTTGGATTAATGATGCTTCCCCCTTAGCTTCGCGAGTGAATGTTGTAGACAGCAAGAATGTACAGCTAAGCTCAGCAAACTTTCTCTCCTTAAAGTGCCAGATGCTGGGGCTGGGAAAGTGGCTCAGTGGTAGAGCGCTTGCCTTGCATGCTCAAGGCCCTGGGTTCGATTCCTCAGCACCACATAAGCAAAAAGAAAAAAGCCGGAAGTGGCGCTGTGGCTCAAGTGGTAGAGCACTAGCCTTGAGCTGAAGAGCTGAGGGACAGCGCCCAGGCCCAGAGTTCAGGCCCCACGACCGGACCCAAAAAAAAAAAAAAAAAAAAAAGTGCCAGATGCAATAGTCAGACTATGCAGGCCAGCTGGTTTCTGTTCCCTACTTGATTACTTGATTCTGCCCTTTATCACAATAGAAAAGAGCATGCATACCTGAGTAAGAATAACTATACTTCAATCAAACCTCATTTGCAAGAAAAAAAGCAGGCTGTTGCAAAAGCTCACGGGATACGGCCTACTGGCTGTGTGACCTGGCCCCTCTGTAACTATTTCTGCCCCTTCCCCACATGTGACTAAGACCCCAGCAAGTTGCATGTCCCTCTCACAGTTGGGATGGGTATCCTTACTGGGATGCCTCAGTCTCCCAAGAAGCTGGGATTTCAGGTGTATGCCACTACATCCAGCCTGAATAATTCTTCATGTTTCATATTATTTTATTCTGACCACAGAAGTACTTTGCAGTAGCTTCAACCCTTGGCTCCACAAACCATTTTCATAGGTCAGATACTGCACAAAGTGCCATGACTACAATAAGCTAGCCATAGTAGCAGCTGTTTTCCTGGGGCTAAGGGCCTGTGGTCCAATCATTGCCCATATCTTCATTATATGAGGTTACACAGTAACAACAAGCACTAATATGTGGCTAGCAATTTTGTTTTGTTTATTGCTTAAATTCACTTAAGATTTCTTACTTTTTTTTTTTGGTTGGTCATGGGGCTTGAACTCTGGGCCTGGGAGCTGTCCCTAAGCTCTTCCGCTCAAGGCTAGCCCTCTACCATTTGAGTCACAGGGTCACTTCCTTGGAGATAAGAGTCTCTCGGACTTTCCTGCCCTGGCTGGCTTTGAACTGTGATCATCAGATCTCAGCCTCCTGAGTGGCTAGGATTGTAGGTGTGAGCCACCAGCACCCGGCTTCAGTTAAGGTTTCTTTCTGAATCTTTCTGAAACTTATAGAGTTCATACTAGAAATATTTTTCAAAATCTTTCAATTCATGTAATTAATGTGTATGGATATAAGAGAGTAGAATTTTTACCGTTCTTTACCTTTTGGTGCTTCTGGAACTCCAATGGGACAAATGATTTTCCTGATACAGTATTCAGAACGAATGCCATAAGGACCAACATCCCGCCTCTTAATTATTTCTGTGGTTGTGATTTCAGTTTCAGATGTTTCTATTGGGATTTAATTGTATATTATTAATACCACCAGACATTCTCAGAGACTACAAAGGTACCACACCTGGCACTCTAATGAAGAGACACATATGGAATAAACCTTCAGAAACGTTTAATTAATGACTACACAGTTGCTAGCAGACTGCAACAGTATAGTTTCTTCCATGGGAAAACTTCTTAGGTTATATATTTATGTACTTCTGACCTAGGGTCTCACTATGTTGGTACTGAACTCTTGGATCCAAGCAATCTTCCTACTTCAGCTTCTTGAATAGCTGAGAGAAAAATTTCTAAACTGAACAAACTGTTGTAGGGTACAACTTAGTTTCTGGCAGTGAAACTCAAAATACAAGTCCTGGGATGGAGGCATGGCTTGGTAGAGCACTAGCCAATGAGTGAAAGCAGTAAGTACCAAGTATGAGACCCAGTCTAGGACAAAAAAACAAAAAACAACCCACAAAATAAAACAACAGAAATAGAACAACAGAAGCAAACACAGGACTCTGGGAGACTCAGTTTCAATGACTTCTAGTCTTATAAAAGATGTCATTTGAAAGACTTGACTTTCATGTATGGTGTCACAATCTGAATTGTCCCAGCCACCAGGATTTTAGGATATGTGTCACAGTTAAAAGCTGCAGTGCTGTTGTTGTTTTGGTAGTACTAGTAATTGAACTCAAGGCCTCACGCTTGCAAGGCCAACATTCTACCACTTGAGCCATGCCTTCAGCCCAGAAAGCTGTATTTTTATGAATAACCAAGATGCAAACTATCACTTGGAGTGAGCAAGGGAAGGGGTGACATTGTCCAAAAAAACTGCACATTTTACCCGTATTTATGTACCTCTGTGCATCACCTTTAAAACAACCATTACATTTGTTTTGTAAAAGATGCTATCTACAATACCCCTTACCTGTCCGTGTGGTCCCTCCTCCTGGAGGAGCCTTGGCTGCCATGTCGTCCCATCTCAGGCTGGCCCACAGTAACCGTAACATCAGGCTCACTCCAGCCAGGGACTTCACAGTCTGAAGCCTGTATCTGAAAGAACAGACCAAGTAAAACTCTCTCTCTACATGCACATTCACATACATTTTCCATTTTAATCTCTGTTCCTCCCCATCCTTCTCTCTCCCTTGCTATTCCTCCCTCTCTATCCTTTCTTTTCTTTCCTTAATTGAAAGATTTTGGCTTTATCTTTATTATGGCTTCAGCATTTATAGATAGTTTTTTGTTTTGCTTTGTTTTATTTTTTTTGTTTTAAAAGTCAGTTGTGGGGCTTGAACTCTGGGCCTGGGCTCTTTTGCTCAAGGCTCTACCATTTTGGGCCACAGCGCCACTTCTGTTTTTTTCCCCAGAGATAAGTTTCATGGATTTTCCTGTCCAGGCTGGTGATCCTCAGATCTCAGCCTCCTTAGTAGCTAGGATTACAGGCGTGAGCCCCCAGTGCCCAGCTTATAATATGGTTTTGTAAGATTCTGACATTATATGTTCCTTGAAAGAACTTTTTGTTCCTAGCACAACTTGTATCTGACAATTTTTTTTTTTTTTTTTGGGTCCGGTCGTGGGGCCTGAACTCTGGGCCTGGGCGCTGTCCCTCAGCTCTTCAGCTCAAGGCGAGCACTCTACCACTTGAGCCACAGCGCCACTTCTGGCTTTTTTCTTTTTGCTTATGTGGTGCTGAGGAATGGAACCCAGGGCCTCAGGCATGCAAGGCAAGCGCTCTACCACTGAGCCACCTTCCCAGCCCCATGTCTGACAATTTTAAAGGGTCCATATTCACTCTGAATGTCACATAAATATGCAAAGTAATAAGCATGTTTTATTGTAAAGCTGAAATGGTAACAATTTATGAAGATTTCATAAATTTATTCAATTCTAAAATATCTGCAAGGGAAAGTAAAAACAAGAACAAATAAAATAGTTTTTTAAAGTAGCTACAGGAGTTCTGACTAATTTTTGCCGAAGCAGAAAAATCTGAAAATATTCAATCTTCTTTTTCTGTGCATAGCAACACGGGGCTGGAGCTCAGGGACAAGCCCCCTTGTTTGGCTTCTTCACTCAAGCTCATCTCTACTTCCATCTTTTCGCTGGCTGGCTCAGTAGAGATAAGAGTCTTACAGAATTGTCTGCCCTGGCTGGCTTTTCAAACCTCAGTCCTGAGATATCAGTCCCCTTTGTAAACTAGGATTACAGATGTAAGCCACCAGTGCCCAGCCTGTTTATATCTTCTTAAAAGCAAAATTAAACCTGAACACTTTGCAAATCTAGGAAGACCTTTCCAGTGGAAAGAAAACTCTGTATCCAAATAGGGGTTCTGCAAAACATCAAGTACTAGATGATGAATAATATCATTTAACAATGTTAGTGCAGTTTAGGGATCCTATAACAAGTAGTAAAACATTAGAAAAAGGACAATGCTAGATCAGTGACTAATCAGAAATATTTGTTTTTCCCTTTACACATAAGCAGCATAGTGTGTGAAGTTACTGAATTGTTTTTCTACTCTTCAAAGCCTAATGCTAAAAGCAATTTCAAAGGAATTTACTCAACTGCAGTGGGTAAATGTCCTATAATAGAACTCACTAGAATTCTCTTTCTTTTGGATAGGTCATGGGGCTTGAACTCAGGGCCTGGGTACTGTCTTAGCTTTTTCACTCAAGGCAAGTGCTCTACCCCTTTGAGCCACCAGAACCTAGCACCAGAATGTATTTCATTTTGGGGCTTGAACTCAGGGTCTAGGAGCGCCTTTGCTCAAGGCACTCTACCACTTGAGTCACAGTGCCACTTTGGCCTTTTTTGTTTATGTGGCACTGAGGAATCGACCCCAGGGATTCATGTGTGCTAGGCATGTACTCTACAACTAAGCTACATTCCCAGCCCCATGATGCATTTTAAAGGAGCCTTAGGCTGTCACTTCTCTATTAGGACCTTTGGATAACAAGCAATTGACATTTTCACTCTACATAAATGAATACACTGGCTGATTACAATGTAGGGAAGTCTACAAAATCAAAGTAACTTCTTTCACTAATAGAGATAGACTGTGTCAGTGTGTTACAGGAGACTGAACCTAGAACCTTTCATGCTAGGTAAGTCCTCTACCACTTGAGCCATATCTCCAGCCCAGTAGACAGTAAATCTGAAGACAACTTAGCATTTGAAGGGCAATACTTCCTACTAGGGGCATTAGAAAAAGGAACCATGTGAAAAAAGACAAAGCTCTAGCTAGAAATTTGCTGCAGCTCCCTAATGTCCTGCCCCCCTACTTTGACACATTGTTATCTCCTGGTGCATCCTCAGTCAGGACAGAGCAGCTCCTTAATTAGGAGGGAAACACAAAGTGCAGGGATATCCTGAGAGGAAAAAGTGTCACTGTCAGGCTACACCCTAAAGGAATCCTTCGGGAGCTCTGCTCTCATGGGAGAAAGCAAATGGAGACTTAGGTATAAAGACAAGTTTATTCTTTCTCTCTTTTTTTTTTTTGGCCAGACGTGGGCCCTGAACTCTGGGCCTGGGCACTGTCCCTCAGCTTTTCAGCTCAAGGCTAGCGCTCTACCACTCGAGCCATAGCACCACTTTTGGCTTTTTCTGCTTATGTGGTGCTGAGGAATCGAACCCAGGGCCTCATGCATGCAAGGCAAGCACTCTACCACTGAGCCACCTTCCCAGCGACAAATTCATTCTCATTCACTCTTCTCATCTCTATGTCCACACAATAACCTCATCAGGGAGAAACTCCCTAGATCATCAGCTTGCTCCTCCAGTCATTTGTTCAGAACACAGCTAAGTCTCGGCTGTTTGGCAGACTATGTGAAAGGATCTGCTTCTGTGTTCTATGTACAAGACAGGGACATCTGACCTAGCTTGAGGACAGCGATCAGAGGTTTGGCATCATCTAAAAGGACAAGTTAAGGGTGCTGGGGGGGGGGGGGGTGAGGGGGGCTGTCTGAGGGCAAGGGGGTACAGATTTGCTTAGGAGAAATGTTGCAGAGCACACACTTGTCTGACACCACATCCAATGTGTTATGAGTGTGGGGCAGGATTGTGGAGGTTCAGATGGAGATGAAGCTGGCCTGACAGAGGCAGGCAGAATCCAAAATGTGCTGCTCAGACCAAAGGCTTAAAGAGTAGGATAGACTATATATATATATACGTGTGTGTGTGTGTGTGTGTGTATACCCACACACATATATATAAAGGCTTCAGTTATTGGGTAGTTATCCGCAGAATAATCATAAGTCGGAGTGACATGTTACGGGATTCTCCTGGCAGCACTGTAGAGATTACCAGGTCAAAGTGATCATGAAACAGAGAGGCAGGCCTGGGAAAGGTAAGTGGCAGTGGACGGGTCAAAGTTTCTGTGTCTATGAGACTAACTTCACTCACCACAATGCTCAGCTATAACATTAATAGAACTCTTACATGCAGCCAGGCACACCTATAGTCCCAGCAACTGAGGGGCTGGGCACAAGGAGCCTAGAATTGGTGACCAGTCTGGGCAACATAGTGAGACCCCAGAATAAATATTTGAAACTATCACTCCTCTTATCTGTAGGATTCTTAGTTCCTGCTCTAAGGATCATACTTGATTCAAGTGTGAGTATAAAAACGCACTTCATATGCATGTTTTTAATAGCTTTTTAAAAAATGTGTTCCAAAATCAAGAACATACATATTTACCCAGGCCTCTCTCAGAAGGTATTTTATTTACCTTAACTTTAGCAAATTAAGATGTTAGCAGGTATCTGAAGGCAATTATCAAAAACATATAGGAGAGTATTTCTTTCCATTAAAAAATGAGAAATTAAACAGGTACAAATTGTGCACAGTACATAGCAAACATTGACACAAGGCTCCTAAACCCAGCTGTGCACAGAAGGGCCCTGAGCACGGCTTGAGGGCTGGCAAATTCAGAGAACAGCACTTCCCAGTTCAGCCTACCTTCCACTTCCCAACAGAAAAGAGCAGAAGGGCCAGCCTCAGCAATTGCCAGGTCATTTGAATTAGAGTATTTGTACACAGTAACTTTTCCAGTGGGAAAGAAGTTACCTGCAGGACAGTCAAGGATACATTTTGGGACCGCTCTCAATGAAGAAAGCAGAAAAGTGCAGAGTAATCCTACAAATCCATGAACTGTAATGAAGAGTTCCTTGATTCCCTGCAGGATTCTGCAAATCCTTCATTGCAGGCCCTGCAGAGAAATTGGACTTTTCAGCTGTCTCTATTGCATGTGTAATGGAGTGATGATATTTTACTTTAAATTAAATGATGAGTAATAAAAATAAAACTTGCTCATATAAACTATGATTGGTTGGATCAGTAAATTAATTCCTCTACAGAGAGCACTTATTTACATTCTTGTTTGGTCTCTTCTGATATTAGCTGACTATAATATAAAGGACACACAAAAAGTGTGACGTAAAAGAAATTTGGAAACACATTAAAAGACACACCAAAATGAAGTTTTAGGAGAAATGCAATCTGCTCAGTAACTTACTACAATAATCTTAAGAATCTAGCAAAAACAATCTTCAATAAGACCTGGCCTGCTTTCCACACACAATCCCCAGGCCCCTACACATTCTCATACTTAAGTCCTACCTTCAGTTGAAAGGGTGAAGAGACAGAGACATATATTAAAAAGGATAAAGCAAGGACAAATAGGTGAAAGATGACAAAGTAGCAGAGTGGGATTCAGGAAACTAGGCCTTACTTCTAACTCCACCCCTATGTAGGCAAAGGCACATTGCTATACATCTAGGAAAGAATTTTTACGGTCCCTTTACAACTGCCAATACTATATACTTAGATCTGTCTCCTGGAATCTACAGTGCCCAGAAAATTTTAAACGAGGAACATTCCTGGGCTCTAGACTATTCCTAAGGAACTGCAGAGTCTACTTTTTCTTACATGAATAACAGAGAACTCCAAAATACAAGTTTATCATGCACATAAATTACAGAAGATTTCCACATTATGATGAATTTTAAGAAATATGTTGGTATGCTTCCTTCTTTTTACATTTTTATGAGCATCTACCCAATAGAAATAAAATACAAACATTCCAGAAAGCTGGTGATAATCCCAATCCAATTTTGTGGTTATCTTGTTCCCTGAACAAACAAAGCAGCAAATAACTTGCACACAAGCACGCTAGGGTTGACAGGTTCCCTTTGCCTTATGAAAGTTAAAATTGAAAATTGAATTAAAGGATTCCCTTACACTTCCAAGTGTTTCAATATTTCTTCCTAAACGAACTTTGGTATCTACCAACTAGCCAAGATGGAAGCTTTCTGTATCTTATTTCTATGACCAACTTTGCTCATTGAATGCATGCCTCTCTGTCGCAGTTCAATTATCTTATTACAAGTGTGGGATCATTCTTTGAAAACTTCCCATCCTCCCAAATACATTTTAAAATATATACCTCCAAGTGATTCCAAAGGTTGGTCTAGGAGAAGGATACGGCCATATATCCAAGGCAGGTTTCGCATTATAATTAAAGTAAGGGACTTCTCGAATTCCTCCTTTTCTGGCTAACTTTTTTAAGTCATCGTTAGGCAAGACAAATATGCTCTTCTTGCTGCTCTTGGTGATAAACTTCCTGTAGGATGGCAGAGCTGTACCTGAGCGAGCCTTCTTCGGTCTGGAAAACTTCATCAGTTTCACCTTGTCCCTCGTGGAATACTCTTTGCTGACAGTCATGGATGTCACCAGTGTACCTCCTGCGGTGGTCAGGGAGTCCGTCACGGTCGTGGTGACCACGGTTTTGCTCTGCTCCTTAACAGAGATGATGTCCTCAGTGCTGTCTGTGGAGGGTGTAGACAGTTTGGTGACTGTTGTGGTGGTGGTAGTGACCGTGGATTTGGCACAATTTTCGGTGGACGACACCACAGTTTGCTTATCGCCTTTTGCTACCTTGATCACAGTCTTCGATTCCGTGGCAACCGTGGATGTCATTGTGGTAACTTCCGTGATGACTGTTTTCCTTTTGGAATCTCCATTGATGTTTTCGGCTTTGTGGGTGGGCAACCCGTTTTCATCCGTGAAATCATTACTAAGGCTGGACTCCTCTCCCGAGGTGACAGAGGACGGAGTAAGCTTCTTCACTTCTGGAGTTTCCACTTCCATATCTTCTACCTGATTAAAGGAATTGCTTTCTGGACAAGAGGACGGAGGCGTCATCTGCGTGCTGTCAGACTCTTTGGTTGAGGGCAGGCTCTTGAGGCTATCTTGGTAATTACCTTCCGCATCTGAGGAACTTGGTACACGTGAATTGGTCTCTGAATTGTTTTTTTCGTTCAGCTCTTCCATGATGACATCACCATTAATGAAAGGCTTCATAGAAGGTTCTTTAACAGTCAAAGGCTTAATATCATTTTCAGGGATTATTTTATTTACGTTATTAACTCTGGATTCAACATTACCACTCACTACTTTACTTTCGGGGATTTCCTTCAAGCAGTCACCTTTTGAATATATCTTTGCTTTCTTATCTTTTCCATTTATTTGAAAGGTGCTCTTCGGTCCTTTCCTTTCAGATTCTCGATTTTCACTATTCCTTTTATCCGTGATATTTTTGAGGTTTGCTTGGTCGGCACATTTGTTCATTGGTCTCTCCTCTGAGCTCTGCTGCTGGCTTGTTTTTTTCCCATTTGCTTCTGTTACCTTGCCCTGTAGCCTGTCATCACAGTTTCCAGTGGACTTCGAAACAAATTCACATCTCAATGGCTCTGAGCTTTCAATATCTTGTTCTGGAGTTAGGAACTGTTCAGAAATACTTTCACCGCTATTCTGAACAACCATATCTTCTTCACTACTATCCTGAATAGACATAGTATCAGAACTATTTTCCAAAGTGCTGTTATTATATTCATCACATACTAGTTTCCCGTCGAAGTCCATTGCTTTTGAGAGTGATGGGGCATCTCTGTTGCTGGCATTTTTAGGTCCTGATGGGAGTAAAGCAGTCTCAGAAGAAGAAATAAAGTTGTCATTCTCTTCCTCTAGGAGTGGTTTTCTGGTCTTAAATCTCAAAGTACCACTATCATCTGTTCTGGCTGGTTTAGAGACATCGACGAAAAGAGCACCTCCTTTTGTTTTGCTTTTGCTGAGTTCCTGTCCTTGACTGGTGCTTTCAGACAGACTCTCATCTACGTCATTGTCAACCGAGTTTTGTTTCTGGTAATTTGTCCCCAGAGTCCGAATGGAGACATCATCTAACAGGCGGCGTTTTGAATAAGGTTTGCTTGGGGTAAGACTAGAATCACTGATGCCCAGAGCTGAGGAATCACTTTGTGAACATCCCTGAATTGACTCCTCACACTTCTCATTATTTACAGCTGGGCTTGGTTCGTCTCTCAGCAAGTCATTTTGACACCCTTCTTTTGCTTTGGTTGTGATGGGTGAATCAGAGAGATCTCTCAAGGAAGTTGTAGAAGACTTTCCAGAACCCTTAATTCCACCCTCCAACTTCATCTTTTCCAGGCGCTGTTTTTCTTCCATCGTGAACTGCTTAATTCGCCTTTCAAGAAGCCCATCTAGTTTAGATGATTTGGTTTTCTTTTTGTAACAAGTCCTTAGGTGAAAGCCCTCACTGACATTGACCACATCGACGGGGGAGCTTTCCTGGCAGTTCACATGCGACTCCGCTTTCACCTCCTCCTGATCCACCTCCATTGCTTCTTCCTTGAAGGACTTATCATTCTCAGAATCCAATAGCTCTTTCACATCTGCGAAATAGACATTTACAGAACCGTTAATTTTTAACTCTGAAAAGAGGGATTCGTGAGACTATATACATATAAACACATAGTTTACACACACACACACACACACACACACACACACACACACACACACACACACACACACACTATTAATTTTTGTGCCATTCCTGAGGTTTGAACTCAGGGCCTGGGAGCTGACTCTGAGTATTTTTGCTCAAGGCTCTACCACTTGAACCTCCACTTTACTTTTGGGTAGTTAATTGGAGATAAGAGTCTTACAGAAAGCCAGGTGCTGGTGACTCACGTCTATAACCCTAGCTACTCAGGAGGTTGAGATCTGAGAATTGTGGTTCAAAGCCAGCCTGGGCTAGAAAGTCCAGGAGAATCTTATCTGCAATTAACCATCAGAAAACCGGAAGTGGTGCTGTGGCTCAAGTGGTAAAACACTAGCCTTGAGCTGAAGAGCTGAGGGACAATCCTGAGAGCCCTGAGATCAAGCCCCATAACAGACCCAAGAAAAATAAAATAAAATAAATTAGAGAATGTGAGTGCTGGTGGCGCACACCTATAATCCTAGCTATTCAAGAGGCTGAGATCTGAGGATTATGGTTGAGAGCCATCCTGGGCAGAAAAGTCCCCGTGAGACTCTCATTTCTAATAAACTACTCAAGAAAGCTGGAAATGCCCCTGTGGCTCAAGTAAGAGTGCTAGCCTTGAACAAAAAGAGGCTCCAGGACAGTGCCCAGGCCCTGAGTTCAAGCCCTAGGACCAAAAGGGCAGGGGGGGGGGGGGAAGCTGGGCATTGATTGGTGGCTCATGCCCATAGTCCTAGCTATTCAGGAGGTTACAATCTCAGGATCACAGCTAGAAGCCAGTTTAGGAAAGAAATTCTATGACACTCTAATCTCCAATTAATCAACAAAAACCAGAAATGAAGCTGTGAGCTGTGATTCAAGTGGGTGAGCACTAACCTTGAGCAATAAAACTCAAAGATAATTGACCACACCCTGAGTTCCAGCCCCAGTTCTGAAACGCATGTGTGTATGATTGCACACACAGGTAATGCTAAAGCTTTAAGGAAATATCATACATTTTGAAGTTTCTTTTTTTTCTTTTTCTGTTTTTGTCAGTTGTGGGGCTTGAACTCAGGGTCTGGGGACTGTCCTTGAGCTCTTTTGCTCAAGGCTAGCATGCTCTACTACTTTAAGCCACAGCTCCACTCTGGTTTTTTGAGTGGTTAATTGGAAATGACTCTCACAGGGACTCTTCTGCTTGAGTTGGCTTCGAATCGTGACCCTTAGATCTCAGCTTCCTGAGTAGCTTAGATTATAGGAGTGAGCCACTGGTGCCTGGCTTAACGTTTCTGAAGTGATTAAATAGATCATGGACAGGGTTATACATTATAAAATGTTAAAAAAAAAACATTCCACTTTAATACACTCCTTGTTACAAAAGAGAAGTTTCTCAAAGGTTACACATACAGTTGCATTTAAACTAGTAAATTTCATTCCTAGATCTAGCTCTGAGAAGTAAGAACATAAATCTACAAAAAACAAAAACACCAAACTCTGGTTTATAGCTAAGAAGCAGAAACAGTTCAGATATGCCCTGTTAGAGACAATAAAATAAAATACTGGAAATAATAAACCTTGAAAACACTACACTAAGTCAGAGAAGTTAGCCACAGGACAACATATTGTCTGATTACGTTGAAATGTCCACCACAGGAAAATGCATACAAAGAAGAGACTGGTAGGCTGGAAGCATCTGGGAAGGATTGCAAGGTGACTGCTTGTGAGCAAGGGGCTTAATTTTGGGGTGATGAAAATGTGCTAAGGTTGACTATGAAGATGCTATGACAACTCCATGTCTAACCTTTTGTGAAACTTATCTTTTGTAACAAAGTACAGTGTGTATTAGATTCAGTGTTTAACCCTGTCCATGACTTATTCTAATCATCTCAGAAACTTCACAGGCTAACCACCTGGAACTATGTGACCATGGTCACATTAACTGGGTGAACTGTACATGACATGAATTCCGCTTGTTAATAAAGCTGTTAACAGAAGGACGAGTACCTTTCTGAGGTGGAACCGGGCAGTGCATTCCCATGACGCCCAGGCGCCCTCCTCACGGACCCTCCTTACCTTCTTCCTTCTTCTCAGTAGTCTTTGACATATCCACTTCACTCTGGCCTGCTCCTTTGGCAGTATCTTTTTTTTCACAATCAGATTCTGTTTTTATTTTTTTGGGACTTTGTAGACCTTTTTGTTTATCTGATTCATCCATATTTTCATCTACATTATTTTTCACTAAAAAGAATCACATATAACAATTATATATATATATATATGTATTCAATACTAGAAATTAACTCTATATATCTAGTTCAGTAGAAATAATCAAATATTTGCCAGTAAGTATATGTCATTATTTTTTATCACAATGGAAGTTGAAGGCATCCCATATCCTTTATCCTTCCCTGTTTGGGGAAAAAAAAACAACAACCAATTTATATGCTGGTGACATTCCTTTTCTGTAAGCATTACGAGTCCTGGTATTTCAAACAGGTAACTATGAAATGTTTGGGTTTCCCAGGATTAAAGGTCTCCTTGGGCTGAGGTGCATCTTAGTAATAAAATTTTTGACTAACATATGCAAATGCCCTGAGCTGAAATTTCCTGAACTGCAGTGCTCTTCAGCACTGGTCTTAGGGCTTGAAATCAGGGTCTAGGAGCTGTCCCTGAGCTTTTGTGCTCAAGGCTAGTGCTCTACTTCCACTTTTCTGGTAGTTAATTGGATCTAAGAGTCTCATGGACTGGCTCTGGAATAAGATCTTTAGATCTCAGCCTTCTAAGTAGCTAGGATTACAGGCATGAACTGCTAGGAGCCTACTATGGTTTCTATTTTATAAAGCATGTGAACTGTTGCTTTCTTTCCTGCCATCACCTGGGAGGCAGAGCTGAGAAAGATCATTTACCACTTAATGAGATAACAGCCCAGGATTTGAACAATGGAAAACACTGTGCTAAAGAAAGTGGATTTAAAATAAATCTGGAAAATATAAATAATATGTATATTGATCAGCTGGTTTTTATCATATAGGTCAAAGCCAGGTCAAAACAATTAAACAAAAAGCTCCTATAGCTCTCTATAATCCTAAGTGCTACATGGGGTAAAAGGAGCAAGGAAACAGTAGTAAAAGAATCTTTTAATCATCTGTTGGAAGGTATTATAACTGCCATTTGAGATGAATATAATAGATTACAGAATTGAGTCCTGGCTATTGCTAGTTCCCAAAGAGAAGTAAGCCTTGGAAATTCTACTATGTCCAAGAAACTTTTAGCCTATGAAATAGTGAGTCTTGTAAATACCTATTTTCCTGTTTAAGATAAACCAATATAATTTTTCTATAGAAACAACTTCAGTGAATCAGTCAGAAAGAAGCCAAGGCTGATCACTAGGCAAACATACAGTTTATTTTACAATGTCCTCATGGAGATTTCATAGGGATGAATACACTGCAGCCTGAATTAGCAAGTCTCACTGCACAGTTACCATGAGTTCTGCTGAAACCCCCTTAGATACCAAAAAACCACATGGCAGACAGCAAAAAGAGCTACAGAAGACATGTGTGCTGGCCAGGGTTCTACCTCCCATCATGGTGCTTAGTGTGTCACTCAGCCTATCTATGAAGTAATTGATCTTTAGTAATTTGAGGGGTTGGAGGCGTGGCTCAATTAGTAGAAGACTAGCCAATAAGTGAAAGCCTCAGGTACTGAGTTTGAGTCCTGGGCTCTGCAACTTGAAATTCCTTAGTCTCTTAAAAGGCCACTTCTTAAATCTCAATCTATAACTCCATTCTGTAATAGTATTCTGGAAGCCCTTGTCACTTCTTTTCTGGGTTTGCTATGTTCAGGAAGAGTGAGCTTACCAGATAAGTGACTTCCCAAGAACAAGAATTCAACTAGTATACAGATTTTTTTTTTTTGTCGGTCGTGGGGCTTGAACTCTGGGCCTGGGCGCTGTCCGTCAGCTCTTCAGCTCAAGGCGAGCGCTCTACCACTTGAGCTACAGCGCCACTTCCGGTTTTCTGGTGGTTTATTGGAGATAGGAGTCTCACAGTCTCTCCTGCCCGGGCTGGCTTTGAACCGCTATCCTCAGATCTCAGCCTCCTGAGTAGCTAGCATTACAGGCGTGAGCCACCAGCGCCCGGCTAGTATACGGATTTTTTTTTTGTGTATGTACTAGTTCTGGGACTTGAACTTGACCTGGGCATTGTCGCTGATATTTTGTGCTCAAGGCTAGTGCTCTACCACTTGAGCCACAGCTCTACCTCCAGATTTATTATGGTTAATTGGAGATAAGAGTCTCACAGACTTTCCTGTCCAGGCTGGCTTTGAGCCATGATCCTCAGAGCTCAGCCTCCAAGTAGCTAGGGTAACAGGCATGAGACACGGACACCCAGCTTAGTACAGAATTTTGACTTTGAAAAACAAACCAATCAGATGGTTATCACTTTCATTTTATAAATATTTTTCTATCATATTTAAATTAAATCTTTAAAACCTTTATTTAAATTAGAATCTTGCAAACTTTAGAGTTTAATCAGTCAACTACAATACTAATTTTGCATACTACTAAAAACTTCAGTAAAATGCTTTTATCTAAAATATGGCTGGCTGCAGGGCGTGGGACTAGATTTGTAATCTGAGATACTCTGGGAGCAGAAACTGGCATAGCTGGGAAAGCTAGGACTTGAGGCTAGCCCAGGAAAAAAGTTAGCAAGACTCTTTCTCAATAAAACAAGTCAGATGTGTTGGCTCATGCCTGTGGTCGCAGATACATGAGGTATATGCAGAAGAATTGTGGTCTGAGACCTGTCCTGGGTGAAATACAAGAGCGCACACACACACACACACACACACACACACACACACACACACACACACACACACACACACACACACATACACACCAAAAAAACAACAGATCAAGCCATGCATCGGGTGGTTCACGCCTATAATCCTAGATATTTAGGAGGCTGAGATCTGAGGATCACGTTTCAAAGCCAAGCTGAGCAGGAAAGTAGTGTACGAGACTTTAATCTCCCATTAACCACCAGAAAAGTGGAAATGGTGCTGTGGCTCAAGTGGTAGAGTGCTAGACTTGATCTGAAGAGCTGAGGGACAGCGCCTAGGCCCAGAGATCAAGCCCGACGACGATGACAACAACAACAATAACGATGACGATGACCACGACCACCACCACTACCACCACCACCACCACGACCACCACCACCACCACCACCACCACCAAAACTAAAATCAAATCGAAAAGGGAAGATGTGAATCAAGTAGTAACAGAGCACTGGCCTAGCCAAGTGTAAGGCTCTGTGTTCAAAATCCCAATAGTATAAATAAGTATAAACAATAAAGTTAATATACTATGAATTTCTAAGAAAATAATACATAACAAAAATTGTTCTGCATATAAATCAACATTACTACTAAAATATTACATATAGCATAAAATAATTCACCACTTACTTCCTTCTAATGGCTTTCTGTAATTCACATTAGTATTGCCTGGCAATTTAGGAACAAACCTATAAACATGAGTTTTACTAATCCAGCTCCAACCACCGTATCCTGTTACTCTGTATTCCTCTCCTTTCTGTTTCCACACCTGGATGAATGCAAACACTTCTGTTAGACAACATGGTTAAAAAGCATGTAGAAGTTCATGCTTGTTAAACAATACTAAGAATCAAACAAATTAAAGGTATCAACTAATCTGTCTCATGGAATCAAACATTTATGGATGAACGTATCTTTTTTCTTTTTTTTTTGCACCAGTCCTGGGCCTTCAACTCAGGGCCTGGGCATTGTCCCTGAGCTTCTTTTCTTCAAGGCCACAGAGCTGCTTCTGGAGTTTTCTGTTTATGTGGTACTGAGGAATTGAACCCAGGACTTCATGCAAGCACTCTACCACCAAGCCACATTCCCAGCCCCTCATTCCTTTCTAAAATGAGAAAGTGAAACCAATTTTCCATCTGTATTCCATTAAAAGAAATCTATGCTAATACCTGGGTACCAGCTAGGTGCAGGCTCACACCTGTAATGCTAACTACTTACTTAGGAGGCTGAGATCTAAGGATCAGAGTTCAAAATCAGTCCTGGCAGAAACAGTCTTGACACTCCTCCACTTAATCAACAAAAAGCTGAAAGTGGAGCTGTAACTCAAGTGGGAGAGTGCCAGCTTTGAGCAAGAAATGTATGAGTGGGAGGCCCTGAGTCAAGCACTGGGTAGCCCCCCTGCTAAAAAGAAAATGAAACGTATGCTTAGAAAAGTACCAGAAAGATGAACTTCATCACAACTGTATTAATTACTCAATGTCTCAGAAGTGGCCAGCTCAGCTGAAGAGGATCGAGTTGTGTTACCTGGTGTTTGACAGGGAATGTGTACTTCACCCATGTGGCCTGCTGCATTGTTTCTTCCTCTTCCTGCTTCTTCTCCTTCTTCTTCACTTTCTCCTTCTCTTCTCTCTCAATGGATGTCATCCTGTGTAACCTACAAGCAGAAAAACAGAGTTCTATGTAAACTTTCGAAAAGGTAAATAAAAAGCTGAAAATGCAACACAGCAAATTAGGCACAAAAGCAAGGGCTGGTTAATTATAACCCCAGAACCCCATCTTATCTATCAAAAGTAAGTAGAAGTACTGTAACAAGAAAAATCAAAGCACAAAACAGCAAAAATAAGGAATGCTATCTTGCTGCATGTCTGCTTCAAGGAAATGCTCCTGTTTTCTTCCATGCATTTGCTAATCCTGACTACTACACATTTCCATAAAGGATACTGACCACACTCAGAACTCTGTAATCAGCAAATCTTTTCTTGTCAGAACACAGAGTTAAAAAAAAACAAAACCGGACAACAATAGGCAGGTCTGGTAGCCCACACCTGTAACCCCAGCACTTAGGAGGCTGCGGCAGAAGTACGAGGAGTTTGACACCAGCCTGAACTACATGTGAGATCCTGTCTAGAAAAGAAACAAACCTTTCTCTCTCCTTCCTTCTCTTCAATTTTTTTTGGACAGTCATGGGACTGAAGTCTGGGCCTGGGCGCTGTCCCTTTGCTCTTCAGCTCAAGGCTAGTGCTCTACCACTTGAGCCACAGCGCCACCTCTGGCTTTTTCTGTGTATGTGGTGCTGAGGAATCGAACCCAGGGCCTCATGCATGCAAGACAAGCACTCTACCACTGAGCCACCTTCCCAGCCCCCATCTCCTCCTCAATTTCAAGAAGGCTTTGTATCCTAATGACAGGTCCTCAGCACACAGCCTTCTGCAGGTGAGGGTTCATGCACTAGCTGCATACAAGCAGTACCGGGACATTCTCCATAAAAGTTCCTTTAGGGTCTCATACACTAACAGGAGGAGACAACAGGGGTGGGTCCCCATTAGAAACTCATTTACGTACTGAAACACCATCCTTTACCAACACTCTTGAAACTAGGGAGTAAAGCAAGCTCTAGAGCACTGCATGTGAGCAAGCTAGCAGTCTCAGTCCTGCACTAAAACCAGCCTATGCCAGGACCAAGTTTTATGGCTCTGTGTTCGTGGGCTGCTCTGCACTCTGAAAAGCCAGGTTCAGCAGTGACAGAGGCCAGGAACGGAATGCTACGTGGACAATCACATCACAGTGAAACTCCAGGAGCCCACAGCTGTGCTTGGTGCTCAGTATGGACAGTGGCATTTGTCTATAAGGCAAGTTTGTCTGTTCTCATCACCAAAAGCTGCACTTTGCTGAGGTGGTAGTGTTAGAGGCGATCTGTGATGCTAACAATTGCACTGACACTGAGATCATTCTTACAGAGAGAGGTAGCATACAGGCAGCTTGGTAGTTCAGTGCAGTTTAGAAATTTCTGGCACTAGATGACCACTGTCCCTTGTACAACACCATGGTCACATGGAGCAATGGAGTGCTACCTCACCCATAATTTCCATGTACTGCTCAGGGCCCTGTAGTCTTTAGCTCTGCTACTACACTGAAGTTACAACTCGTAACGTATGCCTCTCATCCACAAGTGGGGATATCCCTCTGTGTGGATTACAACAAAAATTCATGGCATTTAATGCAATGTAGCATGTAGTGCCCAATTTTTTTTTTGGGGGGGGGCAAGGGGAGCCAGTCCTGGGGCTTGAACTCAGGGCCTGGGGCATTGTTCCTGAGCTTCTCTTCTAGCACTCTATCACTACTTTGAGCCACACCACCACTTTTGGCCTTTTCTGTTTATGTGGTACTAAGGAATCAAACCCAGAGCTTCATGCATGCCAGGCAAGAACTCTACCACTAAGCCACATTCCCAGCCCCGTAGTGCACAATTCTGAGGAACAATTTGGCCACAACTAAAAAGCCAACAAGCTGTGTCATACCATCACTAGAGTATCAAACTTCCAAACTACCAGCTCAACTGAGAGGGAAAAAGGTACTATCTTATCATTCTTTAATTATAAGAGAAGGAATGGTTTTCATGTCTACTAGCCTTTCATATTTATTTGTCTGTACAATGTCTGTTCAAATCCTTTGTCTTGTTTGTATTGGACTAAATTAATCCCTTTCACTTATCAAAGGTCTTTGTCAATTAAGGGAGGTTTTCCATTTGTGGTGCAAATAATTTTCCTCAGTGTGTCATCTGTCTTTAGAGTTTGATTATAACAAAATTTTTTTCCACTCAATTTTAAATACATGTGTCCATTTTTCTCCATTATGGCATCTGGATTTTATATCTGTTTAAAAAGAAAGCATCACAACAAAAATATAAATTAATTCATGTTTTCTTGAGGTCTTTTAGGTTGTTTGGCTTTTAGGTGGTTATTTTTTATTTTATTTTTTTTGGTTGGTTGTGGGGCCTGAACTCTGAACTCTGGGCCTGGGTGCTATTCCTCAGCTCCTCAGCTCAAGGCTAGCGCCCTACCACTTGAGCCATAGTGCCACGTTAGTATTCTGGTGGTTTATTGGAGGTAAGAGTCTCACGGACTTTCCTGCCCGGGCTGGCTTTGAACCACCATCATCTAATCTCAGCCTCCTGAGTAGCTAGGATTATAGGCGTGAGCTGGGCGCTGTCCCACAGCTCTTCGGCTCAAGGTGAGTGCTCTACCACTTGAGCCACAGCGCCACTAGCTTCTTCCTCTTGTGATGTATAATGTTCCATAGAAATTCACATTTTTAGATCTATTGCTAAATTCCAGAGTCTACTCCACTCCACTGCCCTGCTTCTTCTATAGGACATTTTCCAAATACGCTCTAATTCCTGTCTGTTCATCTTTCAAACAGGATCTCATTATGCAGTCTAGGCTGGCCTCAACATACAATCCTCTTGCTTCCTACTGCCTCCTGAGTGCTGGGATTATAGGAATGTACCACCATGCCTAGCTCTATATCTAGTCTTGGTATCTATTCCCCTTTGTGACTATTCTTGCCTATCAATTTTCCTAGATAAAATGTTATCCTCTTGATCAAGACTTGCATAGCCCAAGGAGAGAAAATCTTATCCACAGGGCTATACATTTCAAGTTTATAGTTACAAGGTATATATACATGCAAGTAAGCACCAAGTAGTGGGATATGAACTCCTCTCAAGGCTGTCACTCTACCATTTAAACCACAGGTCCACTTCTGCCTTTTTATGCACTGGACCAAGAACTTAAATGCAGGGCCTGGGCACTGCCTCTGAGCTTTTTTTTTTTTTTTTTCCGGTCGTGGGGCCTGAACTCTGGGCCTGGGCGCTGTCCCTCAGCTCTTCAGCTCAAGGCTAGCGTTCTACCACTTGAACCACAGTGCCACTTCCGGCTTTTTTCTTTTTGCTTATGGTGCTGAGGAATCAAACCCAGGGCCTCATGCTTGCAAGGCGAGCACTCTACCACTGAGCCACCTTCCTAGCCCTGCCTCTGAGCTTTTAGACTCTCTATTGCTTGAGCCACAACTTTAGTTCTTCTGCCTTTTATTTTTTGGTGGTTAGCTAGAAGATAAAAGTACCAAAACACTCCTGCCTGGGTGGGCTTCAAACTGTGATCCTCAGATCTCAGCTTCCTGACAGAACTACAGGCATGAACTACCTTCTTCTTTTTTTTTTTTGCTAGTTACTTGGAGATAAGGTTTCAAGATTGGTTTACACAGATACTGAGCATTTTTCTTACATTTACTCCTAGGAAACTGAAGGTTTCGTTGCTGATCTTGCTGCTGGAATCTTTTCCAGTAAATTTTTAAAAATACATAAAATACAGGAAAGTTAAGAAATTGAACTTTATTACTGCCTTTTATATACAGTGTTACCTAGCTTTCCCTTGTAGCTTTACTACAATGTGTATTCTAAATAATAAAAAACGTGAATTTGGAAAATTCAGTAACAAGCATAAAACTGGCTGCACAGAGGCTAGATGTGGAGGAATCGGGGTTCGAATATAGGGGTTTGAACAACAAAGGAACATCCCCCCCCTTTTCTTGTTGGTCATAGGGCTTGAACTCTGGGCCTGGATGCTGTCCCTCAGCTCTTCAGCTCAAGGGTAACACTCTACTGCTTGGGCCACAGCACCACTTTTGGTTTTCTGGTGGTTTATTAGAGATAAGTGTCTCATGGATGTTCCTGCTCAGGTTGGCTTTGAACCGTGATCCTAAGATCTCAGCCTTCTAAATAACTAGGGTTACAGGAGTGAGCCTCTGGTGCCTGGCAGATCCCGAGTCCTTTTCTGCTTTAGTTTTTTTTTTTTTTTTTGTCGGTTGTGGGACTTGAACTCTGGGCCTGGGCGCTATCCCTCAGCTCTTCAGCTCAAGGCGAGCGCTCTACCACTTGAGCTACAGCGCCACTTCCGGTTTTCTGGTGGTTTATTGGAGATAGGAGTCTCACAGTCTCTCCTGCCCGGGCTGGCTTTGAACCGCAATCCTCAGATCTCAGCCTCCTGAGTAGCTAGGATTACAGGCGTGAGCCACCAGTGCCCGGCTTGCTTTAGTTATTTTTAATGGCTAGGAGCCAACCTTTGACAAGGACCCCGACATGTCCTGTAGAGCTGGAATCACAGGTGTGTACGACGTCCAGCCACATTTACCTTATTCCAATACCAGTCTTTTCCAAATAAATTTGTGATTTTCTACAGAAAATCCAATGAAAAATTTTAATGCTACTGAAATTCACTTAATATGTTAACAGGAGAATAATTGAAATAGGCAAGACAATAATTCTTATAAAGAACATTAGATATTTTCCTGTTTTTTAGGTATTGTTTTCAACAAAAATTTAGTACATTTCTCAAAAAGATCATAATTTATCATTACTTAAAAAATAACCTACGCTGGGAATGTGGCTTAGTGGTAGAGTGCTTGCCTGACATGCATGAAGCCCTGGGTTTAATTCCTCAATACCACATAAATAGAAAAAGCGGGAAGTAGCACTGTGGCTCAAATGGTAGAGTGCTAGCTTGGAGCAAAAAAAGCTCAGGAATGATACCCAAGTCCTGAGTTCAAGCCCAAGACAGCACCAAAAAAAAAGAATCAAGGAAATATATTTTTTACAAAACTATTATATACTTACTTACTAGTATAAAGTGAAAAGTAAGAACCACTTTATGTTTCCTGACCTACTGAAAGGCTGTCACCAATATTATAACTTTGGCTGTTTTACTTGGGCAGGGAGGGTATGTCTTTTTGGTGCCAGTATTAGGGCTTGAATGGTTTCTCATGCTCTCGCTTGGCCTTTTTGCTCAAGACTAGCACTCTACCACTTGAGCCACAGTGGTTTGTAGCTGATTGGTTAGAGATAAAAATCTCTTAGATTTGTCTGCCAAGGGTGACTTCAAATGCAGATCTTAAGACCTCGGCGTCCTGAGCAAGCAGGATCACAAGCACGAGCCATTGCACTTCTCTACTTTTGTCTTTGTAATCCAGATTATTTTATTTTTTTTCCTGGTTTGTCATTATGACTAGTCTCCTAAACGTTTTCTTTTCTTTTTTTTTAGGCTGGCTTTGAACTATGATCCGCAAATCTCAGCATCCGAAGCTGCTAGGATTATAGGCCAGAGCCTGGTCTTTTTTGGCACTTTTAAAACCTTTTTGGCAGTCCTAGGTTTGAGCTCAAGAGGGCTAGTGCTTGCCAGGCAGGTACTCAACCACGTGAACTACCAGTCCTTTCAGTGCTATCTTCAGGCCAGCCTGGAACTCTGCTTCAATAGTAGCTGGAATGATGAAGTGTAGGCCACCACATCCAGCTTACCAACTTTTTGCCCAGGCTTGCTCAAACCTTGATCTGCCTGATTTCAGTTTCTCAAGTAGCCTGGGTTACAGAAATGAGACACTGGAGGCTGATCTATATATATTGTTATTAAATTTTCTTTTTTTGTGTTAGTTGTGGGGCTTGGGTGGTACCCCAGCTTTTTTTTGTTCAAGGTTAGTATTCTATCACTTAGCCAGGGCTTGACTTCCAGCTTTCTGGTTGTTAAGTGGAGATAGGTGTTTCATGAATTTTCCTGCCTGGGCTGGCGTTGAACTGTGATCCTTACCTCTTAGCTTCCTGAGTAGTAGGACAACAGGCATGAGCCACCAGTGCCCAGCTGTATTTATTTATTTTTAAGATAGGTTGGATTGAGATTCCCAATCCTCCTACCTCAGCCATCAGTGTTGGGATTATTAAGTGCGTACCACTATACCTGGCATTTTCTATCTACTATTAAGCTACGTTTCTGGCACTTGTAATAACTCTCAAGAAACTGAAGTTTTATTTAAAAAAAAAATTCTATCAGGGATAAAATAGAAGTTTCAAGTCACAAAATTTATCTGTTTCTAAAAACTACCTACTCAAGACACACAGTCCCTACTTGGGAGCTCTATGCTCTTTTGCCAGACATCTAAATCTAGACGAGTATATAAGTCAGAATAAATTCTTAAATATGTAAGTGCTCAATTCCAGCAAAATGTTTTTCACTTTGAAAGCATTTTTAAATTAAAAGAAAAGCCGGGCGCTGGTGGCTCACGCCTGTAATCCTAGCTACTCAGGAGGCTGAGATCTGAGGATCTCGGTTCAAAGCCAGCCCGGGCAGGAAAGACCATGAGACTCCTATCTCCAATAAACCACCAGAAAACTGGAAGTGGCGCTGTAGCTCAAGTGGTAGAGCGCTCGCCTTGAGCTGAAGAGCTGAGGGACAGCACTCAAGCCCACAGTTCAAGCCCCACAACCGACAAAAAAAAAAAAAAAAGGCTGGGAAGGTGGCTCAGTGGTAGAGCACTTGCCTCGCATGCGTGAGGCCCTGGGTTCCATTCCTCAGCACCACATAAGCAGAAAAAGCCAGAAGTGGAGCTATGGCTCAAGTGGTAGAGCGCTAGCCTTGAGCTGAAGAGCTGAGGGACAGCGCCCAGGCCCAGAGTTCAGGCCCCATGACCAGACCCCCTTCCCCCCCCCCGCAAAAAAAAATGTGCTGCTTTGGGAGCTTGAACTCAGAGCCAAAGAACTATCCCTGAGCTTTTTTGCTCATGGTTGGTGCTCTGCCCTTAAGCCACATCTTTACTTCTGGCTTTTTGGTAATTAACTGGAGATACGAGTCTCCTGGACTTTCTTTTTTTTTTTTTTGGTCGGTCATGAGGCTTGAACTCTGGGTCTGGGCGCTGTCCCTCAGCTCTTCAGCTCAAAGTGAGCACTCTACCACTTGAGCTACAGCGCCACTTCCGGTTTTCTAGTGGTTTATTGGAGATAGGAGTCTCACGGTCTTTCCTGCCCGGGCTGGCTTTGAACCGCGATTCTCAGCTCTCAGCCTCCTGAGTAGCTAGGATTACAGGCGTGAGCCACCAGCGCCCGGCTTTCTCCTGGACTTCCTTGTCCAGGGCTTCAAATTGTGATCCTCAAATCTCAGCTAGGATTTCAGGCGTGAGCCACCAGCACCCAGCATAAAAGTATTTTTGAAGTGGGGTGCTGGTGGCTCACACCTGTAATCCTAGCTACTCAGGAGGCTGAGATCTGAGGATCATGGTTCAAAGCCAGCCCAGACAGCAAAGTCCATGAGACTTTTTTCTTTAAAAAAAAATATACTTATTTATTTATTTTTAATTATTTATTTTTTGTCAGCCTGAACGCTGGGCCTGGGCACTATTCCTCAGCTCTTCAGCTCAAGGCTAGCGCTCTACCACTTGAGCCACAGTGCTACTTTGGCTTTTTTGCTTATGTGGTGCTGAGGAATCAAACCCAGGGCCTCATGCATGCAAGACAAGCACTCTACCACTGAGCCACCTTCCCAGCCCCCATGAGACTCTTATCTCCAATAAACCACTCAAAAACTGGAAGTGGTGCTATGGCTCAAGTGGTAGAACCCTAGCCTTGAGCTGAAGAGCTCAGGGACAGCACCCAGGACCAGAATTAAAGCCCTATGACCAACAACAACAACAACAAAAGTATTTTCCATTTTATGTATTTGATCTCTTTGGTCTTCATTACAATACCGCACACAGAGAGGTTCAGGAACAGTGCCCAGGCCTTGAGTTCAAGCCCCAGGACTAGACAAAATAAATAAATAAATAAAATAAATTAGTAAGACCGAAAAGGTAAATGAAGTCCTTAATATGATCTCTTGAACACAGTAACTTTAATTATTGATGAACCAGCATTTCAGAGAATAGTGTAGTTACTCAGAATTTTCTCACCTGGTGTGTCCTAAAGATTCCCGCCATATTGGGAGCATCACAACTGGTTTGACTGCACACTCCAAAATAGCCAATGCCAATGCAAACTCTCTGGGTTTGCTACACATCTGAACTGCCTTGATCCAATTTGCCCTAATTTCAGAAGAAAGAAAAAAAAAAAAGCCATTTCACTAGGTTGATCTTAAATTGAAAGAACAATGACTTCATCTTATGACATATATGAAAAAGGGTCCTAGGTGACAAATACCAATAGAATGGAAGCGGAAAGTTCTAGCTCACAGAAATCATAGATTTCAAACACTGGAAGGAATCCCAGAGATCATTTAGACCTCCCAATTCCTTGGCCTTCTAGAATGTTTCTGGAATTTTGGCTTCTACTAACTTCCTGTCTTTTGTACAAATACAGAGTTCCTTCATTTATAACAGCATTTTAATTGTACAGTTGTATGCATTAATAAGTAATAATAGTATACAGATACAATAATCTTTCCTAAGTATCTAGCATGTTTGCAGCAATAAATTAAACATAGTTTCCTCTACCTGTGTGAAGCCCAATTGGGATGAAGAAAGGAAGAAGGGATGTTGCTTTCGAGCTGGGTGATGGTCAGTCTCAGAGTAGATATGGTAAGAACTTTGGACCCATGGACAGAGCCATTCCATTTGAACTCTCCAGCTGGAGTCAGGCAGAATTTATGTGCAAGATGTCTTCTCTTATCATGATCTTCCCGGTGCTGGTGTTTATTCAAAGCAAATGAATTGGTGGAGTACTGATTGTGGTAGACTCTATACTTCCCTTCTTGACCCAATTTAAAATAATTGTTGATATTTCCTTTCATGACCACTTCCTTCTTGGTGCTCAACCGTGAAATTTCTCCTTGAGAGTTAACTACCAGTACCTGACCAAGAACGCAAAAAGAACTCATTATTAATGTTAAAAATGCAAATTTTGCCTAATCAACTGTCTTTCAATAACGACCATCATTCCAAACAAGATACATTTTATAACAGATTTGTTGAAGTTGAAAAACTTAAATGAAAGCTAGAGCTGAGGGTGGCAGTACACTCCTGTAATCTCAGCACTCAGGAAGCTGAGGCAGGAGTAGCGCAAGGAGCTCCAGGCTGCCCTGCTCTGTAGAATACAGTGAGAGTGTTTAAAAAAAAAAAAAGTGCCAGTTAACTGTTCAGAACTAAATAAGCAGATATGCCAAAAAGAGGAAAAAATTAAGTATTGTACAATAGATACTACTGATGACTATGTTCATGAATCTCTAACAACCATGAAACTAAGTGTGTAAATCCTTTAACCTGTCATTATGCCAAGTTTACAATCCATGCTTTAGGACTACAGGAGGGCTTTATGCGTACTAACTCCTAACAATTCTATTTCTGTCTGCTCCTTTCATCATTCTCGCTTCAGTTCAAGAGCCATGGATACTTTAAAGATAGTATTTTCAGAAAGTTGATCCCAATTCTCTAGTGGACTATGAAACTAACAGTAGGTCTTATTCAATTTTTCCCCCCAGTTTTCGGACTTGAACTTGGGGCCTAGGTGCTGTCCCTGAGCACTTTTGCTCAGTTAGTGCTCTACCACCCTGAGCCACAGCACCACCTGTGATTTTTCTGGCAGTTAACTGGAGATAAGAATCTCACAGGGCTGGGAAGGTGGCTCAGTGGTAGAGCACTTGCCTTGCATGCCTGAGGCCCTGGGTTCAATTCCTCAGCACCACATAAGCAAAAAGCAAAAAAAAAAAAAAAAAAAAACACCAGAAGTGGCGCTGAAGCTCAAGTGGTAAAGCGCTAGCCTTGAGCTGAAGAGCTGAGGGACAGCGCCCAGGCCCAGAGTTCAGGCCCCATGACCGGACCCAAAAAAAAAAAAAAGAAAGAAAAAAAAGAAAATATCACAGCAATTCTGACATAGTACCACTACGTCGGGAAGCTTTTCAATGAGGGGAATGGATGACTGAAAAAAATGGCATACCTCACTAAGAGTCACAGTCAAAATGGTGTTTCAGCCAGGTGCTGGTAGCTAAAACCCTAGCTATTCAGGAGGCAGAAATCCAAAGATTGAGCTTTGAAGCCAGCCCAGGCAGACAAATCTCCCCAAAAAGATGCTTCAACACTTCAAAGCAACTGTTTTTAATCCATGTGTCCAGCTTTAATCCTTGTGCACAGTTTCCTATTGCCAAGATAAGCTCTACCAAGGGCTGCAGTTCACTAGAAGTGGTCCTAGTAAAGAATCCATGGACGCTGGGTGCCAATGGCTCACGCCTGTAATCCTAGCTACTCAGGAGGCTGAGATCTGAGGATCGAGGTTTAAAGACATCCCCGGAAAGTCCGTGAGACTCTTATCTCCAATAAACCACTCAAAAACCAGAAGTGGTGCTGTGGCTCAAGCAGTAGAGTGTTGGCCTTGAGCTGAAGAGCTGCGGGACAGTGCCCAGGCCCAGAGTTCAAGCCCCACAACCGACTAAAAAAAAAAAAAGAATCCATGGCTCTTACAGCATTTCTATGTATGGACTACAGCAAGCTGTACAAGTGGCTTTTTAAAAAAATCATAATACAACGCTAAATAACAATTTTGCTCATCACTCACTAATACCCTGACAAATGGATCAAATTTAATTCAAAAGTAAGTCTATAAACTTGTTGCCCTTGGGGCTGGGAAGGTGGCTCAGTGGTAGAGCGCTTGCCTTGCATGCTTGAGGCCCTGGGTTCGATTCCTCAGCACCACATAAGCAAAAAGAAAAAAGCCAGAAGTGGTGTTGTGGCTAAAGTGGTAGAGCGCTAGCCTTGAGCTGAAGAGCTGAGGGACAGCGCCCAGGCCCAGAGTTCAGGCCCCATGACTGGACCCAAAAATAAAAATAAAAAATAAAAAAATAAAATAAAACTTGTTGCCCTGGTTTTTAATGTCAAATAAACATAATAATTCATCCTGTATAGGTGCTGGTTTTAAACAGAAGGAACAGACCTCTTTGCCCTCCTTGAACTGTTTATTGGCTTCATGGGCTGCAGCTGCCACCTGCTGGTTCTTCAGCTGACTTAGTTTGCTGTCAGGATTCCGCAACCTGGTGATGATCCGAGTTGAGCCGGATGCTCCTCTTCCAGCACCAGGGGACTCAGCCACCTCCCCATTAGACTTCTCTAGTCTGAAATCACCTAGTGTCAAGCAAAAAAGCCACAAAGTAATTGTTGACAGGAATGCTTTATGAATGCTTTACTATGTTCAAGATCCAGAAAGACAAAAATCCTTGAATAGACAAAAGCAAACTTCATTAATTCTTAAGTATTTTACTTAAAAAAATTTAGAACTTCATTGTAAGTGATTTCTGTTTCACAAAAAAATAGAAATGTGTTGAAATATGTTTCAAAGCTCATCTATTAGAAAATATGAGCAGCTGCTACTGCTAGAAATTTACAAGTACTAAACATAGTAACTCAAAACAGACATTAACAATGCTGCCTTATATTCAGTATGGATTTCTGGATATAATTAATTTTAGAATAATTTCCACTGAAATTCTGTGTAAGGAACTAACAGTTTTGAGCTTATCTTATAAATGTGTCAAAGGGAAATTATTTTCATTAATGTAAAAAGTAACTAAATTAATGTACTTACTATAATAAGGTCTTTTCAACATTTTGATAACTCAGTTTTTTCTGTTTGTTTTTGTTTTGTTAGTCATGGGGCTTGAACTCTGGGCTCGGGTGCTATCCCTGCGCTCTTCAGCTCAAGGCAAGTGCTCTACCACTTGAGCCACAGCACCACTTCCAGTTTTTTGGTGGTTAACTGGAGATAAAAGTCTCATGGACTTTCCTGCCTGGGCTGGCTCTGAACCACCATTCTCAGATCTCAGCCTCCTGAGTAGCTAGGATTACAGGCATGAGCCACTGGCACCCGGTATTAACTGTTTTTTAAAGTGATGGACCACACTGTCCAGAAGCCATCTCTGTTTTTTGTTCACTCACCAACCAACCTCCCTTGGGCTGAACAGGTTAATCCATATGAAAGCTAGAGCACCATCATTGGCTTAACATTGGCTAGGTAGCTGCACAAAATTTCGGGGTTTTTTGTTTTGTTTTCTGGTCAGTCATGGGGCCTGAACTCTGGGCCTGGGCGCTGTCCCTCAGCTCTTCAGCTCAAGGCTAGCGCTCTACCACTTGAGCCACAGCACCACTTTTAGCTTTTTCTGCTGAGGAATAGAACCCAGGGCGAAGCAAGCACTCTACCACTGAGCCACCTTCCCAGCCCTTGTTTCTTTTTTAATTTAAAGTTTTTTCAAAAAAAGTTAAGACACAATATGGCAAGGACAGAGAATTTACTTCATAATGTATTATAATGATGTCAATTTTAAATACATAAGGACAAAGACAGGTTTGGGAAACTGGCTGTTCATTTTCTGGGGGCACAATGATATAAGACAACTTAGTAAACCTCTTTCACTTAACCTGTGTCTTATATCCTTTCTTTCCACTATCATATAATGCTGGCAGGCTGCCTATCAAGTATCTTGCCCCTCTGTTATGAATAAGACCCAGAGATTGGCCAAAACAATCATGTGACTATTCCAGGAACTGGCTAGATGGCCCAAGAAATGAAGCATCCTACCCAACTGTTTAAAATCTGGAGGTAAAGACAGATCTCTGCTTTTTCTGTTAGTGAGTAGGGAGCTGGCTACTTCTACCCTATAAAATGTTAGTTGAAATAATGCACCTGAGGCTGTCAATAATACTGGACTTCCCTGTCAACCATGCTAGCAAAATTCACTTTCCATTTCAAGCAAGGTGAATAAATGGATTTCTAGCCAAACAAATAGGTTCTACATAATTCTGGAGAGAATTTTAAGACTTTGAGTCCAAAGTATGGTACTGACGAAATCACAAAGGAATGGGGACACTAAGTATCTTGCCATGCTGGGATAGAAGGCTGGTAACCTGGATGTTGTGGTGATGAGATGGTTGGTCAGACCATTCCTCTTTTTCTTGGGTCTCAGCTCATGATTCTATTCATGCTGGAATTTTATACCAAGAGGCTGAACTTAGGTGCCTATTTCTTGGGACCATCCAAAACAACCTGGAGCAACAAGTTTATACATACTGTTTGGTCTACTTTGGATTTCTTGAAAATAGCAAAGGAATGGCAAATGCTTTTTAAAAGAAATCTCTCAATGTACAGCCACTATTTCAGAATTAATCTTTGCCATTTGTCAAGTTGAGTAATTCATGACCAAGTAAAACCTGAAACAGTGGAGAAAGGGAATGAGGCTGAGAGTAGAGGTCGTAACTGAACCAACTCTGTCCAAGAGCCGTATTTTTCCAATTACAAAGGAGTGAATCAGACCAGCCACAGGTGCTCATGCACATAATCCTAACTACTTGGAGAGCAAAGATCAGGAGGTTCCTAGCTTGAGGCCAGCCCCAGCAAACCAGCAAAAAGTTTACAAGACTCCATTTCAATGAAAAAGCTAGGCATGGTGGCATATACCTGTCATCCCAGCTATGAGGAAAGCTTAAGTAGAAAGTGTGTGTTCCAGGATAGCCCAGGCAAGAAACAAGAGACTCTCCCTGAAAAACAACTAAAGCAAAAAAGGGCTGGGAGCACTGCCTAGTGGTAGAATACCTGCGTGGCGAGCGTAAGGTGCGCGGAGTTGAAACCTCAGTACTTCCCCAGTTAACAATAATGAAGTAGTGGCTCACTGTGAGAAAACTCGGTGGCAGAGTGCAGATTAGCTCTCCCTCAGCCTCTTTGGCGAGGGACAGACTATGGAGGGCAAGAGTTACTGGTCTATGAAGCTGACAAACTGAGGATGCAGAGAGGTTCACCTCCTGGGATGTGAAGTATAAGTTACTGGGGTACCCAGCACCCTATAAGGGAGTGCTGCTGCAGGAAAAAATTACAAGCCTCCCAAACTGGTACATTTGACTGTTCAATACTACAGCAATTCCCAGCAAGCTATCCCTAGGAGCAGCTAGCAGGAATGAGGCTGCTAAACTGAATGGCCTCCAGAAGCGCCCCCTGGTATGTTTTTGTCCTTTGTCTTTCATGATCATTCTTCTAGATTTCCCAGAGTACCTCCGCTGTCAGGAGGTGTTTCAGGCAATGAAGTTCAGATAAGCCATATCCAGACCTGTCAATATGAATGAACAACAAACAAAAGTCCCAGATTTGACTCTAGATACTATTACTGGATGTAACTGTGGGACGGAAAAGAGTTTGGGGTCTGTTGTAGGTAAGCTATTTGCATTATGAGATAAGAGGCATATTTACTAAATGTATGTGAATAAGTGTGAGTAAATGTGTGTGTGTGCTGAGCAATCAAGGGTGGAGCTGCAACTATTTACTATGTTCTATCTGTGCAGGCCGCACCATTCCTTGGAAAGCCACTCCGATCCCATTCTCACAGTTTACTTCTGCTGGAGCCATCAATCATAATACCTTGCCTTCCCTGGCCATAGGGGTGAGAACAATAGGATCCCAAATAGGCCACTCAAGTTCTTTCCTCAAGGATTCTGGATGTGGAGCAGGAGGGGGTCTTCCCTTTGGGTCACAGACCTCAGGAAGACATGAAACCAAACTGCTGGTGCCACCTTCCCTGACACTTGGAAAAAGCTTGTCTGTATTAGGAGAGAAGGAAATTAACACACAGATAAATGTAGATCCAAAAGGTGGAGGAGAAAGAGAAGAAATCAGAAAGAGGAGCTATACCTGGGGGGGGGTGCATTTACGCCAAACAATGTCTTAGACTTCCCACCTATATGAGCTAATTAATTTTCCTCTTCCTGTAAGCTAGTTTAAGCTAGTTTGATCACTTGCAATTGAAAAAGTCCTAAATAAAATGTATCTCCCACAGATAACATACCACATATAAAATTATCCTTTAAACATTATAGGAAACTACTATGAAATACATGTACATTCTTGGGATGGTCGTCCTTATTAAGACAGAAAATCCAGAGAAATCCTGAAGAAAAAGATCAATACGTTTAACCATACAGAAACGCAGAGACTTCGGTATGACTAGACAGCTGATAATTAAAAATGAGTAACTACTGTAACAATACGTGTAACTCCCAAGTGCAATAACCATACAGAAAACATTTCCAAATCCACTCAAGAAAAATTTCAAACTCCAGAGGAAAATGTGAGCAAAGACATCGGTAATCAATTCAACTAACATATAAGATGTTCAGCCATATATATTAGTAAGCAAGGGCATGCAAATTCATGAAACGCTTATTTAAGAATATTGATAGTGTAAAATTTAGGCATGAGAACAGATATGTCTGTGAGTTATTAGAATTACCTTTTGATCCCCAAGTAAAGGCCATGCTTTTAAACTGTCTCTAACATTTGACCAGCAATGCTACTACTGCTGGCCATGCTGACAAACAGACAAGACTGAGGATGAGGAGAAGCACTGCTCCTGGGAATGGTAAGTATCATGCAGAAACTCCAGAGAATGAATTTAACCTCACAAGATTCCTGACAAGAGTTACTGAACAAAAAATAAACAAAAACCACCATGCAGAACAATGCATGCAGGTTAATCCCATTTATGTAAAAAGAGAGCGGAAAAGAGAAAGAGAGAGAGAGAGAAAGAGAAAGAAAAAGAAAAAAATAATAAAAAATGAAACTGCGAAAATATATGTATATGAATATAACGCAGATTGCTGATGGAAGGGTGGTGAAAAGAAAGGGTCTTTCTTTTTTTCCCCTGTGTGCTTCCATATTATTTGAAGTGGAAAAAAAAAATAACGAGTTCAAGTGCTACTTAAAAAAAAAAGGAAGAAAAAAATGGAAAAGTTCAATCTTTCCACCCCACCAAGCTTTTAGTTACAAAAAATTGAAAATATTAAAAAATAAAAATAAAAAATGCTTCCTTTGCAGGCAGAAGTGAATTCTTACCTATCTCTTCTTGAATAGAGACAGGTGTATGGGACTCTCTTTCTCCGTTTTCAGGGTCATCAGCGGCCTGAGCAGAGTCACTCGGGGAAGAATTGAGCTCACTGCTGCTGTTACTGTTTTCCACATTGGGCTGCACGGAGGAGGTGGGAGCACTAGTCTTACTGCTGTCACATGGCTTGTGAGAGTCTTCTAGAAAAATAGAATATCTCATTTTTAAATGGAAGAATCACATCAAAAATAGCTGTCAGAAAAGGCACTTCATTGTCTTGGGATTTCATTACAAAGCTTGTATTTTAAAAAGCAAGGCAGGTTGTGTATGAAGAATGAAATACACTAAGCAAGAAGACTTTGTAAGCACACCCAGGAGGTATTTGAAAAGTCCTCTTAGTCTAGTGGAAGGCAAAGTTTCAGAGAGCCAGAGCCAAAGCAAAACCAACAGCCATAATGACTGCACAAAACTTAAGGTGCCGCAATTACTGCACAGGTGGTATAGCCAGATAACAACGACTCTTGTCTTCAACAGTAGTGAAAACAGATTTCCACAAGATTATTTATATGTTAGTTTTCTGCCTAAACTACCTGCCCCCCCAAGTTGTGCCTAGACGTGAGTAGCTTTTCTGGACAATTTAATACCATCACTAAGAGCTTAGTTCTTAAACGTAATCATATTAAAATTAGTACTTGCACAAACTGAGAGCCTTAGTGTTTTTTCCACAGCAATTCGGAAATCAGAAGTGCCACTCTGCCCTTCTATGTCACTAGTGAGGCACATTTTAAGCCACTCCAACTGAAAAGTACTTGACATTCGGTCATACTATTTCAAATGTATAAGCTCCTAAAATCTTTTTGTGGAAGAGTCAACAACCAGATAGAATATGGGAAAACAGGAATAATCCTAAAAGAAATGAAAGTGACCTTAAACTTATAGACATTTACTCACTTATTTCAACTAAGAGAAATGTGAAATGAAACTATACGAAGAGCCCAGTATCAGTGGCTTCATGTCTGTAATCCTAACTACTCCAAAGGCTGAGATCTGAGGATGAAAGTTAGAAGCCAGTCTGGGCAGACAAATCTGAGAGACTCTTATTTCCAATTAACTAGCAAAAAGCTAGAAGTAAACATGTGGCTCAAGTGGTAGAGCATCAACTTGCAGCAGAAAAAACTGAATGAGACAGCAAAGCCCTGAGTTCATGTCCCAGAAACTGTGTGAGGAAAGAAAGAAAAACAAACAATAACAACAACAAAAACCCAACTACGTGGAGAAAGTACTATTTAGGTATCAGATTGGCAGAAATTCAAGTCTCACAATATGCTGAGGCAGTGGCTTCAAACACTCCCACACACTGCTTTGGATCTGGACAGAGGGTCGGTGGTAAATCAGAGAACCAACAGTGCATTTACTACTCACCTAGTAATTCCATCGCTAAGAATCTGTCACAAAAGGAACTAGCAAGAATTCTACATTACTTATCTGCCATGTGATTTGGCAAAGCATGATTTTTAACAGAAAAGACTAGAAACAACAGGGCAATGGCCCAATAAAAGACCCACACATTACAAGAATTGAGGCTAATCAGTCCAAAGACAGCGTGGGCTAAAAAAATACGTAAGACTCCAAAATAATCAGCAAAATGCCTGGCTGGTGGTATGAGTCAGTTGGTAGACTGCCAGCCTAGCAAGCAAACAGAGCAAGAACAAGTCCCTGAGTTCAAACCACAACAGGAGGAAAAAAAAAAAAAAGATGCCAGGAAGACATGTACTTTTGAATCTAAAATCCAGAACACAGGGGCTGGGAAGGTGGCTCAGTGGTAGAGCGCTTGCCTTGCATGCCTGAGGCCCTGGGTTCCATTCCTCAGCACCACATAAGCAAAAAGAAAAAAGCCGGAAGTGGCGCTGTGGCTCAAGTGGTAGAGTACTAGCCTTGAGCTGAAGAGCTGAGGGACAGCACCCAGGCCCAGAGTTCAGGCCCCACAACCGGACCCCCACCCAAAAAAAAAAAAAAGTCAAATTGCTACTCACTTTCACTATGTGGTCTTTCAGTCAGATCCACATAAAATGCTTTGGATTACTGATTATACCCAAGATGCTGGTAATCTTGAAAAGGAATTATTCTTTTTTTATGTTTTCCTATAACTTTGTTAAGCTATACATTTGTTATTTTTCCTTTGTGTAATACCGTCTATCAGACTGCACGGAAACACAGTGGGATGCACTGAACGTAGCCTTAAACTGCATATAATACAAAAACGGGAGGACCAGACTATAAAGAGTTGGGTACAGCTCAACGGTTGTGTACCCATTTAACACAGGCATGGCCCTGCGTTCAATGCCCAGCGCTGCAAACACTAAAACTAAAATGAAATAATAAAAGAGAAAGCAACCTCACAGTAATAATTGGATAGCTTGAAAACATTTTGCAGGGAGGGGGAAAAAACCAAACAACAGAAGGAAAATAAATTAGAACAACACAATTTACATTTCTGACCTAATTGTCTCTGTTCATTCTGGTGGTGTTGGCATTTGAACTTAGGTCCTTGTGCTCGCTGGGCAGGTAACTTCAGCCGTGTTTCTAGTCCTTTGGTTATTTTTCAGTTATTTTTCAGTTAGGGTGTTGCTGCACTTACAACATGTCAGCTATGGTACAGTTTGAAAATAGGTGATACTGTTTTTTTCAGGCATAGAAAAGGATCTTTAAGGATGTCTTTCCAGTACTACTCTTAGTTTTTTATTGGATTACACAAATGTTTACTTTTCTAAAGAACATAATAAGCCAGTGGATCATGCCTATAATCTTATCTTCTCAGGAGGCTAAGATATGAGGATCACAGCTTGAACCCAAACATGTAGACAAATCCAAGAGATTCTTATATTCCATTAGATGGCAAAAAAGCTGAGCAATTGGATAAGGCCCTGAGTTCAAATCCTAGTACCTACACACACATACACACATACAAAGAAAGTCTTTTAACAAAAAGAAACAAAGAAGAACCACAGCATATAAATAAGCCCCTCACAGGGACTAGTCTCTTTGGAAGAAGCATTTGTTGTGTTGTCGCCAAGATTTGCTGACACAGTTACCTTTATCCCCAACTCCTGTTGGCTCTACAGCAAAAAGCACAACAAAACTTTAAAGACAGTCTTTAAAATTGCTTTGGGACAAATGGCCACCTTCAACCAATCAAAATTTTAAAAGAAATTTTAATTTTAAAAAAGGCTCAAATACAACTTACATAAAAAACTATACCTTGCAAAAAGGTTTTGTGATGATGGATACTGTCATAACATTATGAATTTAAAATGTCAAAATGATAGGAGAACATGCAAACATACAATTAAGGTGTTAGTACATAGAGAGCTCAAGGGGCCAAATCATTCAACGCTGAGCCATTAATACGTAAGTAATTCAAACCCGAGTACCTGCCACAATGAGCTGGTAAGCAACTATATACATCTAGTAAACAAAACCAGCTTGATGAGGTTTAAAAAAGCATGAGGATTATGATGGGTTGGAACTTTACATGTTAGGTGACAACTTAGCAATGAGGAATGGCATGTGAGCAAGCAGCATGAATGAGCACATACTTTAGAGCTCTAGGTGACACTCAGCTTGTGCTGCAAAAGGGAAGGATTCCCCCCATTACAGAGGCACAGATACACGGCCCTCTGTACCTGGCACATCCTGGGGGAGCTCGGATGCCACCTTCTTCTCTGCCATGTTGCTGCTATCATGGGTTTCTGAGAGACACCCCTCGGGGCTCCTCCCTTCACAGGGACTAGTCTCTTCGGAAGAAGCGTTTGTTGTGTTGTCGCCAAGATTTGCTGACACAGAGTTACCTTTATCCCCAACTTCTGTTGGCTCTACAGCAAAATGCACAACAAAACTTTAAAGATATTCTTTAAAATTGCTTTGGGACAAATGGCCACATTCAACCAACCAATAAAAACAAGCAATCACCAAAAACCTGTGGCTCTTTGCTGGCCGTTTTCAAGCAATTAAGAATCTTGGACAGTTTTGCAATGGGTAACTGCAATGGGTAGTTAATATTTTAAGAATGCTTAAGGAATTAACGTAACACTGAACATAATTTAATCACATATAAAAGTGTGTATTTTAGTAAGATAAAAATAGTGACTTTTCAACAATCACACAGCGAATGGCAATTCCTTAGGAAATATTTAAGTAGAGATCCAGGAAGAGTATTATTATTGCGAATCTATCAATCTATCAAATTCATTACAAGGGACAGACTATCTTAATTGCCTTTGAAATAAAAAGTAGTTGTTTGCAATAATTTTTTTCATTGTCATTTTGCAAGTAAAAACTGGATGCTTCACCAACAAAACTAATGAGGCAATTCTTACGAAGCAAGCAATTCTTTTACCCTCTGATTTGCCTGGCTCCCGACTGTCATCCGATGCTCTGCCATCGGTCTCTTTTTCACAGGACTGATCTTCAAACTCCTCTCTGCTTGGCTCGGCCTCTTTACAGTTGTTATTCTCAGTTTCATTCTTGTCTTTTTCTACTTCTTCTGGGCTTTTATCATTATCGGTGTCTCCTTTTTTGGCTCTTATTGAGTCCAAAATTTCTTCTACGATTAAAAAAAAACCAAATTCATAGTCTTATTTGCATATACAACAAAAGTATCACCAAATGCCACTTAGAAGTTATTGTGTATGTTATTAAAGAGAAAAGTTAAAACATTTTAAAACCATTGTAACTATGAAATAATATTACAACACAACTGTGTTTACAAAACTCAATATGGGGTTCCTTCACTTTTATAAAGTACACGCTAATTATAGATTTACTTTCTTTAAAAGGAGCTGGGGTGGCTGGGCATGGTAGTGCACACCTGTATCCCAGTGCTCGAAAGACTAAGCAAGGAGGATTCTGAGCTTAAGGCAGCCTATGTTACAAGACCTATCTTAAAAAAAAAAAAGTAAAAGTAGTCTGTCATTTGAAATTGAGACTTGCTATAGATTATTGTTACATCTTCTGCCACAGGAAAGACACAGTTGACACAGACTCAATGTCAGCGGCATAATCACAATGCAAGAATCAAAACCTAAAGACCTGGAGACAGTCACACTGTCACCACAGTTATTTGAAAGTTATAGACAGATAGGAGGATTGCAATTCAGAGGACAGCTTGGGCAAAGTTATCAAGATTCTATCTGAAAGAACAAGTCAGACATGGTGGTGCATTATCTATAATCCCAGCTACACAGGATGCCTAAGTAGATGGGTCTCGGTCTAAGCCCAGCCCCAAGCAAAAGTGAAATCCTACCTAAAAAATAACCACAAAAGCAATGAGTACAAAGCAAAAGGGCTAGGAGCATAGGTCAAGTAGGACAGTGAAAGAATGAGTTCAAATCCTAAGTACTGAAAATAAAAACAAAAATGTAAACCAGTACCCTCCAAGACACCCAGGAGGCTGAGATCCAAAGGATCAATGTTCAAAGCCAACTTGGGCAGAAAAACCGGAGAGACTCCAACTCTAAAATAACCCACAAAAAGGAAGGCTGAAGGCATGGCTCAAGTTGTAGAGTGCCAGCCCAGCAAGCAATCTGAGGAAGCTCAGCAGGCACAAGATCTTGAGTTCAAACTCAGATACAGGCAAAAAACAGAAACAAACAAACAAAAAAAAACCATGCAGATCTATCTTGAATCGGCATTGTCGCTCTAGGCAAGGTTTCTAACCCTTTCAGGCTTTTATATCCTCAAGTATAAACTGAACAAATACAGAACTATTTGAAAACAATTTTTCTTCCGAAAACTATTTCCTCCCACACTCTGTCATCTTCACTAATCCTGACTGTTGTAAGAATTCAGAGTTGGGATAGGGGTGTGACTCAGGTAATAGAACAGTGAGACCCAGAGTGCAAACCTCATATAAGCAGTGAGGGGGATGGGAGATGGGAATGAATCAGAACTCAAAGCTAAGAGAGTTACAACATTCCAAACTGAAGGAAACTCAAAGCCTATCCCAATCCTCTTCATCATCCAAGTCATTCAAATATCAAATTCTACATTATTTCTTTGTACCATTTAATTAACTTAACCATACTGGGTGCCTTGCAGGGCTGATTTCCCCAAGCTTATAAGTACACTAGACTTACCCAAGAGAGGACTTCCATCACTAATTTTCAGAGAAATTTTTATTAGCAAAAGAAAATCTAAGCTAAAGAACAGTGGCTCATAACTGTAATCCTAGTTACTTGGGAGACAGAGATAAAGAAGATTGTGATTTGAGGTCAGCCTTGGGGGGAAGGGGGGGGGGGTGAGAGAGAGAGAGAGAGAGAGAGAGAGAGAGAGAGAGACTCGTGTCAACTGGAAAAGCTGAGCATGATGGGAAGTATCAATAGGAGGACTGAGGTTGAGGCTACCTGGGCAAAAAGCAAGACTGTATCTCAAAAACAGCCAAAGCAAAAGGGGTTGGGACATGACTCAAGCAGCAGAATGAGTACAAGGCCCTTAGTTTAAACCTCAGTACTAAGCACTTCTCTCCCACAAAAGGAAAGAAAATCTAGTTACCAATCATATTTTCCTTAAATGCACACTGCTTCTCTATCTTGACCTTCAAATATAAAAACTTTTCCCAGCCAAACTATTATATACCCACTGTACTTTCCTAAGTGTCATTTGGTGGAGAAAAAAAAACTGGTTTTTTTTTTGTTGTTGTCTTTTTGTTTGCATGTTATTTTGCGGGTCCTGGGGACTGAACCCAGGAACTAGGTGTTCCCCCAGAACCTCTTTGTGACCAGGGCTAGCTACTACTTGAGCCACAGTGCCACACCCAGCATTTCTGAGCAGTTTATTGGAGAGTCTTACAGGAACTTCTCTGCCCAGTCTGCTTCGATCCTTGATCCTCAGATCTCAGCCTCCTGAGTAGCTAGGATTACAGGTGTGAGTCACTAGAGCCCAGCTTAAAAAAAAATTTATTAGTCATTTATATTTAGACTACTTAGCTCAGATAATCAAAGGTAGTATAGGATAATCCTAGCTTCTCTGATGTTCTATGAAAGTTTTAATTTCAAATATCAACTCTTAAATTTATTTGTTAATTTATGTATACTGATTTTAGGCTAAAAAATACGATAGCCATACCCATAAAGAAAAACAGTAAAAAAAAAAAAAAAGAGGAAAAAATTTAAAAGCATGAAAAGGAAAGCAGAGAGACAAAAACAGAGAGAGAGAGACAATAGATTGCTAAAGCAAATTCTTTCATTTCTTTAAATGTCCTTTTGATGTTATGAGGGGGAAAAAACACGTGTAATTTTTTGACTGACTGAGTTTAAGATCAGCTATAAATGATCAGCAGTCTTCAAAAGCACTTTGAACAAATTGGCCACCTGGGTTCTACAGGGAAGAGTCTGTGCCACTGATGTTTTCACATGCAAGACTCAAACCTTTTCCACATCTTGATGACTCTATTTAGAATAATCATACTGGTAAAATCACAATTCATGGTTGAGTTTCAGAAAAAGATATTCACTGTACATTACTCACTTAAATAACAAAATATTGTATTGTAAAAGACCTGTACAATTTTAAAAATAAAGATTTGAACCTGTGAAAAAAAAAAGGAGAGAAAGGAGGAGGAGGATTATATACCTCATCTATATTATATGTGTCTACCTATAAACATTTATTTTTTAATTAATTTATTTTTTTCAGTCGTGGGGCTTGAACTCTGGGCCTGAGTGCTGTCCCTCAGCTCTTCAGCTCAAGGCTAGTGCTCTAGCACTTGAGCTACAGCGCCAGTTTTCTAGTGGTTTATTGGAGATAAGAGTCTCATGGACTTTCCTGCCTGGGCTGGCTTTGAACCTCGATCCTCAGATCTCAGCCTCCTGAGTAGCTAGGATTGCAGGCGTGAGCCACCGGAGCCCAGCAAACATTTTATTTTATTTAAGTATTTATTTTTGGAGGTGGTGGTGAAGAAGGAACTTCCAGTGGACTATATTCTAAACCCAAATTTCTATAATGAACAGGAATATTTCCAAAGTAGCTGTGGGATATGGTAATGGATACTTGCTTATAGTCTCAACCCTTGAGAGGATAAGGCAGGAGGATGGAGAGTTCCAGGCCACATACTATATAACAGGTACATTACATAACATATATGATACATATTACACATTTACATTTCATATATATATTACATATTTATATTGCACATATATTACACACTGATATGGAGAAGAAAATTCAACTACCAAAAATAGTTAAACTCTCTTAAGGTGGATAAGCACCTATATAAAACTAGAGTAAGAATTTTAAAGGAATTATGCTATTAAAGAGATTAAAATTATTAAATCAAAGTCTCTAATACACATTGTTACAAATTTCTGTTACTGTGTTGCAGATTATTATTGGCAATTATCATAAATCAAGCAATTTGGTTTTCATCTCATAAAAATCCCAAGTTAGAGGTTGGAGGGGTAGCCAGGTGGTAGACCAGCCAATGAGCAAGAGTCATACCAAGTTGGAGTCCCAGTCTCAGATAAGTAAGCAAGTAGATAGATAGATAGATAGATAGAATCCTAAGTTAAGGAACTATTAGTTAAGCCGAGCACCAGTGGCTCACATCTGTAATCCTAGCAACTTCAGGAGGTTGAGATCTGAGGATTGGGCTTCAAAGCCAGTCCAGGCAGCAGAGTCTGTTAGACTATTAGCTAACAGTAGAAGTGGAAGTGTGGTTCAAATAGAAGAGCAACAGCTTTGAATAGAAAATGGTGCCCAAACCCTGAGTTCTGGCAGAAAAACGAAACAAAACAAAAATTTAGATAATATTTTGGGTATTTACCTGGACTATCACAGCTAAGATTTTGGTTTCCACATGTATAATCCTAGGAGTCTGAGATCTGAGAATCATGGTTTGAAGACAGCCCAGGTAACACTATGAGACTCCAATTATCCAGCAAAAAGCCAACTGGAGGCATGGCTCAAGTGCTAGAGCACTAACTATGAGCAAAAGACCAAGTGAAAGTGCAAGGCCATGAATTAAGCCCCTGTACCAGTAGGGAAAAGGGGGAAAAAAAAGGAAAAAGCCTGGGGCTGGAGCCATTCCTTAGCAGTAGAGAAATTGCCTAGCAAGCATGAGGGTCTACCGGGGATAGCAGTAGAAGGGTATGAGGAGGTTTGAATTAAAGAAACTAATGGAGCCAGGCACTGGTGGCTCACGCCAGTAATCCTAGCTTTTCAGGAGGCTGAGATCTGAGGATGTCAGTTCAAAGCCAGCCCCAGCAGGAAAGTCCATGAGAATCTTATCTCCAATAAACCACTCAGAAAAGAAATGATGAGGTGATGCTGTGGCCCAAGTGGTAGAGTGCTCCCTTTGAGCTGAAGAGCTGAGGGAGGGCATCCAGGCCCAGACAAGCCCCACAACCGACAGAAAAGAAAAGAAAAAAGAAAGGAAAAAAAAAGAAAAGAAATGAAACGAAACTAGCGGACTGACTGTGATGGTGCATGTCTGTAATCCCAGAACATGGAAGACTGATGTAAGATGAACACAAGTTCGAGGCTAGTCCAAGCTATGTAACAAGACACTGTTTTCAAAAACTCTAACAAAAGAAAAAAAGTAAAGAAATGATATGAATATTAACAAAGACCAAGACAAGAAATAAAACCCTAAAATGAATAGTATCTGGTGAACTGATTCCCAAAAGAGTTAAAGTAAAACATGTAATTTGGACATTCATGTCTATTTTAAAGTTTTATGTGATTTGAAACCATGAATTTATCTCAAATTTAATAAAAATAAATAAATAAAACAAGAAAGCTTCTCCCCTCACCATTAGCTGCTGCTAGAAAGGACTTGTTACTGCCCCGAGCCTTATTGGTCAGGTCTTCCGTTATGTCCATGTGCCGGTGGATTTCCTCACGCATTTCTTCTAGAGTTTTGCAAAGTTCTGCTTCCCAGTAATCTTTGTCTAGGCAGTCTATTAATTCTGCAAGTTGAACCTTTGTGCTGTAGTACCAAATTTTCTTTTCGTTTTCATTTTCCGTATCTTCTTCTCTGTGGTAGAATGAGGGAGGGATGGGACACGTTAGACATAATGGTACTCAGGTAACAATTCCACAAGTGTGTGTGTATAAAAGCTCAATGTGAGCACACAGAAATGTCTTCAGGTCGTCTTCCAGTCTTAGTCAAACTCCATTTACTCTTATTTCATTCAAGCAACCTCTAAGTGTTTTGATTTCTGAGCCCTCAGCCTCTTAGAAGAAGATAATTTGGGACCAGAGCTGGATAAGAGATATACCTAAACATGACATATAAACTACCTCAAAATTCAAAGCATTGAATAGAAAATAGATAGAGTTCTATGTCAATCACCTTTAAAATCAGCAGAGCAGGGCTGGGAAGGGGGCTTAGTGTTAGAGTACTGCTTAGCATGCATGAAGTCCTGGTTTGATTCCACATAAACAGAAAAAGCCAGAAGTGGCGCTGTGGCTCAAGTGGTAGAGGGCTAGCCTTGAGCAAAAGAAACTCAGGGACAGTGCTCAGGCCTTGAGTTCAAGCCCCAGGACTGTCAATTTAAAAAAAAAAAAAAAAAAAGCCGGGCGCCGGTGGCTCACGCCTGTAATCCTAGCTACTCAGAAGGCTGAGATCTGAGGATCGAGGTTCAAAGCCAGCCTGGGCAGGAAAGGCCGTGAGACTCTTATCTCCAATAAACTGCTAGAAAATCGAAAGTGGTGCTGTGGCTCAAGCGGTAGAGCGCTCACCTTGAGCTGAAGAGCACAAGGACAGCTCCCAAGCCCCACGACTGACAAAACAAAAACAAAAAAACAGCAGTGTATACTGTACATGATAGATGGCTGGTGACTGTAAACCTAGCTAACTAAAACAAAAAGATGGAAGCAGGGCTCAAGTGGCAAGTGCTGCCTAGCACACATAAGGCCTTGAATTCCCTTTAATTCCTTGAAAACCCCTGTACCAGTCCAGTGAGAATTTTAACACCTGAGCCCATCAGAAATATGTAAGCTCAGTACATGAAAGGGGAGAGACCAGGTTCACACTAAAATGTAGGTTAGCATTTCACAAATGATATAAACTGCTGAGGAAGTCATCTTCATTGAGCAATAGCATTTCATCTTTTTTTCATAAGGGCAGATACAGCTCAAATTGAAGTGGAATAGCTTCCTTTCTTGTCTACAACTCTCCTAAGTTTCCATCCACTTTTATTTTCTTTTTTGTCAGTCCTGGGGCTTGAACTCTGGGGCTGGGTGCTGTCCCTCAGCTCTTCAGCTCAAGATTAGCACTCTACCACTTGAGCCACCACAGCACCAGTTTCGGTTTTCTGGTGGTAAACTGGAGATAAGAGTCTCATGGACTTTCCTGCTCAGGCTGGCTTCAAACCAAGATCCTGAGATCTCAGCCTCCTGAGTAGCTAGGATTACAGGCATGAGCCACTAGTGCCAGGCCCTATCTACTTTTAAGAGAAGTGGAGACTTCAACAGAGATAGTCATTAGCTAAAAAAACAAAACAAACATGGCAGATGAACACCTACATCAAGATTTCACAAAACACTCATGGTATTTCCACTCCAACTCAAGAGGAATTAAGCAATGTGTTGTATACAATGACTTTGTTTCCTCACTGGTGGATTGACGGAGCAGAGAGAACTGGGTTTGAAGACAGGACCTGGGATTAGGAATGCGGCTCGGTGAAGAGTGCTTACTAGCATGTTGGAGGCCTTGGAGTTCCATCCCACCACTGTAAATAGAAAAGATCTGGCTTTGAATGGACTGGCACATTTGAGACATGAAGACATGGACAGTACAAAACTCTGAGTCTCTAAACCATTTTGTTCACTCCACTTCTAAAATGCCTCAGGATTACTGTAGCCTTGAAGGTATTATGATAAAGCATCTGTTACAGTGCCCAGCAACTCGTGGATGATCAGAAAATATTAAATACTACCATTAACTTAACAAAAATTTAGAATTCCATGAATAAGTCATTCAGGAGTTCTGATGCAAGAAAGGGTATATAAAATCTTAGATCAATGACAGGATATTAAAAATACTAAAAACGAAGAAAATGGCTGGATGCCAGTGGTTTACGCTAGCTACTTAGGAGGTCGAAATATGAGGATCATAGCTTGAAGCCAACCCAGACAGGAAAGACTCCATCTCCAACTAACTAGCAAAAGAGCTGGACTGGGGCTGGGAAGGTGGCTCAGTGGTAGAGTACTTGCCTTGCATGCATGAGGCCCTGGGTTCAATTCCTCAGCACCACATAAGCAAAAGGAAAAAAGCCAGAAGTGGCGCTGTGGCTCAAGTGGTAGAGCGCTAGCCTTGAGCTGAAGAGCTGAGGGACAGCGCCCAGTCCCAGAGTTATGGCCCACGACTGGATCAAAAAAAAAAAAAAAAGAGCTAGACTGAAGGTATGGCTCAAACAGTTGAGCACCAGCTATGAGCAAAGAAAACTGAGCCAGAGCTTGAGCCCCTGAGTTCAAGTCCTGGTACGTACACACACACACACACACACACACACACACACACACACACACACACACACACACACACACACACACACACACACACACACACACACACACACACACACACACACACACACACACACACACACACACACACACCTTTTAAAACATAACTATAGCAAAAATCTAAGTAGCAACATAAAATTAGACAGTACTTTGCTCTGAGCCTAAGAATTATTACACAGCCCATTATTTTCTAAAAAATCAGTCTTAAAGATTTCTCTTTTTTTTTTGGTTTGGGTTTTTTTTTTTAACTGTATTTTTTTTGTCTTTTCTTTTTTGGTACTGGGGATCGAACCCAGGAGGTTGCACTTGCTAGGCAAGCGCTTTGCCACTGAGCTACATCCCAGCCCAAAGATTTCTCTTTTTATAAAGATGCTGAGTTGTTTGTTATGACAGTCCTGGGACTTGAATTCAGGGCCTGGGCCCTGTCCCTGAGATTATTTTTCTCAAGGTTAGTACTCTACCACTTGAGTCACAGGGCCCCTTCTAGGCTTTTCTAAGCAGTTTATTGGAGATAAGAGTCTCACAAACTTTGCTGCTTGGGCTGGCTCTGAACCACGATCCTCAGATCTTAGCCTCCTGAGTAGCAAAGATTACAACAGGTGTGAGCCACCAGCACCCAGCTGCATTATTTTTCAATTATTGCATTTTCTTTGTTGAGAATTAGTTATGCACCACATACTGGCAATTCATTCTACGATGGACTGGCTCAGACTATGGTGGGCCCAAGTAAGCACATGTTGATCGCCAACTAGTTTATTAAGTTCACCCATGGCCAGGATGCCTAATAGTGCCTCTTCTCACAACATGCCCCATCAGTAAGCCACACACAGCTCTATCTACACACTTCAATGCAACAAGAAAAACACCTTCTGACTGTCAGTGCCATTCTCCTACTATCTTAGCTACTTAGAAGTGTAAAGTTCACAGTTTGAAGCCAGCTTGGGCAGACATACCCAAAAGACTCCAACTAACTAGCAAAGTGTCAGAGGTGGAGGTGTGGCTTAAATAATCAAAGGAAGCAATGAATTAAAAAGCCACACAAGGGGTTGGGAAGGTGGCTCAGTGGTACAGTGCTTGCCTTGCATGCATGAGGCCCTGGGTTCGATTCCTCAGCACCATCTAAGCAGAAGAAGCCAGAAGTGGCGCTGTAGTAGAGTGCTCACCTTAAACTGAAGAGCTGAGGGACAGTGCCCAGGCCAAGAGTTTAGGCTCCACGACCAACCAAAAAAAAAAAAAAAAAAGCTGCACAAGAACTCCAAGCTCTGAGTTCAAGCTTCAGTGTACACCATGCATGTGTAGACACAGACACCCACATGAAAACTTTAAATTTTAGAATAGCTATAAATTTTAGATTAGCCCTTTGAGCATAAGGAGCTCAGGGACAGTGCCCAGGGCCAGAGCTCAAGTCTCATCAATCAAATATATATGTAAGATTTCACTAAGAAAATGACATGCTGGCTGGGAATGTGGTTTAGTGGTAGAGTACTTGCCTAGCATGCATGAAGCCCTGGGTTCAAGTCTTCAGCACCACATAAACAGAAAAGGCCGGGAGTGACGCTATGGCTCAAGTGGTAGAGTGCCAGCCTTGAGCAAAAGAAACTCAGGGACAGTGCTCAGGCCCTGAGTTCAAGCCCCAGGACTGACAAAAAAAGAATAAAAAAGACAAAGAAAAAGAAAATGACATGCTACAGGAAAACACATTAGCTAAATGGACATTCTGTTGATTTTACAAGTAATTCACAGACTACTGACGGGGACACTAGCAGGGGACATTAACACTGTGAGTCTCCCATTCACAACAGAAAACTCACTACTTCCTCTCGCAGGCCATTTTGTGCTGGAGCTGCTTTTAGTAAGTTTTTCTTGTAATGAGATGACTCACGCCCTGCCTATTTCTACAATTAGTCTCGATTCTGCCTGCTAACAGTATGTGAAACAAACCTAACACCTCCTCCTCCACACAAATCCTTCAAAGCCTTCACAGTGCCCATCACTTACTCTGCTGTTTTCTTTCAGGCTAAACATGTTCAAATACTTGCATCGTTCTTCCTGTGGCATGCTGTCCAGCTGCAAGCCCCCTGACAAGTGACTTACCACCACAGTTCTTTAATGTCTCTAAAAAATGAGGCGTTAGGCCTCTGGTTTTTATTCTGTTCATCAACATTAATATTCACAGACTTAACTTTTTCCTCTCAAAAGCAACAGAAGGATACACTCACTCTTAAGTATAAAGTGGCAAAACAGAGTAAACAGGAACCGCTAATGCTCTCAGAGAAAGTTGTTGTTTATGCTTATGCTGTGTTTGGATGTATTTACCAAGTTTATAAAATCCAAACTGTCTGTTGTAATTGTGCAAAAGACCACAGCAGCTTTCTGCTTGCCCGCCTCTTTGGTTCGGGAGCTCTGTGCCTACTACCCACAGCATTCATTCCTTGGCTGCCCACTGAGGCTCACCTGCAGCAGTTCCCCAGATGCTCCACAGAATACTTGCCACAAAGGGAAACT